GGGGGGTTATAGTTGATGAAATGGACTGGAGGGACCGTTTGTGGCGGTGTTTTGTTTGTGGGCTAGCATTAGCATGTTCAATTGTCATAGTTGGTGGTGGTGGTGATGATGGGTGACGATGCTGGATGGATTTATTGTGCCGCTGCCAACTCCTGACCGGGCTGGTGTCTTTTCGAGTGGAAGATGGAATAAGATAACCAATACGATTGTCCCATTATTATTATAGATATCAATTGATCTAAAGACATCTTTTCTTCTATTAATAATTTATGGATGAAGAGAAGGTAGATGCAGAGAGAACTCGTGATGAGACAATTGTAACCCCGGATTCCAGCTCTTGGCTAAAACAGGAAATACGCCACTAAAACAAAACAAGTACCTTGGTAGTACTTGAACCTCTGCAGATAACCAGGTACCAGATGCTGCAACACTCTCGCTTCCAGGTACCAACAAACGCCATACCAAACATCAGCACTAATGTGTACACTTTGTCCATCTGTCCCTCAAAATGTCCACGTCAAAGAGAGGCACCGAATTGAAGCCCCTGGACAGCAATTGGCCCTGAGCTGCCATGGTGGGGGGAGTCCTTACGTCATCCCCCTCCGTCATTGAACTTGGCCAGGCACTGAAAAGCTCCGTAGAGGGTGCCACTATATTTTGCAGGGGGTTTTAGCAGCTTGCAGCGCCTGTTTGTAGGTGCCTTGTAGTGCGGTAGCGACCTGAGGCGTGCTGGAGCTGCACTACGGCCCGTGTATCGTGATAAATCCTGCCTTGGACAAAACACTCGATGTTTACCAGTCTCTGACCTGCGATATCACCACTACAACATCCTCGGTATTGATCCTAGAGCCTCAACCGGGACGCTGCACCACCCGTTCCCCCGCTCAAATTACCACCGTAAGCTTCAGCTACCCTCGACAGACTCATTCTTTGCATTGTCTTGCCCCTCCTTGTCAGGCCGCGACGCATCGAACGCACTCCGCACTGCATGAAATCCCCAGCCGCGCCCAATCTCCCCACTTCGAACCGCATTTTTGCATCGTACAATCTCGTCTCTTCTTCTTCTCCTAATTGCTCTCTCTAGTCTCGTCTCTCCCAAGACGTAGCCTGACAACCGCTGGAAGAGAGCTGATTGCGAACCTCGACCGGCGAGCACTCGCTGTGCACAGCCCGAATCCCCCAATGTCCTTCCTATAGACCTTCGACCGACAACTCTCTCCAACCTCCGCTGTCCCGGCCCGGGTTACGGCACCACCGTCGCCAATATGTTGGAAGGACTCGTCGCCGGCTTGCTCAACCGCTTCCTGGGCATGTACGTCAAGAACTTCGACCCTACGCAGCTCAAGGTTGGCATCTGGTCCGGCGACGTCAAGCTCCGCAACCTAGAGCTCCGTCGAGAAGCTCTCGACCAGCTCAAGCTGCCCATCAACGTCATCGAGGGTCACCTTGGCGAGCTCACCCTCTACATCCCCTGGTCCAATATCCGCGGCGCTCCAGTCAAAGTCTTTATCGAAGATGTCTACCTGCTCGCGAGTCCCAAAGAAGAGGCCGAATATGACGAAGACGAGGAGCAGCGCAGGAAACACAGGCTGAAGATGGAGAAGCTTGAGAGCGCCGAGCTGCTCAAGGAGCGGAACAAGGCTGGCATGAGCCAGGAGGAGCAGAAGAAGAACCAGAGCTTTGCCCAGAGCCTGGCGACCAAGATCACCGACAACCTGCAGATCACGGTCAAGAACATTCACATCCGATACGAAGACTCCATATCAGCTCCGGGCCATCCTTTTGCCCTTGGCTTCACACTCGAGGAGTTTAGCGCTGTCAGTGCCGATGGCCAGTGGACGCCATCCTTCATCCAGCAGTCGTCTACGACTACACACAAGCTCGCCACGTTGGGCTCCCTGGCGGTGTACTGGAACACGGACTCAGAACTTTTCAGCAGCGGCCGTCAAACTGGAAACGACTCCCAAGGGACAATGACACACAGTGACATGGTCGACAAATTTAAGAGCATGCTTACCAAAATTCACGACCCCGACTCGAGCAACCAATTCATCCTGAAGCCCGTCAGTGGACAGGCAAAGATTGAGCTGGACAAATCCGGTGCCATTGAGGTGCCCAAGTTCAAAGCCACTCTCTTGTTTGACGAGATCGGTGTCGTCCTAGATGACGACCAGTATCGTGATGCCCTGATGATGGTAGACCTCTTCCATTACTTCATCCGCCACCAAGAATACAAAGCGCTCAAACCAAAGGGCGTTAGTCCAAAGGAGGATCCGAGAGCCTGGCTACTGTTTGCAGGGAATGCCATCCTGGGTAAGATCCATGACAGGAATCGTAAGTGGTCGTGGGACTATTTCAGAGAGCGTCGTGATGACCGCAGGCGGTATATCGAGCTCTTCAAGAAAAAGAAGCAGGGTTTGCAGCTCGAAGCCAATGAGTCTAGCGACCTTGATAAGCTTGAGTTTAAGCTTAGCTACGAGGACCTGCGGTTCTGGAGATCGCTGGCTCGTAATCAACTTAAAAAGGAGAATGCCGCAGCCCTGAGCAGGCAGCCTCAGCAGCCTCAGCAGCAGGGCTGGGTTGCTTGGATGTGGGGTTCTAAGCCAACGGGCACCATCCAAGAGAATGAAGAAAACACTCAGATGACAGAAGAGCAGAGGAAGGAGCTCTATGACATGATTGACTGGGACGAAAAGGCGGCGCTCGCTGAATCTGTCGATGTTCCCCGTGAAGCCGTCAACATGTGTATCGAGGCGGCGCTCAGCACTGGCAGCTTCACGCTCAAGAAGAGCCCCCATCACAACACCATGGATCTCCTCAGCTTACACTTTGACTTGTTTAAAGCCAAGGCATTACAGAGAAAGGACTCTGTACTGGCTAGTGTCAGTCTTGGTGGTCTGCGAATCAATGATGGTACAACTCCCGACAGCCTTTATCCAGAGATTGTTCGCGTAAAGGATGCCCAGAAGCGCAAACCAATCTCCCTCGAGGAGCTGGAAACGGCGGAAGAGGAGCCTTTTTTCGAGTTCGAGATTGAACAGAACCCTCTTGAACGAGAAGGCGACATTGCCGTCGTGGGCAAGCTGAAACCCCTCGAAGTTGTTTGGAACCCCAACTTTGTTGTGGGCATCGTCGACTTCTTCCGGCCTCCTGAGAGGCACATGGAGTCGATCGCGGCTCTGATGGAGACCGCTGGGGCCACCGTGGAAGGCATCCGAGAGCAGACACGAGTAGGCTTGGAGTTTGCACTAGAAGAACACAAAACGATCAACGCCGAGCTCGACCTGCAAGCACCGCTGATTATCATTCCCGTCAGTATTACCACGGAGCATTCAACTTGTCTCGTTGTCGATGCTGGTCACATGCATGTGAACAGCCAGTTGGTCGATCAAGAGACCTTGGCGGAGATTCAGTCCAAGCAGCGCCAATCTTACAATGAAGAAGACTTTAAACGTCTTGAATCGGCCATGTACGACAGATTCATCGTCAAGTTTACCTCGACTCAAGTCCTCATTGGGCCTTCCATCGAAGAAACCAAAGCTCAGCTCACCAGCAAACCTGGCGATCGCGGCTCGCAGCTACATGTAGTAGAGGAGATCAATGTCGATTTCGTGGTGGAAATGTCAATTCTGCCCAAAGCGCCTAATCTCACAAAGTTCAAGGTCTCTGGCCATTTGCCAATGCTACATGCCACTGTATCCGACGCCAAGTACAAGAACTTGATGCAGATTATCGATGTTGCTATACCAAAATTTCACTCCGAGGCGGAGCAAAAGGCAGTGCAATCTGGCGCTACTACCCAAGCAAGGCCTTCTTCACGCCATTCTTCACGCCCACGATTAGCCAGTAATGCCTCCAGCCGATCCGCGCTCAGGTCGATGCGTGACCGCAGACAATCTGCGTTCCCATTCCTCCAGTCTTCTACCGCCGTCATCTTGGAGGACATTGATGATGACGATGACGATTTCGAGGATGCTGAAGACGGAACTCACGGCGAGCAGTTTAGAATGCAGCAGCGGAGCTTCGAATTCAACTTCAAAGTAGACACCCTAAAGGGCTCGCTTTATCGAAGTGATCCAAGCCGGTCGAAGCAAGACGTCCTTCTGGTGGAGCTAGTAGCAGAACGCTTCGATCTATCCTTCTATACTCGACCCTACGACATGGCGGCCGAAGTTTCCCTTGGGTCAGTAACTATGGACGACTTTGTGGACAATCCGCCTGCCGAATTCAAGTCGATTGTGTCTTCTGGAGACAGAGAGGACCTCCAAGCTGGACGAAGCCTTGTTCATGTCAAGTTTGTCAGGGTTAATCGCCAGTCACCCGAGTTTATGCCCGTGTACGAAGGTGTTGAAACCAACATTACTACCACTATATCTACCATCAACCTGGTTGTTACTCGGAAGACGCTTCTCACCTTGTTGGACTTTATCCTTGTGACTTTTACAAATAATAATGCCGACGAGCAAATGGGCCAATCTGGTCCCTCTCAGATTGACAACGCTGCTGAAGATGATGTAGCAGTTGATAGTGTGGTTGTACAAGAGCCCAAGCAGAATGCGAATGCAACTAGCTCTATCCGCGTCAAGGTTGAACTGAAGAGTATCCGGCTTATTCTGAACAATGACGGCATCAAACTGGCAACCCTTTCTTTCAACCAGGGTGATGCTGGCATCTTTCTTCGGGGCCAGACAATGAGAATCTCGGCCAAGCTTGGCGACCTCTCTCTCATCGACGATGTCAACTTGGGCGTTTCAGAGGATTCCCACCTCCGGAAGCTCGTAACCATTCAGGGAGACGACCTTGCCGACTTCCGCTACGAGACTTTTGACCCCGAAAATCCCCAAGCGTACCCGGGATACGATAGTTCAATATTCCTTCGTGCGGGATCTGTCAAGGTCAACTTTGTGGAGGAACCGTTCCGCAAAATCATTGATTTCTTGGTCAAATTTGGAAAGATGCAGGCACTATACAATGCCGCCCGCCAGGTTGCTTTAAACAGAGCCAACCAAATTCAGCAGAGCCCTAGCAAGATCAAGTTTGATGTTGTGGTCAATACACCCATCGTCGTCTTCCCGCGGGCCGTGATCCCAGGCCGTCCCCACCGTGATCTCATTACAGCCTACCTTGGAGAAATCTATGCACAGAACAAGTTTGTTCCTCTCGATGATAGTCACGGTGCGACAATTGCGATGAAGATTTCCGCAGGAATCAGAAACATTCGTCTCACTTCAGACTTCCATTATGCCGACAACAAGTCTGAGGAGTTGGAGATGATTGACCACGTCGACCTTGGATTCCATATTACTCATGCTGAACATGTTGAGGGTGTCAAGAGACCAGAGACCGAGATAGAAGGAACCGTGTCCGATATCAAGCTTCAGTTGACTCAACACCAACTGAAATTCTTGATGGAGATTTCAAGATCAGTCCCGGCTGCCTTTAGTGGAGATGGCGATGCTAATGCGGAGGCTGAACGGCTTGTTGATGACCAAACCTTGGAGCGCGCTAAAGGCTCGCCTTCTGATGGCCAGTCCAACGGCAATGAGCAGCCATTGATTAGCCTTGGTCCCGAGCTAGGTTCGCTCTCTGACGCGTGGACCAAGCTGGACTTTGTGTTCAATGTGAATACTGTTGGCCTTGAGGTCATCATGGCCCCAGAAGAGGGCCCTGTCAATGATGTAGCCGCCTGCAGTCTTTCTCGCTTCTCCTTGGACGACACACATGTCAAGACGAGAATGATGTCTGATGGCTCGATAGAAGCCGAGGTCCTGGTTCGCTCTTTCACAATTTACGACACTCGTCCTAGGGATACGAACAAGTACCGCCGAATCATGACGTCTTCTAACAAAGAAGCGCAGCAGTTGATGGCCAGTGTGACAATGTCTGGTGGAACAGAGCGCAGCGTCATTGCAATGGCCACTATTGATAGCCCTCGTGTCATTTTTGCTCTCGACTATCTCTTTGCCATCCAGAAGTTTGCCACTGAAGGGTTGACAATGGAGGAAGCAAGTCCAATTGATACCGAAAGTATGCTGAGTTCTCCCGAAGAGTCAGACACAGAATCAACGCAAGTGTCGTATTCGCAGCGACCATCTATAAGCTCTCCTCGACCTAGCATCTCCGCAGCGGAAGCCTCTCTAGAGACACAACCGAAGGCCCAAACCTCCATGGACATATCTTTCCGGGTAAACCTTGTGGATGCTCAAGTCATCTTGATCGCCAATCCGCTGAGCTCAAGCTCAGAAGCAATTGTCCTCGGAATCCGCCAAGTTCTTCTGTCACAACAACATGCTCTTACGTTTCAAATCTCACAGATTGGCATGTTTTTGTGCCGAATGGATAAGTTTGAGACATCTCGCTTGAGAATCATTGACGATTTCTCGATACAAATGAGCATGAATAATCCACAGCCCAATTCCACAGACATCAATATTGAGATTGAGCCACTCATCTTGAGGCTTTCTCTACGAGACATTTTACTCGCTCTCCAGATTATCGGAAGAGCAGGAGAATTATCTGGAACGGATTCTAAGGTACCAAAAGAGTCAGCCGCCGATCAAAAGGCGAAGCAGTTGAGATCAAAGACACGGCACAGAGCGTCCAGTGGGCGTGGTGGCGCCTCGACAACGGCCAAGAGTAGTCATGCGGCTAGAACAACAACTACTGCAGCATCTTCGAGGGCCGTCACTTATGCTGAGAGATACTCCGCGCCCGCAAAGAATGAAAACCTATCCGCTACTGTAGATGGCGTCCGAATCGTGCTGATCGGTGATCTGCACGAACTTCCGATCCTTGATATTGGAATTCAGAACTTCACGGCTGTCGCTGAAAATTGGTCTTCAAATTTGAAGGCTGAGGCGGCTATTGATATGTACTCCAACGTGTACAATTTCTCAAAGTCGAGCTGGGAGCCCCTTTTGGAGCCATGGCAGGTTGGCCTTGGGGTGGCCAAGGATCCAATCACTAGCTTCCTCTCTGTTGATGTGGTGTCGAAAAAGACATTCGATATTACAGTCACAACGGCAACAATTGCATTGGCCTCCAAGTCTTTTGACTTTTTGACGGCTGCTGAAAATGTTCTCGAGAAGCCTCGAGGCGTTGAAGCCCCGTACCGAATCAGAAACTATACGGGCTTTAATGCCATCGTTCATTCCAAGAGTCCTACCAACTCTGAGCCAATCACTCTCCATCTTGAAGACGGGCAAGAAGCTCCATGGAGCTTTGAGCAATGGGAGAAGATGCGTGAGATGATCCTCGCCGACTCGCAACCAAATGACGTAGGCATCCAGCTCGAGGCGAGTGGGTTTGATCTCATTAGGAATGTCCGCTTGAATCGTGAGGGCGAGTTTTTGTACAGCCTTCGCCCTAAAACCGACAACATCTTGCACAAACTCTGTGTGGAAGTGAGCTTAGGAGCTGACAATGTCAAATATGTCACTCTTCGTTCTCCACTCGTTGTTGAGAACGCCACCCAGATTCCCGTGGAACTCGGTATCTACGATGCCCAAGAGGGTCATTTGCTCAAGATTGAGAAGATTGCCCCTGGTGACTCTCGACCCGCACCCGTTGGAGCTGTGTATGAAAAGAGGGTGCTCGTGAGGCCAGACAGCGGATTTGGCTATCAGTGGAGCGCAGAGCAGCTTTGGTGGAAAGACTTGTTGAAACGCCCAACTAGGCAGATTGTTTGCAAGGGAGACAGTGGTGATCCTTTTTACTTCCAGGCGCATGCGTCGTTTGATAACTCCAGTCCCATCACCAGGTAAGAGCGCGCTCCCTTATACCCCTATATACTATTATTCCTTGTTTCGACGCTGACTGAACTCACTCTTTTTTAGATCCTATCCGTACATGAAGATTAAGCTGTCTGCGCCAGTCACGCTGGAGAATCTCCTTCCATATGATTTCAAGTACAGAATTTACGACAAGAACACTAAGAAGGATTGGTCGAACTTCCTTCGGAAGGGCGGTGTCAGCCCTGTTCATGTCGTTGAGCTCTCTCATCTACTCTTGCTCAATGTCGACATGCAGGATACTGTCTTCAAACCAAGCGACTTTGCTATCATCAACTCCGGCACAAACGAAGATTTCCGCAGAGAATCTCGCATCGTAGTCAAGGATGACCAAGGCCTTTCTCTCAACCTTAGTCTCCACTACCACAAGATTCCCAACAGCGGCGGTGCCTTCAAGGTCACAGTCTACAGCCCGTACGTTATCCTCAATAAGACAGGGTTAGATCTTACGGTCAGGGCCAAGAGCTTCTTGCAGCAGGCGAAGTCGGCGGCTGGCCAGTTCCCCCTCATAAACACCTCCGATCATGACCGACCCAAGGCGCTGCCATTCATGTTCTCATTTGGAAACGATGACACTCGCAACCGAGCATTGCTCAGGGTAGCAGACTCCGAATGGAGCAAGCCTCAGAGTTTTGATGCCATTGGTAGCACATCTGAGGTAATTCTCAACTCTGGGTCTAACAGAAACAAGGAGATCCACCTGGGTCTCACCATCCAATCCGGAGAAGGAAAGTATAAGATGACGAAAGTCGTTACGATTGCTCCGCGCTTCGTGCTCAAGAACAAGTTGGATGAGGAGATTCTGATACGGGAACCCAGCTCGTCGGGTTACATGACGCTGGGTCCTGGAGCGTTACAACCACTTCACTTTATGCAGAACTCTACAGTCAAGCAGCTGTGCCTTTGCTTCCCCGGAATGAACAACCAGTGGACCTCACCCTTTAATATTGCTGATATTGGAACGACGCACGTCAAGATTGCCAAGGCAGGTCAGCGTCAACGCCTCATCCGCGTGGAGATTCTTGTAGAGGACTCCACCATTTTCTTGCACTTCAGCGTCGAAACCAAGAATTGGCCTTTCTCAATGCGCAATGAGAGCGATACTGAGTTTACGTTTTACCAAGCAAACCCCACTGTTGAAGAGGACGATGTAGTGGACCGAAGCGGTTGGAAGCCTATCCGATATCGCCTGCCACCTAGGAGTATCATGCCGTACGCATGGGATTTCCCAGCAGCTAAGTTCCGCGAGGTGGTCATTTCTACGGCCGGCAAGGAGCGGCACGTCAAATTGGCGGAGATTGGCAACCAGTTCCCAATGAAGTTTACAAGCCAAAATGGCACGCAAAAGATTATCGATATCAATGTTGCTGCAGACGGTCCCACGCAGACTCTCATTTTGAGCAACTTCCGACCCAGCCAGAGTTTGTACAGACAGAAAACTCTGTCCAGGACAAACACTGGACCGGAGGCTTTCGAGGTCAAAGATCAAGATACTGATGCGACATTCGTGGCTCAGCTCAAGTTGTCCGGCATTGGCATTTCATTCATCAACGCTCAACTGAAAGAGCTCGCCTACGTTACATTCCGAGATGTCCAATTCCGTATCACTGATTCGCCCGTGGTTCAGACGGTGTCACTGGCCATCAAATGGATGCAAATTGACAACCAACTCTATGGTGGGCTGTTCCCCATGGTCCTATATCCAAGCGTGGTGCCGCAGAAAGCGCAAGAAATCGAAGCCCACCCGTCACTACATGCCATGGTTAGTCGAGTGAAGGATGACTCTTACGGTGTGCTCTACATCAAATATGCCAGTATCCTCCTACAGCAGATGACGGTTGATCTGGATGAAGATTTCGTATTTGCTCTTTTGGACTTTTCGAATGTTCCCGGCGCAAGCTGGAGCTCAGAGGTGGAAGAGGGCCAACTTTGTGATGAAGATCTGGATATCCCAGAGCCATCTCAGCGTGATACCGGCCAAGACATTTATTTTGAGGTCCTCAACATCCAGCCGATGCAAGTGGACCTCAGCTTCATGCGAACGGAGCGCATCAACGCGGAGGATAAAACCTCATCCCACAACCCACTCATGTTCTTCCTGAATGTGATGACGATGGCCATTGGCAATATCAATGACGCACCAGTGCGGTTCAATGCGCTCATTCTAGAGAATGTCCGGGTGTCTATGCAGATCCTGATTCAGAACATCACCAACCATTATAGCCAAGAGGTCATGTACCAGATCCACAAGATTTTGGGTTCTGCAGACTTCTTGGGCAATCCCGTGGGCTTGTTCAACAACATCTCATCCGGAGTCAACGACATCTTTTACGAGCCGTACCAGGGTCTCATCCTTTCCGATCGGCCCGAAGAATTCGGCATGGGTATCGCAAAGGGTGCAGCATCATTCGCCAAGAAGACCGTTTTTGGATTCTCCGACAGCTTCTCCAAATTCACCGGGAGTCTGAGCAAGGGTCTTGCCGCAGCGTCCATGGATAAGCAGTTCCAAGATCGACGACGGATTACCAGGGCAAGAAACCGCCCGAAGCACGCATTGTACGGCGTGACGGCGGGAGCCAACAGTCTCTTCACGAGTGTTGCATCTGGCGTTGGTGGTTTGGCGCTGAAGCCTCTAGAAGGTGCCGAACAGGAGGGCGCTTTGGGCTTCTTCAAGGGTGTCGGCAAGGGTGTTTTGGGATTGGCAACCAAACCAGCCGTGGGGATTCTGGACATGGCTAGCAATGTCAGTGAGGGCATCCGCAATACCACGACAGTATTTGACGGAGCGGAGCTGGAGCGCACTCGATACCCACGCTTCGTCCCCAATGACGGAATTGTGCGGCCCTTTAACCCGCGAGAGGCACTCGGACAGTACTGGCTGAAGCAAGTGGATAACGGGCGATACTTTGACGAGCAGTACATTGGCCACCTTGAGCTGCCCAAGGAGGACATGGTTGTCATGGTCACGTTTGCGCGCATCCTCTTGATTCGATCGCGGCGACTGACTAGCGAGTGGGACGTGCCGCTGAAGGACGTCCAGACGATTGCAAAGGAACGCACGGGAATCAGTCTGGCACTGAGAGATGGAGCCAATGGGCCGTTTATCCCCGTGGGAGGTGGAAGTGAGAGGGGGTTCTTGTACAAGATGCTTGGTGTGGCTGTGGAGGAGTTTAACAGGAGGTTTAGGGGAGGAGAGCGATGATGGGATTGTGTTGAATTGAATTTCGTGCATGTTGTTAGTATTGTTATTATGGTATTGTTTTATGGGAGATTGGAGGAGGATGAAAATTGGGATTAGAAGCATGGCTTGAATGAATGATTGTATGACCACGAAACATTGTTTAATGCAAGAGACTCGGTTTTGTTTTTATTTGAACTTTGAGATTGATGTGATTTGAATGTGCTGTGTTGATGTTTCGTGTTTGTTGGAGATGATTAATGGTTTGCTTGATATCAGTTTTGGGAGTTGGTTGTTGAGGAGTTGATACAGCGTGACATAACATGCAGTATTATTTTCTTGATTGTGTTTAGCATTCTTTACGAAGCAAGAACGTGGACTTGTTTGAAGTTCTTGATGTAAGATATGCATAAGAATGCAAGAAGGTAAATGCCGGGTAAGTGCCATGTGTTGCGTGTAGTTACGAACCCGTTTCGAGGGGATTTTGATCATCTAGATTGCAAAGGGATCAGATATTGGGTGACATATTTGCTTTGAAATGCTCTTTACGTCTGCTTTATTCTACACTTTCACAATGATACGAGTATGGTGTTTATCGGGTTCAGCATATAGAGAGATGGCCTGCTCAGTGCTCTTAAGGCCCGACTTTGACGTGGCTTACCTACACTCAAGATAGCAGATGTCCCGTTGTGATATGAGAAATGTACAAACTATGGGCCATAGTAGAGAAGACTTGACTTGCCTGGGGGACAACTTGTGTGAAACTACTCGGAGGTTGAGCTGAAGTTGGACCTCCCAGGAGCTTTCAGGAGAGCTCCCAAGTTCTACGGTTGGAATCCAAAGATGGGCATTCGTGACAACTGCCAAAACGCTTCACCTTGCTAAACTGCCGAAGCATCCGATTGTTGCTCCGTACAGGCTCATCAATCCACCGCAGCTGAATGATCTGATCCAAAAGGGCGGTCGCTTGACAAACAACAAACATGGCCGTGTTCGGACCTCCGGCCGGTAACGACAGCTCGTGTTCGGGCGAATCCGATGGGGAGGAGATAAGGCAGATTGCGTAGCCCGTAGCGTTGTTGGACTTGTCTTTTTTTTTTTTCGGGACCGAAATAGTCTGATAGCATGATAGATAGTCTTAAAGAAGGGGAGGTAGGCTATGATAGCGCACGCCCTTAGCATACTCGGCAGCAGTTTGCTGTGGGCGTTGGTGTTGGATGAGGGCCGTCGATCTGGGCTAGATGGATGGCGTTATTGCAAGGGGGGTGGGGGGTTGAAGGATGGGACGCGGCATTGAAATCTGCGATTGCTGGTCGCCAAGCGCCTGAAGCGCATGTTTGTGTCTGCCCGCATGCATGATGGTGATAGTGATGGTGATGAGATGTTTGATAGTGGTGATGATAAGGGAGGGAGGGGGGTCTCTTACATGATGCAGCTAGTGAAAAAACGATCCCATCCAAAATGCTGGTGCCCCATGTTTCCCCAGTTCCCCAAGTTCCCCGTACTCGAAGATCCGACACAATGGTTTGAATGGTCTGGGGGAAGAGAGACAGCCGTGACATCGGGAGCCGCCGATGGGCCTGGCGATGCCTGCGGGGGTGGAGGAGGCCGGAACGGAGGAGGCCGAAAGACACAAGGCTAGAGAGAGAGAGGTCTGGAGAGCTGTTCGCGCCTCGGTCCAAACGGGCAACACAAGGCCGGATTGGAACCACGCCCCCCCTCTTCCCATTGATTTGCTCCCCATGGTGCTAGTCATGGCGCATGTGTTAATTCCATGCCAATCTTCCCCCTGGGGAAAACACGAATGCCAACTTTGGGGAAGTTGTCGATGGAGTTTGTAGGTAATAATTAGCAAATATCGGCAGCCCGGCTGAAATTGGTCACGTAATGTATTGGGACGTGGAGCTGACTTTGCTCTATCCGGCTTGAATCTCCTGTGGATTTGACAGACTAAGCTTCCATGTGCTAGGAGAGTCTTGCCCGGAACAGGCTCAGTCATGATGAAATAAGGAGAAGCAAATCTTGAAAGCAAACCGGTCCAAGGGCCAAAAGAGCATTTTGTGTTACGGAATAGCGTTCCGCAAACCACAAAAATAGTCTCCGGGTGGCTTGCCACGAGGCAAAGCGTAGGGCGTGGAGAACTTGGTCGCCGTAGTTCGCCGGACCGTCGAGCTGGAGAAGTCTGGGGCTGACGGTGAAGGGCAGCGAAATTGTGGGATTCAATTCAAGAAATGAAAGGCGCAAGTGGAGGAGCTTGCTTGAAGGCAAAAACAATGGCCCGTGGGTTAGAGTCGTACAGCGAAATTTGAGGCATGGGCAGATGCGGCTTGAAGCGGGCCATGAAGTGCAGTTCTCGTACCACGAAAGAAATCTCTGCTCTGCTTCTTTCTGGGCGGAGGACATGTTAGAATGTGAAGCCCTAGATAGTTCGGCGCGCACAGTGAGATGCAAAAATTCCCGTTTCTTTGGCGACTTGAGTGGTGTGCCGATCAGGCCAGGCGCAGATGCATCTCGCTCGCCACGCCTCACTGCTACCTCAGTCTAACCAACATGTCGGACATGTTTGCTTGTGCGAAAGCTGTGTGTGTGTGCCATCACAGTACTGCGTGTGTGTGGAGCATTCCGGATGCTTGCTGAGATTGGCAGAGCGCCGGTCCGTTTGGAAATCTTGGTGGTCGCGTGTCTGGTTGAATATCCTAGCATCATCCCCCACATTAATGCGGGCTGCCGGTACGAAAGGGCACCGCGAACATGAGGGCGTGCATGATGAAGATGCCAATGCCGGCCTTTGGATTGGATTGGATTGGATTGGCGGTACTCCGTAGTATCATGCTGTTCTCGAGAGCAGAGCTGCTCGGCTCCCGAACCGAAATGTGCGTTGCCATCCAGTGCCTGGGAGGACCAGCGTCGTACTGCCCTACAGTAGTAGTTTACCGATTCCCCCAGAGATGATGCGTGGCTTCGGGACAACAGACGTCCCATTTCCCCTTGAAGCCTTCCCGAGTCATACAGTAGACGTCGTTGGAAGATGGAGACACCAATTGGAAGACTGAATTGACACGCCACGCAAACAGGTAGCCTGGCCTGGCCTGGACTGCCATGGGCTAAAAAACGCCACTCCAACCCAAAAGAATGATTCTTTGTTTTTATGCTCCGAAAGCTGCCTCCAATGTTGTCGAGTCGCCGGGGCTGGCCGATTTTAGCAGTTGGGAGCTAAAGCAAGCCATGCTTATTCCACGGCAGTAGTGTGTCAATACGGCTAGCGGCTCTGCCCTGCTTGCTCGCATTTGGCCATTGAGCGTAGAAGTTTAGGGTTCGCGATGCTCCGTGTGAGAAGTTGAACGGGGATTCCCTTTGATTAGCAGCTGGGGTCTCTCGGAAGTCGAGACGAAACAACACGACACGACACGAGACCCCGGAAAAGCAGCAGCTGGGAGATAGCACTAGGCCGGGGTGTACTATCGCGCCTCTTGTACGTAATTGCTGGTCGACATCATCGTTGGATGCCTTTCAGCTCGTGCGTGGTCGAGGTCGTGGTCGAGTCGAGCTAGGGGATCCAGTTGCAGACGGATAGATACGATGCTGGCAAAGGTTCCTGTTGCAGCTACGCGAGCCGAGCCTTATCAGAATCAGACGCCTGGCGACCTGGGGCTAAGCAGGCCATCCATGTGAGAAAGTCGCTTTGGTGGTTGCTTGGCACTGCATCGCGGCCTTGCTTCTTATCAGCTCGTCAGCTCTGCCACCCTCTTTCACCTTCTAGCAGCCACTAACAGAAGCCCAGCCCGAGACGCCTCTTTGGCTGGACGGGAGGCTCTCGGTGGCTGTTTCTGCGAACCTTCCACAAAGGGCAACGAGTCTCAAGACGCCACCGATCCCAGCACGGAGCCCAGGATCTTGATTATCCTTCCTCCCTGCTCACCCGGTTGCCTCATGTCGCTCCGGAATCCATCCTTATCTCGCTGCGGGCAGGGCAAAAGCTGACAAGGCGATATCGCGTACATATCGTTAGTCGTACAGTAAGTCGTCCAACACCGCGTCTGTCTGCTGAGTCGAGAGCCATGACATGACAGATTGGCGGACCGTTTCTGGAGCGGAGAAGATGGGCCCAGATTTGGCCTGGAATGGAGCCAGCCATGGGGCCAGCGAGAAGCCGTCCAACCATCCTCCACTCCGAATTGGCCAGAGACTTATCAGAGGGCGCGCCACTGACTGATAAAGACGCCAATGTTTTATTTTTCTTCCTTTTTCGCCTCCCGTGATGTAGATACAAGCATCAAGCATCTTGGGGACTGACTGTGGCTCGCGATGCTTCGATGGCGTCTCGTATCGAATAGAAGAGACTCTGTACTGTATGGAGAGCTTGATGATGGCATCGACTTGAACAGGCGGGCAAATAGTCCAGACTCATTTCAGTGCAAAGTCAGTCAATACCAACATATCTGCCTTCAAGTTGCTTTTCTTCTCCTCGTTGGCGATTGGTGGCGCTTGGTTGACCGATCGATCCTTTGCTTTCCCCTAAACTTTTTTTTTCCTTCTCGAATATTGTTAGTGTGCGAGGCTTCGGTGACGGGTCTAGGCAAGAAGTGACCCTTGGCGGATTGGCAGAATCAGAAGTACCTTTGGCTGCTTGAAAAAGGTTCCGGCAGTGGTGCTCAGTGAGGATTGAGCGATGCGCGCACCGTGCACAGGCCAGCTTCGACAGCCCGCCGTGTTGAAGATTGCGCGGGGGAACTTGCGGGCACAGGCACGGTGGCAGCGGGAGGCATGTACCGGATGGCTATCGATAAGCTGATAAGTGTCTGGTAGAGGTTTGTATGAGTGCAGTAAAATGTATAAGCCGAGAATTGATACGAAGCCTGCTGCTGAAATGTGGATCTCGAAATTATTGCGTAATAATCATTCTCTAGTAATATTGCGTCCAATGCCAATTGACATCTACAGTACATGATTCCTGCAAACACATGCATGTCCCAGATGCTCGGATTTGCAGACCAAGCAAGCACAGATCATCCGCCAGATTTGCTGCCGAGGTAGCGCACAGTGCGCACAGCGACAGGCCGTGTGGGGTACAACCCCTGCCCTGGTGGCGTGCCGTAAGTTGTACTTGGTCTACCGGCTAGGTACTTTGCAAGCGCCCTTTTTTCGGAGCAGCGCTACTGCTTTGGGCTGGACCCTCGCTGTACTGGACCGCTACACCCCCTGGAGCACCCCCCCAAGGCCCCCCCAAGGCCGCTAAAAGATCCATGTCGTGGATAAGTCCCAGCCAGGCCAGGGCTTCTCCACACTTTTTTTTTCACTCCCAATGTTCCCTCTCAAATCGCAAAAAGGCTGGGTTCCATCTCGAGCGAAACGGCGTGGCCGCTGCTCGTGTGGGCACGGTATTACTGCAAGGAGCATGAGCGCGTGCGACTGACTTGAGCTACAGTATGGGGATGGACGCTGGTCGGGTCCGAGTACAAAAACTCTGGCCTCGACCCCACGGAGCTGGTGATGCTTCCTCTCTTCTCCCCAGGATTCACGCCGTCATTCGTCCGGGCTTCCTCCCAGGTTCAGCTGCTTGCTAACCTGCTCTTCTTTCTTCTTTCCAAGACGCCTCAATTTTAACTTTAACCTCTGTCTAGGTCACGGGCTTGTGTGTTGTGTTGTGTTGCTTCAACAAACCCTGACTGACTAGCCTTGCTCAACCCAAGGCCAGGAATCCCCAGATCTACAGGTCTACAGAGTAGAGTAGATCGACGTCTCGGGGAAGAAGAAGAGAAATCTCATCTCAAAAAAGCCGACAGCAGACGATACAGACACATCCAACAATGGCTGATTCGTCAAAACCCGCTGCCGACCCGGCTCCCTACCACGATGCCACCGAGAGCGTCCACCACAACCCGGATCCGGCCCTGGAGCCTGCTCACCAGCACCAGCATCACCACAAGCATCACTCGGAACGAGTCGACGCTGCCGGCCATGACGATGCTGTCTACACAAAGGGCACCAACTTGGACCCGACGCTGGTGCCAGTCCAGGACCACTCCCACGATGTGCGCAGCATCGACAAGGAGCACATCCACACGCCGCCCGACTACAGCGACCACGAAAAGGTCGGCCAGACGGGCATCGTTCGCACGGGAATCGACCCGGACGAGACGGGCTCGCAGCGCAACTGGTACTTTGGCGTCCCCTACCGCTACTTCCGCGCCTTTGTCCACATCTTCATCTTCCTGCTCTTCACCGGCTGGTGGATTGCGTCGCTGATCCTGCATCGCGACGACAAGAACTGGGTCATCCCCTTCTTGCTGTGGTTGGCCATCTCGATCCGTCTGTTCTTCTTCCATGTGCCTGTGCGCTACATCTCCAACGCCATTAAGTGGGTGTGGCAGCGCACGGCTCTCGTCGTCTATGACCGCATCCCCGAGAAGCTGCGCACTCCCGCCGGTGCTGCTGTGGCCCTCGCTACCGTCCTTGCTGGCTCCTTTGGCTCCGAGGAGAGCGCCGACAACACGCGCGCCAACCGTGCCGTCAGCTTGTTTGGCATGCTCGTCATCCTCTTTGGCTTCTGGATCACCAGCAATGCCCGCAAGCACGTCAACTGGCGAACCGTCATCGGTGGCATGCTTGGCCAGTACATCATTGGTCTCTTTGTCCTGCGAACCGGTGTTGGTTACGATATCTTCAAGTTCATTGCTGATCGTGCCGGCGACTTGCTTGGCTTCGCTCACGATGGTGTTGCCTTTTTGACCACCCCTGACGTGGCCGCGCTCCCCTGGTTCTTCTTTGGCGTCATCCCCGCCATCATCTTCTTCATCTCCCTGGTGCAGGTCCTGTACTACATTGGCTTCATCCAGTGGTTCATCAAGAAGGTGGCCATCTTCGTCTTCTGGGCTCTCAATGCCTCTGGTGCCGAGGCCGTCGTCGCTGCTGCCACCCCCTTCATTGGCCAGGGAGAGTCTGCCATGTTGGTCCGTCCCTTCGTCCCCCACATGACCAACGCCGAGCTTCACCAGGTCTTGACCTGTGGTTTCGCCACCATTTCCGGCTCCGTCCTGGTTGGTTACATTGGTCTTGGTCTCAACGCTGAGGCGCTCGTCTCCTCTTGCATCATGTCCATCCCCGCCTCCCTCGCCATCTCCAAGCTTCGCTATCCCGAGACTGAGGAGACTCTTACCGCTGGCCGTGTCGTCATCCCCGACGACGACGAGCACAAGGCTGAAAACGCCCTGCACGCCTTTGCCAACGGTGCTTGGCTCGGAATCAAGATTGGTGGCACCATCATTGCCTCGCTGCTCTGCATTCTCGCTGCCGTCGGTCTCATCAACGGCCTCCTTACCTGGTGGGGTCACTACATCAACATCAACGACCCTACCCTGACTCTCCAGACCATTCTGTCCTATGTCTTCTACCCGGTTGCTTTCTTGCTTGGTGTTCCTCGAGACGGCGATCTCCTCAGGGTTGCCAAGCTCATTGCCGAGAAGGTCATCACCGTAAGTATCACCTCTTTCCACCCTCTCTTTCACATTGGCAGTCCTCCATCTTTCTCTCCGTCTCTCTCTCCGCCTCCCACTTGTGTCTTTGATTTTGTGACGTGATAATGACAATTGTTGCCTCAGAACGAGTACAATGCCTTCAACGCCATGGCCACCGACCCATACTACGCGGACATGTCTCCTCGCTCCCAGCTCATTGCCACCTACGCTCTCTGCGGCTTCGGCAACATTGGCTCTCTGGGTATCCAGATTGGTATTCTCAGCCAGCTGGCCCCGTCCCGTGGTGGTGACGTCTCCCGACTTGCCCTTTCTGCCCTCATCTCTGGTGTTTTCTCGACCTTGACCTCAGCCTCCGTCGCTGGTCTTGTCGTTACCACCCAGCTCTCCCACTTTACCAGACCTCCGGCGTCTGGTTAATTGGAGTTTTGTGCGTGTTTCATGTGAAAGATTTGTGCCATGTAAGGAGATTATGTGTGTGTTTTGTTAAAACAGAGACGAACGAGAGGATGAGCAACATGAAGAGATGGAGAGAAGATACCCCACCAATCATCTGTGCTCGGATGTGGATGGTCAAATTAAGGAGCATATCTAATTACCATGATGAGATAAAAACATCAATCAAAACAAGTCGCCCGTAAACGATCCCTTTGGGTCGGGCATGCCACGTTTACGTGTCTCCCGTTGATCCCCATGCGAGTTGTGTTGTGTTGTGTGCTGTATCTCTGATATGTGTCCATGATATTGACATAAGAAGTTATTGGCTGGTCAACTGCATGAAATTGCCTTTAACAGCCCCCAATGGCTTGTATTTCCATCAACCAGCATTCACTCGCACAATTTCCATATCTGGCAAATTTAGCTGCGCCCTTTGCTAGCCAAAAGGTGCAACAAACTATCTTGCAGACAGCTCCAGCTGCTCCACACAAATCTTCACCCCCGCAGTGAGATCGGGGAACTTGGCCCTGCCTTTTTAAAGTGGCTGCATCTCCGCAACTCGAGTGAATCCCATCTTCAGTTTATAACAATTATATTCCAAAGACAAATAAGGTTCATTCACTTTATCGGCTCATTATATCATGGCTAGTATTTCGTTTCGCAAGTTTATTCGATGGCTGCCGGACGAGGCGAGCGAACCAACATCTACGCTGGTTCTGACGTCTCCCGAAAAGAGGTTTGTCGATGTACGAGTGACGTTGGCTGATGGTCATGATTCTCTGTCTGCTTCTGAAGGTAATCACTACACTATTAAAACCCGGTGATAAGAGCAGTGGATAAGGTCTGACTTCAGAATGCAGAGATTCTCCCCTTGAGTCGTCTAGACTGGGCCATGGCGGGAACATCTTCATCAACTGTCCTCGGTGAGGGACACTCCCTTTCCCGTTGGAGGCACTGGATCGATTCTCGGTCATTGGATGCACCTCCCGATGAAGGCCATATGTACGCCCAGCCAGATGGATTGAGCACCCTCGAGAAAGGGCAGATGACGAACCCTGCCACGGGGAAGGACACAGATTACGAAGAGATGTGGTTTGATCCGCCGCCAAAGACTACGGGCGGGAACAAGGCGCTGTGTGTGGTGCTCGTGATGGAGGACGAGGAGAAGGGGAAGAAGGGCATGGTTGTTAGGCTGGGGGAGTGGGCGCAGGTATTTGTGAGGGACGGGGCGGGGGAGGAGGATCTTGTGGCGGAGAGGTGGGAGTGGCGAGATGATGATGGGAAGGGATGGAGGAGGAGGGTGAGGTTGGGAGATGGGGGGAGGAAGTTGCCGTGTGAGGAGATTTTGGGGGCGAGAGATGTCAAGGTTGGTGATGAGGTGAGAGTTGGGGATGAGGTTTGGAGGGTTGTGGAGGCGACAGAGGTATAGAGTTGAGGATATGATTCTATAATTCTATACATATATAAAGGCTGAGATGTAGATACGAAGCAGCTGTTCAGATCATCTTGGACGCTCTCATGATACCGCACTCTTGCGGAACTGCGTCAGCTCACTCGGCAGTCTCTGAATGGCCTTCGCCTCCAACTTTGTCAACGGTATCGAAAACCACTTCTCCAACGCCTTAACTCTCTCCTCCTCATTGGTCATCGTCTCCAGCACTTCGATCCCCTCTCCGCCCTCAACCCGCTTTCTCACCTCCCCCTGGAACATAGTCAACACGCCTTGCAGACCATCTCCCCTGTCATTCAGAATACCCTTCAAGACGATAACTTGGTTGACGAAAATAGACGTGCGGTTCGTGCTGCAGAAGTAATTGTTCACTTCATAATCTTCGCGGAAATACTCCGTCTCCGTGAAGCAGTACCGCTCGACCCATTCTGCTGAAGGGTCGTCTTGTGAGGAATACACCCATAGGGGCTGTGTGGAGGGGGAAGTGGATTGTGCGATGGGGCGGAACTCGAGTTTTCCTCGCCGGGGGAGGATGTTGTCGAATTCGAAGCCGGATGTTAATGGCACGGGACGGAAGACGCCGTAGCTGCCGAAGGCGACGTCGACGAGGAAGCGTCTCTCGCTGATGGTGACGATGTTGGCGCAGTGAGTCCTGGCGAGTGTTTTTGTGTCAAGAGATGGTCGGGTTCTGGATATATAGAGAGAAGGGTGAGATGATGGTTGGGAGATTGGGACTTACATGCCGCCGTATCGGGGACCGACTTTGACTCTTGCGCCGATGGGGAGGACGGTGAAGCCCAGGACCTTGAGGATCTCGCAGAAGAAAGTGTTCATCTCGAGACAATACCCGCCTTTGCTCTTCTCTACGACCTTTTCGAATAGGGCTTCTGGGTCGAGAGATAAGGTGCGATGAGGGGAATAGTGAAGGCCGATGGACTCGAAGGGCACTCGCGCGAGATGATGGGCTTGGAGTTCAGTGAGGAGCTGGAGTTCATCGCGGGGATGCTGTGAGCGAGGGTACGAGATGTGCTCGAGGTAGCGCGTGAGTTGGTCTTGCGAATATATAGCCATTTTTATCTTTGCCGTCACTGTGATTGTCGGGTTGCGGGAGAAGGACTGAGACTGAGAGAAATGGAGTTGAAGGCTTCCATCTCGGTATTTACCAGACTTATATACTAGTCTCAATAGTTTCGATTAAAGAAACAAAAGACTAACAGCTTGTGATTTCGGCTAATGCCACAGACAAGGCTTGTAAATTGTAAGCATCAATTAATTCCTTTTGTCATCCAGTCGGATGTGTACCGTTTCGGTTCCCTTTGCCGCCGCTTCAAGTAATACGGCCATGCATCCCTCCGGCCCCGCACAGTCGCTATTCCGACTCCCGATCGGACTGCCGAAAGGCCGTAAGAAGGGCATGCGGAGATACGTTTCGAAGAAGCTAGAGGAAGGATAAATAGAAGTTGATGCGGACAATTCGATACATTGGCTTTATTGCCTCACATGATGATTAAACGACCATTTGCTGCACCATGGACGTCGTTGGACACGTTTGCTGGGTGAGACGTGGCACGCAGAGAGTCGATGCCCAGCTGCCCAATGCCGACGTGCTGGTGGGGACGGGATATCAGCTTCCAGGTTGTTATATGTGCGTCAGACTGACGGACAGATAATGGATTGTCGTCGTTGAAGGAATTGGGCCTGAAAAGATTCAGCAGAGAGTCAAGTGAGAGAAGATCAGGATAGCATCAATGGAAACTCCAACGCCAAAGAGAACCATCAAGGCCATCTCGCCAAGGTAACACTCAACCTCTCACATCATCAAGTCATTGACACACTTACTCTGGGCTGGGACGCTCACATCAAAAACAGGTCCAAAATTCCTGTCAAAGCCCCCATCAAACTCCCCATCAAGCTCCAGCACAACACAAACTACGCCCAAATCACCTACTTCAACGTCCCCGACAAGCTGCAGCGCTCACCCTCGCTCAAGAGCTTAGACTCACCCTCACTTAAGAGCTTAGACATTACGCGTCTCCCCGAGGACCTCAAGCTCATCGGGCCCGAGAACTGGGCGCCCTGGTCCAGCGCCATGATGGCCGTCGCAGAGCTCTCGGGCTTCGACACGGCTGTGCTGGAAGAGATGCCGCAGGCGGTGCATGTGAGTTGTTGGCATAATAGCCAGAAGACGAGGGAGCAGGTGCGTGAGGGGAAGATGTTGGGGCTGTTGATCAAGTTTAATATTTCGGCGCATATGAATGACTTGGTGAGCTTGACTATGGATGGGTATGAGGTGTGGAAGGTGCTTAAGCTGTATTGTGCGAGGTTTGTGGAAACGGATCCGTCGAGGATGCTTAAGAGGAATGGGGGATGTATTCGCATCTCGTGAGGAGGCATGTTACAAGATTGAATGGAGGTGTTTTGAGGGTCATTTTGAGGTAGGATGAGTGATTGAGTGATGATGTTACGGAACAAGGATATGAAGATGAGTAAGAATATGACACGGGGATGATGGTAGGGAAATATGATAGGTGAGACGGCTTTTAAGCTTATGATGTTGACGAACTTTGTTGCCACAGTATGGTATTCTTACTTTTTGGACTTATAAAATTGTTTGCTACGCTTATATATCCAGCTCAGATTGCCAATTGATCGATTGCAAGCTATATTTACTGTTCACCCACACCCGACGCTATCTACGCCCTATTATGAACATGACATGGGGGATTCCCGCCTTTCGATCCTAGTTTCGGCGGCATATGATCCGAGTGTGGAGTATGCGATATCCACAAGACTGGGATCCAAGTTGATTACCAGATTGTCGTGATGCTGTAAGATATATCTTTCAGTTCAAGAAAAGTAAATTGCCCGTTCTGTCTTCAAGCAACATCACTTCAACAACTCGGACCAAAATGACCATTACCAACATACAGACAGGAGATCAAGAACCCAGCCTCCTGCACCGCTCTCTTATCGAACGCCCTCAAAAAGTCATCTCTGGGTCAGGCATCTACCTAACACTGGCTGATGGTTCTCGCATCCTCGATGGATGCTGCGGCGCCGCCGTGTCAGTCATCGGCCATGGCAATAAACAAGTCCAGGATGCCATTATGCAGCAGTACTCGAGTATCGAATACGTGCACACCATGGCTTACACGACATCCAGCGCAGAGGAATTAGCTGATGCCCTCACCGAGTTGAGCAAGCCTTTTGGTTTGACCAAGGCCTACTTTGTTTGTTCCGGTAGTGAAGCCGTGGATGCGGCCATGAAGCTTGCGAGGCAATATCATGTCGAAAACGGCCAGCCGCAGAGAAAGAGGTTTGTTGCTAGGAGACAGGCATATCATGGCAATACCATTGGGGCCATGAGCGTGAGCAGTAACTTACCGAGGAAAGTCCCTTATGATGGCGTCTTGACGCTTGACAATGTGAGCTTCGTCAGTCCGGCATACGCATATCGCGGTCAGCGAGATGCCGAGACAGAGGGACAGTACGCTGCTCGGTTGGTTCAGGAGCTGGACGAGGAGTTTCAGCAGGTAGGCCCTGAAACGGTCATTGCTTTCGTGGCGGAAACTGTGGGAGGAGCAACTGCGGCTTGTATCACTCCTCCAAGGGGATATTTCGAAGGTGTCAGGAAAGTGTGTGATCGATATGGCATCTTGCTCATCCTGGACGAAATCATGTGTGGGAGTGGCCGGACGGGGTCGTATCTCGCCTTTGAGCGAGAAGGTGACGTGAGGCCGGATCTCGTTACGTTGGGTAAGGGTCTGGGGGGAGGATATGCGCCTATTGCGGGCGTCTTGATTAGTGAAAAGGTCGTCCAAGTCTTGAAAAGGGGCTCGGCGAGTTTCATTCATGGGCATACCTACCAAGCTCATCCGGCGTGCTGCGCGGCGGGCTTGGCTGTTCAGCAAATCATTAAACGTGATGATTTGGTGGCGAAATGTCTCTCCAGGGGAGCTCTTTTGGAATCCAGACTGCGCTCTGTTCTCGGAGACGCAAAGTATGTGGGAGAGATTCGCGGCAGAGGCTTGTTCTTGGGGATCGAGTTTGTGCAGGGCAGAGCATCCAAGCAGCCGTTCAAGCCAGCGGTCAAGTTTGCTAGTAGGATGCAAGAAGCAGCTCATAGTCGCGGCCTAGCTGTGTATCCGGGGTCGGGGACTGTAGATGGAGTGAATGGCGATCATATTATTCTGGCACCACCGCTGACGATAACGGAAGAGGAGGTTGAGGAGATTGTGAGGCTGTTGAAGATGGCGTATGACGCAGTAGAAGAAGATCTGGGTGTGTAAGTGTTATACAAGATTACGCTATAGAACCTCGTGAAAGGAATATGAATCAAGGTATTCAGGTTTTTGTACAAACGCTCCATCAAGTATAAACACCTGATTCACGCACGCCTCTAACAATGCCAAGAAGACACGTCCCAATATACGTCGGCTTCTACTCCACACACGTGAATCGAGGTGTCACTTGGCCAAACGAGCAGCCACGGCCGTTTGCTCGCAGCTGGGACCCCGAGCTTTTGAGCGATGCTGGTCCAAGTGGTTCAAGAAATCTCTGGGATCAAGACAGATTCACTTCTCAGCAGCATCTACTTATACCCTCATCTCCCTCACTCTCTCGATAATTCTCCTTGTCTACACCCACCAAGAAGACAACCTCCCCCTGCAATCCAAGAGACCATTCTCAACACGACAAACTCACATTCTCTCCATCAACCATCGCACCATCAAAATGTGTAACTGGGACACCTACCTCTACATGTGCGGATGCTTCGACGTGAAGCTCAGATCCCAGTGCCAGCCTGCCCGCCAGGAAGACTTCGAATTCTGCAGCGCCAGCGGGCAAACCGTCAAGGCGGCGTGGTGCTATGCCCAGCCGTATCTCTGTGGGCGATGCAGGCGCATGGAATATCAGTCGGGACGTCCAGTTAGACGCTACATTCCGGCCTGGAACGAAATGGCTCCTGTTGCCCAAAACATGGCTGCACACAGAGCGAGGGCTCGGCATTGAGGCCAATTGGAGGCGTCTAGAGGTCTCCGGTTTCGTTTTTGGGAAGCTCACGGGTAATTCAAGGCTGTGGTGTCATCAACATGGGTGGAATAGAGCGGATTGGATTGTATATTCCATTTCAGCTGTTCGATGTTGACGTGTAACAAAGATTGGAAAGTCGAGGCATGCGAGTATGAGGAGACTAGACACCATTTGGATTGAGATTGGTATAGCTGCGCATAGGATATCAAGAAATCAACCAAGCTTTTGCAGTGATGCTTCCAATGACTTTGTGGTGATTCGTCCCTAAATGCACATGCATGCATTTCTATACTACTCTTCTTATGACTACCTCACATCGCGGCGTAAAAGGATTCCAGCCAGTAATTACATGTAAGTTCACTCAAAGTATCGCTGCCACAATCACTGCATCGTCTTCAACGCCAATAGTCAAATATGAACCTATGTTTGCCTGTCTGGAAGTCTGCATCTCGGCTGTCGTCAATGTCTTCATTCACGCCAAGCTTCCTCTTGTGTTGCCATAAGGAGCATCTCTTCAGGTCACAATTGGGTCTATTGGACCGGTACTGAGGTTTCAATAGCCGTATCCTCTACACGTTTTGTCTTTTCTTCCCCAGACTTTCGCTCTGAGGAACCAGGCGGTGATGCTGTTTCAGGCTCAGTCACATTCGTTCCATTCTCCGAGCCCGTTGTCCGTTCATCTTCGCTTGACGTGTTAGTCGTATTAATATTCGCTTGTTTTGCCTGATTATGTGTACACTGTTTCAAATGCTCGGAGTAGTCGCGCCTTAGTTCAGTAAGCTCTTTCATAGACTGGAGTATAAATTCGTATTGCGCTCTGTCCACAATTAGCTACTGACGAGAAGAGACCATACGGCACATACTCCCGATATGTGCTTCTCAAAAGCTCCACAGAAGTAATAAAAGAGTCAATCTCTTCAGGCAGTCTCTCAACCAATACCCCTCTGCCGACATTGTACGCATTGTCGTCGTCTGCTCGCATCACAGCCTCCATCATGCCTTGAGTTTGCGCAAGGCTATCATGACAGATACCGACACATAGATCGGATCCTGGCATCGTATCGTTTTGCGAAATCTTTCGGTATATGGTACCAAGAAGCAGAACGCTGACTTGAAGGCGCTTCAGAAGCGGTGATAGCCGTCCAAAATTTGTCATGGCGGCTGCGGCGCTGCGAAACTTGGCGATGCGTGGGAGAGAGTGCTTGATAAGGCCATCGAGGCCGATGACGATGGGCGGAGGAGCATCCATGATCATTATGATGTGTTAAAGCTAGAATAAAAGTCTTTATTTAAACGGATGAATTGCGATAAATGGTCAAAGGGGGGCAAGAAAGATTAAAGATTGTGCGATGCCGAATGAACAGTGCACTTGAACAAAATTAAGACAAGGAGCGACAGGCGACGGACAAAAGAAACTCAAGCGAGAAAGGGATCAAGGGAAGACGAACAAGAAGAGGAAAATGGGCAAATGGGGTTCTCGTCCATAAAGAGCAAGACATACAGTAAGACACGGAACATGGTGTTGTACAAGGATCGACACATAGCACCCCTGTGAAGATTTAGGCGCCGAATATGCCAAGAATTATGTCTTCAGCATAATAGCTCTGTGGAGAATTGGGGTTAGCCGTGAAGTTGAGAATCCTACCATTAAAGAGAGGTGGACGACTTGGACAGATGATGGGTCGAGGTGGGATTCTCTCTTTTCAGCTCACAGAGACACTTATACACACTCTTTGTTTGTGCAAAACAATGATATGCAAGCGACATATGGGCGCTTTTCTATCATTATGATAATCTTCATGTACTGTACGGAGAACTGCGAGCGGCCATCAAGAGTCTGCATGTCGATCACCTAGCTGCACTCCATCAGTTCGTCTTCACTGGGTGGGCACAGTCATGCAAAGCGCCAGGCACAGAGTATCACAAGCTCCGGCACCACACCCAGGTTCAGATAGGAAGCCATCGCGGTGGATTTCTTGGCAATTTCTCAAGCGTAACATCTTGAACTTCTTACGTTTATGTACTTGGGCGATATCTCGTGGATGCATTGCCGGACATAATATTGTCTATTGAACACGATGCACGTTACTCTACACAGCTGCTTCTATTGACCATTAATCTTCCAAAATGCAGAAGAAAAGAAATACTTTTAATCTATTCTATAATCCAAGGCGGAGAAGACCCCTCAACCCTCGTCGTCTCAAAATCGGCACCCCGATTCTGACGTTATATAGCCCCCAACTAGCAGGGATCTCCCGTGTGGCTTACAGAGCACCTCCCCGAGCTTATGTGGTATAGATCCGCCCTTGAAGCAAGGGGTTACGGAGTACATGATGATCATATGCTTGTTTTGCGTGGACCCGAATGTCCTTCTTGCATGTGGCAGCTCAGCTCAGCTAGTGTGTCGAATTCCGAAAGATTGGAGGAGTGGCACGGTGCGTGATGATCTTGAACCAAGAAATCCAGCCACATTCAGATACCATATTAGATATTGAAGGTGAATGTTACCCTTTTCTCCTTGATATTTGACCCGCTTCGGGATTCAGAGACTACGTGTACTCTGGTGGGTGCCACAGAGGAGCATCACCGATCTGTATGAGTATGAGAGTAAGAATACTAATAGCGTCCCAGTCGGTCCGAACGCCTCATGTCCACAAACCATACATGTATACCTACATGACGGTACATCTCAAATCAAGTGGCTGCAAAAGCTTCCGTGTAATTCACCATCCTCATCCTCATCGTCATGAAAGAACCTCCAAGTCTTCGTATTCGAGCTTCATTATGCCATATCCTAACGCTAATAGACGACAAAAACATCATGTGCCGTTTCCGACATCCAGTCAATCTCAAACGAATTGTCCAAATCAACATACACTAAAGAAAAAAGCTTCAATGCGTTCTTCCCATGCTCAAATGCCATTGTAAAAACTTTATAAAAAGATACCCTAAAAGGCATCACCATCACTAATCCATACCCCCATACCAACCCGTACCTTCATCACCAGTTCGGCCTCATATTCATCTTATCCCTGAAAAATCCCTTCATATCCTCCACCCCCCTCGGCGAATTCAAAAAAGGAAACGCATCCTCGTACTCCTTCCAAACAACATCCTCCACGCTGCTCTCGAGAACCACCTCTCGGAATGTCCTGCCCTGCTCCACGTACGGTTCCCCACCATTGCTACAGTATTGCAGCAACAAAGGCGTCTTCTTCAACACCTCGTTTTCCGCCGGTGAAATACGGTTTGGACTGAAGAGCTGCTGTGTTGAGGAGAGTCGTATGTCGGACACTGGGATCTGTCCTGATATCCCCACGAAGCTACCCAGGCGCTGAGGTCTGTTCCCATCCACGTCCATTAAAGAGTCGCCTTCCAGACTCATCAACGCCATCAACGCCATGCCTGCACCGTGACCAATACCGCCGAGGATGATCCTATCCCAGCGGCCACCTAGCATCACAACCTCGTTCCGTATAACCTTTTGTAGCTCTCGAACCCTCTCCCTAAGTCCGGGCAGCATGTTTCGCAACCGCCGTTCTTCGTCACCATCGGTCATGTCGCCTCTCCACCAGCTTGGCTGGCCTCTGTGTATCCCATGCTGTATTCCCGTGGATATGGACAAGACAGATGGTGTGAGTGGTTCATCGGTGGGCGCTTGGGGGAATACCCACCTTGTCGAGGCAAAGTTTTGGATAATGGATCGCCATGAGAGGTCAGTGGCTTCGTGTAGTTGGTTGACGGTGTCGCGCGCGAAGATGCGGTTATCGTGTAGGAATATGACGGTATGCGTGTGTGGCCTCGATGGAGGAATGGTGGTGAGCGGGAGATCTGCGACCATTGTATCTCTTTTCTATTCTTCCTCTCTGTATGTGTGTGCTGTTGTCACGAATCTCTTTCCGGCCAAGAAGAATTTCAAGTATATAAGAGAGCAAAAGCTATCACATAAGAAGATGAATATCAGCAACGTCCCACAAGGGCAGGCATTATACCAAGCGAAGATGCTAGCCGATAGACGACAGACATACCCAGCTCCCAAGCAGCGCAACCCCCTTCTCTTATTTCAAGTAAAACAAGAGCCCAGCCCATCTCCATCGATCTTTATCCCGAGTCCAGACCCCGCTCCGCCTCAAATCACCGATCTGCTGCCCGAAAAGCCCATCAATCACAGAATGAAGGCGTGTTAAACGACGGCAGCACAGATAAGAGGAAGTGGGAAGAGCCCAACATGCGGACAAAAGAGGAAAAGAAGGAAAAAAAACAAAAAGTAACCAATAAATGAATGAAGCAAGGTGACAAATGACAGCTGTCAGACTCGGTGTAACGGTTACCTCACGAAAACCACAAACAGCATTCGTGCGAGTATGTGGGAATGAGAATGAGAGAGAGAGAATCCAAAAAGGATGGACTCGGGCGAGATTTGCAAAGCCGCAGTCCATTCGCATACAGTTATGCCGCGGCATCCGTGCCTCTCGCGATCTAGGCCCTTGGCCTTCTTTTTTTCTATTTTCTCATCCTTTCTCACAACCGTGTCCTCAAATAGAGATAAGGCACAAACTCTGCTGCAAGCCATGGTCGGATATGAAGCGGAGATTGAATGCGAGCCGTAAGTGGATGGATGGGGGACAAGGTTCACAAAGGCGCGATGCAGGGTGGCATCGGTACGACGGACGGGGGGAGGAAAAAAAAAAAGTTCACGATCGTTGGCAAAGCGTTTCTCATTAATTAAACAAACACACCCTTCGGCTAGACTAAATATAGCCAGAGATCGAGGTCTAGAAGTTCGGAAGACATTATCCGAAGCTGAGCACGACTGGCGCCAAGAACTCCCGGCATCCCGTACAATAAGCACCCCTCCCCTCCCTTCTCCGGTCGTCGGCGGCCCTTTTGTTCTTTTTTTCTCGGGTCTCCTTTTTTTGACTTCTTACATCTTTTTTGTGATATGCCCGGCAAAATGGTATCGTGGTCTGGACCGAGGAGGAATATGCGATGCATCCTTTCACAGGATGGAGGGGGAGGTGCATGGCTAGAGCAAACAAAGTAAGGCAATGAAACAACCGATCCGTTACGCCTAATGCCATCAAGCATGTGTTCACCCAAAGGACCCCCCGGTGGAATTTTATCAAAGGAGAGAAGGAGGATAATAGAGAGAGAAAAGAGAGAATATGTAAAGTTAAGATATAAAAGAAACAAAAAGATTAGTTATCCTCTTTGATAATGACAGGCTCCGACTGGACAAAGTTGTCCTGAGTACTGTTCTGACTGCTGTCGTGGCTACGGCTCTGCTCCTTGGCACGCTTCGTCTTGAGGTGCTTGATGGCATCGCCCGTCAGCTCCTGGCGAGTCAGCAGCTTCCACACGTCCTTCTTCCTCGTCTTCCTGTCGCCAATGGTAATGACCAGACCCGCGGTGATGTTGCACGTTATGCTGACACAGAGGATGACGGTGGTGATGGCAAATGGCCGGTGGTGGTAGTCGATGCCCCAGGTGGTGGCACCGAGGGAAATCTGCAAGCACGAGTGGCAGTCGAGCAGTATGACAATGGCAATGAGGTAGGCAAGTGGGAAAGCGTGGTGCGTAAAGGTCTCGTCGGGCTTGTAGAAACTGTGCGACTTGGCCAGCTTCTTCTGATGGTGCCGCATCCTCTTCCACTGCTTGTACGTTAGCGGAGAGTCCTCGTCGTACTCAATGTCGAGCTTGGCGGCCTCGACGTCGCCGTCCTGGCCCACAATGGCCTGCTCAGGCTGGGGCACTGGCACCGGTGCTGCGAGGTTGCTGTTGCTGGTGGCGATTCGTTCGACCGATGCGCCGGCGCTGGCGGGTTCGAGACCGCCGCCGACCTGGGCGTTGTCGGCCAGTGGATCACCGGACGCGCAGTGCGAGAGCTCGACGCTGTTGCCAGGGATGCCGTCGATGATGCCGGCCTCCTTGTCTTTTAGCTTCTGCTTCTTGGCTTTTGCGATTTTGCGCGAATAGTGTACGACAAAGGCCATGTGGTACGTGTCAACGGCCCGAAAGGGGGCCAGGCCGTCGCCCATGATGGCGAAGAGAGCGACCAGCACGCTGTCGATGATGTGGATCGTGTACACCTGCTTGTCGCCCACGTAGATCCAGCCGATGAGGAACAGCACCCAGGCCAGGCCGAACAGGGTGATGAGCGTGGCGTAGAGGGTGACGAAGAAGCCCAGCGGGCGGCGCACGTACTGGCCGAAGCCCTTCATGGTGCGCTTGAAGCGCGACCGCCGCGAGTGCAGCATGTGGCGCACGCGGTCGTCGAGCTCGAGCTTCTCCTCCTCGGTCCAGCCCTCGAGGCTAAAGCCGTGCGGCAGCGCAGCATAATGCGAGTCTGTGAGCCTGGACGTGATGGTGTCGGATCTGCGCAGCGTCGCCGGCGCCCCGGCCTCGGCCTCAGCCACGGACTCGACGCCAGTCTCGACCCTCGACACATCGTCGGCGGGTGGCAGCTCCTCTTCACGCTCACGCTCGCGCTCGCGCTCTGCAGGGCGGCCCAGCCGTGCAAGCGGTGCATCGCGCGGTGACAAGACATAGGTGGGGCGACGATTGATCCAAGGGCCAAGATCAGGCACGAACAGGGAGTTTTGCACGTTGGTCAAGGTCGAAAGAGTCTGGACCTCGGGATCTAGTCACACAAAGACATGTCAGCAACTGCCGGAGCTCGTTCTAGACTCGGCTGAGAGGATGGGGGTCACCGCTTACCAATGATATCCAGCCAGTCCACCAGGTCTTCGCCGTACTCATCGGATTGGGGTTGAGCCCGTGCAGGATCGATGTTTTGCTGTGCATCGGCGGGCCCAGCTTGAGATTGAGAGCCCCGATTGATGGAGCCGCCGGGCCAGAACAGCCTGCTAATCTTTCTCTTCCTGGACAGCCTCCTCGAGGGCTCAGAGCCCACAGACATGCGACGAGCATCGTCGTCTTCCAGCGGATCTTCGGGCAGCGACCTCGCGGGCGAAATGGGCGAATTCATTCCAAGCTCTGCCATGGTTGGCCGCGAGCCTTCTTCCGTCAGTCGCGGCAGGGCCAGCTGAGGCACACGGCGCGAGTGTCTGGCGGCGTTGGCATCATAAACCTGGGCCGGGGGCATCGGCTGCGAGATGCTTCGCGGCCTCGCACCGAATCTACGCGTCTCGTTGTCGCTACTCTCCGACGCATAGTCGAGGTTCGCTGCAGAGGCGCCGCTGGAGCTGCGTCGAATGCGGATGCTAGGCTGGCGAGTTCGCTCGTAAACTGGGCGGCCAGACTCGGATCCTGCCGTCGACGGCGCGCGGCCGCGGATGCTGGAAGTTCGCGAGACTGCGCTGGACGTGGTGCCGAGGGGTGGAAAGTATTCCGTCTCCGACTCCTCGGCGGCGTCTGGCGTGGGGAGATTGTAGGAGCGGCGGGACGAGATGGATCCCAGGCGGCGGTTGGAGCCCCCGACGGAGTATCGCGGAGGCAGTTGCAAGCTGGATCCATCGCCGGTCGCAGCTGGCGGAGCTGGCGCTGCTGATTGCGGTCTTGATGGTGGAAGAGAAGAAGTTGGTGCTTGTCCCGGTAGTTGGCCTTGTCCTTGTGTTTGTGTTTGTCCTTGAGCTTGTTCTGGCGGCGGCGCTGACACAATGATAGTATGCGGGTCAACATCTTCATCGTCGTCTTGCCGGCGAGACGAAGCCGATCGCCATCGCGATAATCGCGAGCGGTTGGGATTCATCGTGGATGAACTGGGGGGAGAAATGAAGCGGACGGTGCAGTATCAGGTCTGAGCGGGTGGCTGGCGACACAGCATAAGTTATTTGATGGATTTGGATTTGCCGGTTCAATTGTCAAGTTCTGCTTAGTCAGAGCAAATGATGCGAACGAAACAAACAAGCAAAAACAGCGTCCCCGTCCAGGGAAGATGGGAATCGAGAGACAAAGCGGCTAACACGAGAATGAGAGAGAAAGAAAATAAAAAATGATATTATAGAATGAAAAGAAAGAGAAGAGAAAATGGAATCAATGGCCGGAGAGGGAGGGAATAAGGGGGAATAGCAGCAGATACTCAGCCAGCACACGCCGTACCGAGTACAGTACAGAAGTGATACAGCTGAATGCAGCAAGATGTAGCCTACAGTACCGTACAGTACAATACAGTATGTACAGCAACTGTAGAACCACCAGCTGAAGATGTAATTGGATGTGATGGGATGGCGATGGCGATCAATTCGAACTTCTGACCAGCTCAGACTCTGACAACTGACTCTGACAGCGGCACAGCAACGACGACAAGCGGCAAATCAATTGAATTGCCGCGCCTCTCTCTCGCTGTCTCAGTCTCTCGTCCTCCGGGCGGAACGACGGATCCTTCGGTCCTGGGCGAGAAAAAAGTTTCAACGGCGCGAAGAAGAACAAGAAAAAAAGCGAAAAGCCACAGGGCCTCTGCCAGGCTGGGCGCTACGCCTTTTAGCGCTCGACAGACGCTGCAAATTTGCCGTCCACGAGCAGGGAAATTGGGAAGCCGTCAACGTGCCATTACGTCACATGCAGCCAACGAGGCCCGTATCGAGTAATGGCGGGCTGCTTTGTCAGACGATAAGGTCGAATTAGCAACTTGGGCTAGCACTGGACTGGGGAAAGGCTGGTTTTTAATTCTTTATTTTTTGATTTCTTTGATTTCTTTTTTCTTTATAATTTATTAGAGATGGGACAGGGGGGCGGCAGTTGTTGCTCTTTAATTTTGTTTTTCTTTTGTTTTCTTTTTGACTTGGGCTGCATTAGGCTGCTTCAGTTCATTTCAATCCATTCCAAAGGTAAACAAATAGACAATTACTCGTACTCAACATCAGTGACAACACCATCATCACCATCATCATCATCATCATCATCCCGCTGTATCCATATCACTCACTCACTTACCCCATATTACTGTAGGTATCCATCTGCTATCCACGACGTCAATAGCGCACTTTCAACCCCGTAATTGAGCACTCAGCGTCAGGCACTCCATTTTAATAACTGGGGGTTCCGGCACATCATGTGAAGCTTGGCTGTGCACGCCCGGATGCTCTCGGTAGCAGCAGCACGTTCTTGACTAATTGCCCGCAACATGCAATTACATGTCAATTACCCTCTCGACGCGGCTATTTATGCGCAAAGGGTACGGTAACCTGTTCGTACTCGTACATACGTCCTGTCCAGTGATCAGGGCAAATGACGGAGTGAGTGGCTCGACTTATTCGACAATATCCCGTTAACTCCTCGGACATCGGAAGTGCTGGTAGTATCTGCATCTGTACGCGCCCTTCTAATACCACATCACCGAACACGTCCATTGACGATATTCGACTCGATTCAGTTCACCTTCATCCCGCTTCTTCTTCTTATCTTGCCGCGGAATAAACATCCCGCCTAATAACCTGAGCACGTGAGATGGTAAGCCGCGTCAACGTTCAAGCTTGCGTGCTCAAGCCATCGCCCTTCGCCTTAGCCGCTTTTGCCTCAATCTGGCCCATTGTGCCCGATTCGTCATGGCTTACCCGGGAACTACGCCTTTGGTCTGCGTGTCACTTCCCACCGCCACCACAGCTTACTTACTTGCTAGTGTGAATCTTGGAATCAAAGAGTAGTATATCAAGAGTATATATATATATATATATATATATATATTTCTTTTCTACCGTGGGATCTTCTTCATATCCATCCCAAACAGCAGTGTGGTATCAGAGTTTAAAAAGTGAACGTGGTACCAAACATCACATCCAAACCACCCGTAAGCTGGCAGATGGATATAGCCTGGACCTTATTAAACAATGCCGCGCTCCAAACAGGACTAGAATAAGCTCAGAAAAAAAGAACCAAGATCCCCCCATTAAAACAAACAATACCCAAATCCAAATCCATAAGCTGCCCGCTCATTCAGAATCATTATCATTGCCATGTCTCTCCGCGTTTGCAATCGCAGACTCAACCGCCTCCTGCAGGTCAAAGTGAAAGTACGGCCTGTTCAAGCCCCGAATAGCAACCAATCGTCTGCTGCTCGGGTGCGAGGGAACGTCCTTGTCAGAAGCCTTTGAAATGTCATCCGAGTTGGTGCGCTCCACGTCGTACTGCACAGCCCGCCCGGCCTTCTCCTCCGCGGCAGCCGCCGCCGCCGCGCTGTCCGAGCCGCCCAGCTCCGCGATGCTGAAGATGGTCTTCCAGTGACCCGCGCCCTCGCCGTCTTCGGCGTTGTGGCTGGGGGTGCGGTAGCCGAAGCCTGCCGCGGCCAGGGCGCGCTTCGTCCAGCGGTTCTCGATGTGGGCAAAGTGCCAGTCGACTGTTCGGGGAGCTGCGTAGCGGTCCAGCTGGTTGCGGACGTCGATCAGGGCCTGGGCTGCTGTCACGTCGATGATGTTGACCGTGGCGAAGTCGAGGATGATGGCCTTGAGCGTGGGACGTTCATCGTGCTCTTCCTGCTTTTGGTTTCTCGGCGTTGGGTCGTTCCAAGGTCGGTCCTAACGAGCACACAATGTTAGCTTCTTATGTATATACAAGAGAATATGACATCAACTTACACCGAGCTTAGCAAGCGTCTTGACATCTGTGCGTCGAGTCTCTTTGAAGACGGTCTCCGTCAAGTGGTTGAGATATCGCGTGGCGTTGGGGTAGTTGAAGCCCTCGGCGAAGCGGTAGATGAAGATGCCGGGATACGGGCTCGACACAGTCACTCGGGGGTTGGAGCCGTCCTCGTGGCCCAGAGGCAAGAAACCAGATCGCTCCGAGTATTCTGATGGCTCGGCAAAGGCCTCTTGGTCACTCTTGTCCGTGTTGCCCTTGGTTGCTCGAACAGTCTTGACGCGGGCCACGCCGAGGAAGCGGCCGCGGCTGAGGAACAGGCGGAATACGACGACGGCAAAGGATACGCAGATGGTGGTGTAGATGCCGTTTTCGATCGTGGAGAAGACAGTCACCAAAACACCAGCCAGGAAGATGACAACCTCGAGGGGCGACACACGCCAGAACTGGAAGACGACGGGGAGAGGCGTGATGACATCGCCGACGGCGTGGATGATGACGGCAGAAAGAGCTGCGTTGGGGATGTAAAAGAAGAGAGCCGTCAGAGCATACAGAGCCAGCAGAACGACAATGGCAGTGATGACACCGGCAAAGGGCGTGCGCACACCGGCCTTGGCCTTGATGGCGGTACGAGAGAAGGATCCAGTGGCGGGATAGGCGCCGAGGAAGGGACCGAGCAGGTTAGTGACGCCAATGGCGACGAGTTCCTGGGACGGGTCGATGATGTAGTTGTTGACTCGGCCAAAGGACTTTGAGATGGAAATGTGCTCGATCAGCATGACGATGACTGCGGCGGGGAGCTCGGGCAAAAAGGCCTTGATGATGGTGTCGTTGATTTCTGGAGCGCCAGTGTGTTGGAAACCTACAACAGTCATGCATTGTCAGTAAAGCGATATCATCTAGATGATTGTGCATATGCACATCAGGGAAAGGAGGTCAGTTGAACATACCACGAGGCACCTTGCCTAGGATGCTGATTCGGGGGTGGGCCTTGTTGTGCAGCGTCATGCCCGCGCTGATGCCCGTGTACAACAAGATAACAAAGGCCGTACGCAGGGTCGAGATGAAAAAGTACAGCTTGGCCCGGTGAGGCTGCTTCTTGGCCAGGTACGTGCAGGTGCCTCGAATCAGGTACAGCATCAGAAGCGAAGTCAGACCCAAGGCAGCGTCAATCGTCGTGGTTGGCAGGCCCTTGAGCGTGTCGATGATGACCCTGTAGGGTGCAGCACGCGTGTTGACGCCCTTGATGCCCATCAGCTTGGGCACTTGGCCGGCGGCGATGTTGATGGCGGAGCCCGTCATGAAGGCGCAGATGGACGGCAGCGAGATGAACTCGACGATCCAGCCCAGGCGTGCGAGACCGAGGAAGCAGATGATGGCTCCTGCAATGATGGCCAGGGCCGAAGCAATGACGTGGCCGGGAACATCTGGGAGTCGTGTTGCCGCCTTGAGAACGACGTCGCCAGTGACCTGGGACATGACAGCAACAGGCTGTGGTTGGTGTGTTAGTGACTGGCGTTTTCATCAAGTTCGACTTGTGCACGCGGTTCCAATGACAAGACTTACTCCGATGGTGATATCCTTGGAAGTCGCAAAGAACCAGTAGATCAAGACACCCATGAAAGAAGAGTACAGGCCATATTCAGGTGGAAGCTGGGCAAGCGCGGCGTACGCCATACTCTGAGGAACGACAACGGCACCAACGGTGACACCTAGTAGACGAGGATTAGACACACATTGGTTTTTGAAACGATCACGACAATGGTATCAAAAGGTAAGCGGACAACTCACCAGCAATCAAATCACCAATGAACCATGTAAAGTTGTATTTGCCAATCCAAGAGAGAAAGGGAAACAGGTGGTAAAAGTACTGTCCGACATCGTGAAGTGACGGTGTGATTTCCTCGAGAAACTCTTGAACGGTCGGCTCTCTCTCGATGAAGGGATCTGTGTTGGATATTGAGGGGATGTCGCTGTCGCGATCTTCCGTTCTGAAGCCAAGGGCCTTGGCAACGCGCTCCTTGGCTGCAGCCATGGCTCTGGTATAATGATATTGATGGTTGAGGAGGAGGACGGAGGGGACAAGAGAAGATAAGAAGAAGGGGCTGAAGTATAGCAAAACTTTCTGATACCGCCGCCGCTCTTGTTACTCCGAGGTATCAATTCCCAACGGTCAGCACCGCCGGTCTAGTTAGTTCCTGTCTGTGTCACCCAGAGAGGGCTGGAGACGGAACTATTAAAATCGTAACGTTGCCCTGCTGCTGAAGATGATGAACCACCTCCTTCAGAGTTGCAACGGATGAAAAAAAGAGGAAGAGAAAAGGAGAGAGTTGGGGAGAGATATGCGGATGCAGATGCGGGTGGAGAGACGGCCAAACCAACTTTATTTATGTAGCATCCCAGATGGAATATTGGGTTGCGCCGAGTCTGGTACAGGTACAGGGCCAGGGACTATCACGCGTATGGATAAGGATGAACATTGCATCCATGCCATGTGCCGTATCCGCCTCTAGGATCAGCCTCCAGCCTTTTCGTTCGTCCTTCTTGCTCTTACAAGCTGGTGATGTGATTCCCAATCTTTCTGGGGCTGGATGTCACTAGCAAGTTCCTCCTCCGCTGTGGGCACCGGAGCGGGTACCGATATGATACATGTCTCGGAGCACACTAACACTAAATCAAACAATCTCCATGCAAAAGAGCATCCATTACAAAAGCCCCCATTGATACTGTTACACCCATATCACGCAAAAGGCACCAATTAAAGGCCTCGAAAAACGGAGCTATCGAGTGAAAAAAAATAGAAAAAATCAAATCTGGCACAGCTGGTGGTGCGCGGGTCTGTGGCCAGAGATGGGCAACTCGAAGCTTTGTCTAGAGAGCCACCGGATTGCGTGCTTCTGGCTAAGTATTCGCTTGCAGCTAAAGGACCCAGGGGGGAGAAACATGGACGGCTAGCCTAGCCACGGCTCCTCTTTTTTTCTTCTTTTCTTTTTCTGTGCCTAGTATTGAGGCGGGTGAGACCGGGGTTGGAGGAGGTAGCGAGCTCATGGTTGGTTGGTGGGAGAGGTACTTGGACAATGAGTTGTTGTCTGGATTGCGTCAACTGATGGACACCGAAAACTCTGAACCCAATCTTCGGTGATGTTTTTTTGGAGCGTGTTGGTTGTCTATTGTGTTTGTGTCGATCCGGGAAGCTGGATGATAAGGGTCCAGTTGCAGATGATGGGTGCAGTGTTACAGTGAATCTGTCTTGCATGGCTTGTCTCTCTGTCTGTCAGCATCATCTCTGCGTGTCTCATTTGCAAAGGAACATCGCCATCCTCCCAGCAAAAGCACCATCTACCCGATAACTCCACACTCCACGGCTACGGCATCGCCTCGCAACGCAATAATCCCTGCCTCCCATGTCATCTTTCGGGCTGACACACCTCTTTGGGGGCTTGTCTGGACCCCATGCCGGCGACCCGAAGCTCTCCATGATGTGCCTGAGTTCATACGAGGAGATTTATTCGCCCACAAGAACCTTATCTTTGCGATGTGTTCATCGCTGAGTCGTGTTCAGCATAAACCAGACTGAACAGGATTTCCCACTGTATCACCGTATCCCATGGAGCACAGAGCCACACAAATCGTGCTTTCCCTGTCGTACACAAGCTGCTCTGCCTGCTTGTACATACATGCGTCCCAAGAGATCTAGACAACATCCGGACCATCGCCCGTCTAACTCGATTTAAGCTACGACACTAAGGGCACTTGCTGGAGGAGGATCCAAATCGACCAGGCGCCGGGTAGGCGTATTATTCCGTGCTCCGCGTCCTATGGATGGGATGTACTACGACCTTGTCATGTATGTACAAGCATGGAGACGGGCTGGGGGACCGGTGCGTTGTGCAAATCCCTCCCATCCTCCGCCATCTCCGCCCGTGTCAAAGGAGAGAAAAAAGAAACCAAAATGGCCCCGTCGAGAACATCATCTTCTGCCTGCCTGACGAACTGGCTTGGCCTATCAGCAACTTCCATCTCACGGCAGCTTCGAATACACCCCGTCTTGTGACATCTGCCTGTCCCTTAGCTGCATGTTTTGGGCTTGCTTGTCCTCAGCCCGCCAGCCATCTCAGCAGATGCTTCACGCCCACGCCAAGTTTTCCATCACAAGGATGCAGAACCACGTCCACGTCGCAGCAGCTCGATGGGACATGGGCATCCCTGAACCGCCCTGACATTGGCTCCAAAAGTCGAAAGGGTCCCCCATTATGGAGCCTCGGGTGGTCGCCCTTTTTGGAGCGACTTCCAGCACTTCCAAAAACGTTGTAATAGCGCAGATGGCGCAATCTTCCCATGTACACTCGTTATGCCCGCCTTCTTGATTACGCAGCCAAAGTACATTACAGCTCGCTGGGCTGAGGGCATGGGGGCGTTAGCAAGGCTCTGGTCGCCGACAAAAAGAGTCTGGGCCATTGTTGGGACTCGTTCAAAGGGTCATGATTGATCAATAATTATTGCGCCTTGAGCGTTTAATATTGGTCATCTGGATGCTGTTAGCACTTGGTCTATTCTGTGCTTGCCGCCAGTGACGTGCCTTGTATACAACTCGGTGGCACTCGAAGAGCACTCTTTGCTGAAGAGGCGCATGAGAAGAAGCCTGGCCAAGAGGGCCATGGTCGAACCAACGGGCGATCGGGGAGCTATCCATGACGACGGCCGCCGCCTCATGCGAGCTAAGAGGATGTCGGATAGTAGCAGCAATGCATGCTCAAACTCAGCTGCAGTACGGAGTACACAATGCGTCAATCGAGTCCATGGGAGAGACAGCCAACCTGCTCCCTCGACTCGTGCCATGGTGGGCTATCTATCCGGCTACGCCGACACTGAGACATGCTCAGCTTTGCATTACTCAGAGGCAATATCTGAAGACTCCATCTTATGCTGCTCAAAGCTTGCCGTTGCGAATGGCATAACTTACCCTTCCAGAAGCTGAATGAACATCCCGGCCGTCACTGCAGCCCAAAGAGGTACCGTGTCACATGGATGGACATGTTCTATATCCTGGCTCAACCTCAAGCCTGTCACAAGCCTCTATTCCTAACATTAGACTGTTTGTTGGCGCGCATAGACAATTCAGGTATTGTCTCTAGCTTCTCCGAGTGGCGAGGTTGGGCACGCCTGCGATATTCCCTGACTGGACGGGAGGTGAAGCTGAAGCAATAGCCTTGACCATTCGCTCTTCTCCCGGTATGTAAAGCGTACTAGTCCTTCAGCAAGCCTCTTTCAGCTGAATCCTATTCAATCCCGTCTTTCACATGCCGTACTGGGGACGGTGATCATCTCGATCTGTCTCCCCCCCTTTTTACTTTGAGTTGCCTCTATCAAGCACACGGCATATCATTTCATGACACCATGGCGCCATCGGAAGGCGCCATTCTTGTCATTACATGTCGCATTAGACATCTATGCCTACTACGAAGTAGTCCGTGGGGTCCAATGCCGGGTTCCCAGCCGTATTATCTCAAGTGAAAAAAGAAGATGTGTGATATCAAGAAATGTCAAGCCACGCAGCAGGCTTAGGGTGACGCCGCTACTACTAGCCTCTCCCCTTGTTGACTGGAGGTTAGTGATGCAAGTACATTTCCCGGGTTTTCTCCACAGGGGTTCAAGAATATCTGCCCCGGCAAGAGATTGGACCCCCGGACGAAAGCTGAGGCTTGCTTGGTCTAGACTCTATTATACAGAGACTGGCGTGCGTCTAGATGGAGAGGATTGTTGAGCTGGCACGTGAGCTAGTGTCGACTGAGTTTGATTCGGTGATGTTGAATGAAGTTAAAGTGAATCAAGTGTAATTTGATTACACGAGACTTGGCAGATTAGTTCTGCCAAGAATCTCAAGCTGTCGCTACGTGGAACGGGATGAAGGTAAAGATAGGGGCGGGACTGGGAGATGTCCCGGTTCGGCCTGATGATTGTGCAAGTTGACAGCGAAATCTCTTCTCGAGTTGACGTAAACATGTTGTCGAAAATATTTTGCTATACACACAGCACGGGAAAAGGGAGCGTACGTAAGTAAACTCAACGAGACTGAGTCCATCAACAAGATGCAATCAATCTCTTGGCTATATCTTATTCTACAGATGTCTATTGGGGCTCAATCCCGATGTGTTACTGGGAAACAAACATGATTCATTACGTCTCTAGGATCTATGATAAATCTGGACGACCCATATCGACGCCAGCAGGGTACACCCCAATATGGTTACATCCCTTTGCGGTTAGACGTGATACTAGATGATAGGTAGATTGCCAGCAATCGAAAGGCTACCAATTATGTTATAGAGTATTCGTCAGACTACCAGATCTAGGGTAGTATGCTCAGTTGGTGCAACCACAAGCTTCCTCCTGCTGTTGTTGTCTGGCAGTAAGAAAGCCGATATATAGTTCCAACTCCAATTTTACCTAACGATAAATAAGAACGCACATCCCTATATATTTGATTATTCTTGATGTAAATAGGTAGAGTATTCAATATATCTTCCTACTATACTAAGATTCTGGACAGCTATATTACCTACACGGCGCTGAACCGCTACTTAGATAATTTTACCTCTTGCCAAAGATTGTTGAACAAGGTCATCAACCACCTTCTGTGCCCTTTCATCACTTGGCAGCGGGAGTCCCAACCTCTCATTATCGGGGTTCGTCCATGCAGTCAGGCCGCCAGTAAAAGGATACATCAATACACCTATAAACTCTTTCCAAGTAAATATGCCGTTTCGCATGTTCTCATCTGCAGCCTTCTTCCTCTCGGCGATTGAGAACGAAGTAATCTCCCAGGGCTCCTTGGATTCGGAAGCGTCCTGGAAGCTTTTTACAATCTTCTGCAAGGTTGTTTCGCCGTCGCAGATGTAAAAGAAGCCGTTCTTGACCTTTGGGTACTTTGTCAACAGGCTGTCTAGCCCTTTGGTCAGTGTGTCGAGGCTGGATATGGAGATGAGATTGTGACCACCGTCACCGACTGAGGCGGTGCGTTTGTTTAGATCCATTGGTGAAAAGGGAGTAAGGCCTGAGACGAAAGTGATTAATAAGAAGCACCTCGACATCTTCTAGGCTTTGGGAACTTACTTATCAGCAGGTTACCGACATGTAGGGTTACAAAGTCAATCTTGCCTTCAGCAGATCTGGCCAATAGGTAGTTGTGTATCACCCTCTTCGCCGCAATGGCTCCATTAGGAGGCAGAGTATTTGGACCCATTCTCGCATCCGTCGCCGCATATGCACCTGCAGTATCAGGTGCCCATTCTGATGGGACGAAGAGCTTCACCCCAGCCTCGATGGCTGCGTTGATGAGGGCGATCTGAACAATGTCGAGGTTCCCTCCTGGACCGAATTGCGTGAACACGACCACGGCATCAGCGCCAGTCAATGCCTTGACGAGACTTTTGTGATCTTTTAAATCGACTTGCACAATGGGAATCCCCTCTGGCACGTTTTTATATTCGGAAGGGTCTTTGCGTCCGATGAAAGTAATGTCGTATTTTTTGATCGCGGCAACGCGTTGCAAGATTTGACCGCCGAGCCGGGCTCCCTACTGAAGCGTGAGCTGTGTTCTTTCTAAATCCAAGCAGTTGCGGGCCGATTACTTACTCCATACCACACAATTTTCTTGATAATGCCCTCAGATGCCATGATGGGTTGAGAATACGGTCAAATGGATGATTTTGTTTCTACAGAGCAAACCATCGCTTTTCGATCCGGCCGTCGCTCGTCTTAAATCCCCCAATACATCGACAATAGCGGTGACGCATCTCGACTGATTATTATTTTCTACAATTCCGGTGCAGTACGTCGTTACATCCCACCGGCTCTATCCCAAGGATTCATTCATCGATGCCGAATATACAGGGCATCTGCCGAGTGATGAACCTCCCTTTACCTAGTGACGATTATTAATCGCCGGGTCTCTAAGAGATGCGTTGGGGTTCAACAAGAGCACCAACTATGTTGAAGATGAATCATAGATGGAAAAAAGGCATTCAACAGACAACAGGACATCTAACGGAGACTTTCAGTAAATCCCGGCACTTTCCAAGACGGGATGAGGGCTTGGTAATCCGAGTTGCTTGATAATGTATACAAGTAATGATTACTGATCTCGGCGAGAGTAGTTGTCAAAGGCCACGCGAAAATGGGCGGCAAGAGCCGTGTCTTTGCATGATCTGGGATTAGGCTTTCTAACACCTTCTTGATCGATCCGGCCGATCTCAGCAAATTACGAATTGAGTAGTTGATGGAGTAAAAAGAATATGAAAATGCGGCCTGGCGAATGGTGCTGGTTTACGGATAGGCTAAGCATGAAGAACCCGTAACCTGGATCTCAACACCGAAATATCTTGTACCATTCGTGTACCAATCGGTCGCTGATAAGTAAGTGATTATGTTTCCCTCCATGTTTTTTTCTTGTGCTCGGTCGGTCGTTCTCTCGTGTCTGACATATAATGGAGGTAAAGCTGTAATTGGCAATGACCGGGAAGTCGAATGAAGCAAGCGTGGCAGCCACATCCCCGACCTTCTGGCCTTGATGAAACTAGGCCGCATTACCGAATCGTGTCAGAAATTCGTTGGTATCGCCATGAGGTCGAAGCTATTCTGTGGAACTTTGGATTCGCATCACAATCAGAAATACGATGTATTTGGGGAATTGCCGACTATATATCCCACACAGACTTGGCTACATGTAGGCAAAGCCCTTTTGACTCCGGCCGAACTTAAACCCACTTACACCTATCTAGGTACTGAATCTTGATTGTGTGTGAATCAAGGGCTGATCAGCTCCATAGTAGTTCTCACCTTGGCATCACTCTAACGTGCGCCAATGGGTAAGCTGATTCGCTCCAATTTGTTTCTTCCCCACGCCACCGAAGTCGTCCGTCGCCCCGCTACTGATCACGACATCTCTTGATTGCCGTCGTCATTCTGCCCCTGTGACTGAAGAGCACTGAAAAGAGGAATAAAAAGAGAAATAAAGGCCTAGAGACCCTCACTTTGTGGTTCAACTGAAAGAGTGTGGTGTGATGCCGCTGTATTTGTTCACCAGCCACACGCACTCTCTGTTCGTAAACTGTCAAATGGTTGCGACGTTATTGAGCTGTATGCGAAGTCGACTGAATACTTGCTCAGTTCGCTTATCCGGGTCATACGGACAATGCCCGGCCATCAACTACTGCCTCTCTTTAGAAAGATGATCCAACCAATCATGAGCCCGTCAAGCTCCAAAGGACATGAATATTTCATGGGCTTACTCTGTCACTGATGATGACAAACCACCTGTGGCTGAGTGAAGTTTGCAGAATGTGGCCCACGAAGTTCTCCTTAGGGATTTCCACTTCTAACGGGTTACCACTCTGCGGAAGATACTTTATCGGCGGCTAGCACTAGTTTACCTGTAGTTTGCAAAACATGTAAGCGGAACGGCTGTGTGTGCCAGACTACTCATGCAGAGTCACGCTTTGCCTTGGATAAATATACCGCCGGGAGCTGTAGATCGTCTCGCAAAAGCAACCTAGCTCCCATCACGCAATTTACAAGGTTAGGACGGTCTCCTACCACTGCTGATGGTTGCTGGAATTTGATCACCAGGTCACGGCTTTTATTATTAAACATAGCAAGCATATCATGGCCGTGGCCTCATCCAAAACGATTGTGACGATTGCAGGGGCTGCAGCCATTACATCGTTTCCGCCCGCCACATACGGAAAAGGTGTACCTTATTCGCAACGACAGTTGCTTCTCCATGACCCTCGACAGCCATATAAGCTCCACACAGATAGAGAGATCCCTGAACTCAGATTCGGAGATTTATTAGTTGAAGTGCATGGCATTGGCTTGAATCCGATCGACTGGAAATCAGCGTACGTATTTCTCCGCCGAAGAGCAACCACCGCTCGTCGCCTTTACGGTTTACTAAACAACCTGTTGTAGAGATTTTGGACTTGTACTTCCGTCACCACCTTGCCTGAATGGACGCGAGTTTATAGGAAAGATTATCGCTTCAGAAGTCGACCAGAGATGTAAACTTCAGCCGGGAGAGTGGGTGAGTCTATAAACACTTATATTGCCGCACCACGTTTATGGCTGGCTGACATTGGCCAAGGTCCTGGCTGTGTCTACAGACTATCGCGACTTTAGGAAATCCGCTTTTCAAGAGTATGCAATTGTCTGCTGCTACAATGCTATTCGGATACCTAAACATGTCGACCCGTTTAAAGTCGCCCCTATGGGCGTTGCCTTTGTCGCAGCAGGTCTCTCTCTCGGAGTTTGTCTAGGAGTCACCTTTACAAAGGGTCCCAAAAAGCGAGAGTTTAACCTCCTTGAAAATGCGAGATGGTACCCAGAAGACGTGCCGGACGATATCGCGGAGGAGGTCTTTGATGCCCTAGCGCCTTGCTATCAAGCTCAGCCTGGTGAATGGCTATTAGTCTATGGAGGTGAGAGACGCTGCTTCTGATGAGAGTGAGATAGAAGAGACTTGACACGGAGTACTGACTTTGTCTTTTCGAAGCATCTACCGTTACTGCACAGATCGTGATTCAGCTGGCGAAAATAGGACGCTTGAAAGTAGCAGGCGTTGCTGATCTCGGCAAACATCGACAACTCCTACAGTCTCTCGGAACTGGTGCGTCTAGATGAAGAATCTTGATGAACCCATTGCTTACCACAGGCTCTAGATATTTTAATCGATCGTAGCGACCTCGATCAAGCTAAGCGCGATATCAAACGGCTCATCCCAGGCTCACTAAGACTCGCCATCGACACAGTTGGGCCAGAAACTGCAGCATGGTGCCAACAAGTTCTTGCAGAACGCACAAGCTCTAGATACTGTTCCCCAGGAAAAGAGACGCCGACAAATCCACCACCAGTCGATCCAGTTACGCGAGGAGGTGGCAGCAAACTGAGCCACCTCGTTGCCATGACAGGTCGTCCTGAAAAGCTTAACCCTAATGTTCAGGTGCATACGGTGCCTATCAAGCTCTTCCACACGAGCCAATGGGTTGGCGGCCATTTGAGTAAATGGCTCTATGAGCTCCTTGATACCAATAGGCTGCGGCCTCCAGAGGTTGAATTCGTACCAGGTGGACTTGACGCCATTAATGGGGCATTGGACAGACTAAGACAGGGTAAAACATCAGGAAAGAGGATAGTGGTTCGTATGAAGGAACCTGAGACGAAGATTGAACTGTTTCCTTAGATACCATTGTTGCGCCGCATTCGACGCACATAGCATGAGAGCATCGTTAGCGAATGACACGAATTATTTGCTTCGAGATGAGACTTTCAGTATTTCTCTATGGTTCTTGCTCAAGTTCATTATGGCAAACTCCATGATATCAAATGATGATCTCCTTAAAGAAGCTTCTCAAAAAACTTAAGCCGTCTATCTACGCCTCAGGTAAATGTTCAATGGCCTCCTCTCCCATGCCATAAACGTGCGTTGCGCGCTATGCCAATTCTCCTGGCCGGGGACTAGCTCCATGTCGAACCGGTACAGCATTCGTGAAAGAGTTAACCGCATTTCGGAGTAAGCAAGGTTCTTACCGATGCAATCTCTCGGGCCGTAGCTGAAAGGCTTGAATACTGCGCGATTGTCATTGTCGAACTTGGTATCGTAGAAGGGATGTGACCTGGGCAGCCATCGCTCGGGGATGTAGGAGTCGGGCTCGGCAAAATGTTCAGGGTTGTGGTAAGTGACCTCTTGGAATACTGTAATTGCAGTCTTGTGTTATATGGTCAGTTAGCTGTCCCATTTGGTAATCATGTATTCAACTCACTCCTCTAGGAACGTATTTCCCATCAATGGTGTCTCCGGGACAGACTCGTGGGGGGGTTTCGTTGATAGGAGGGTACACGCGGAGCGACTCTTCAATGCAAGCATGGAGGTACTCCAGTTGCTGTGTGGATGTGATTGTAATGCTCTCTTCATCATCAAAAGTAGAGCGGATTTCCTCGACCAGCCTATTGTAAGCAATCGGGGTTATGCCAAGGTAGAAGATGAGAGCTGACATGGTGGCAGCAGTGGTCTCAGCGCCCGCTCCAATAAGAATAGTAGCTGAAGCCAAGAGCTCCAACCCAACAAAGCTCGATTCGCCGTCATGGTTCTTCTTGAGCATGTAGGACGTAAAGTCTCGATAGCCTTCAATGGCGTAATCGCCCAACTTGATGCGCTCTATCGTCCTTTGGACAGAGTCATTTTTATCCTTCTCATTGTTGGTAATGTCTCGAATCAAGTGAAGTCCTTTGACAATTTCGAAGGCATAGGGAACTTGAGAGAGAAAATGAGCGTAGGATCTGCCACGAAATCCTCTGAAAAACTCAGATATCCAAGGATGAGAGCCATTCTCAAGGCAATTGAATGACTTTGAGTGAGTGAGATGACCAATGACATCAAAAGTGGTGAAGTTGAACCAGTCATTGACATCAAAGCTTTTCCCAGCCTCGGACTTTTCAGTGAAACGCTCCATGAGAAGATTTACGTAACTCTGTATGACCGGCCCTTGATCTCTTAATGCACCATCACTGAATGCATGGCCCAGTTGTCGCCGTTGTCGTCTATGCATGTCTTTGGGAGCTCCAATTATAGATATGGTGTCCCCTGCAAATAGAAAACCCGGTAGCTTCCCATACTCTTCTTTATCTGTCTTGTGTCCAAACACTTCAGGCCAAGCGATAGATCCGTCAACTGCCAGATGATTCGGGCCAACGCGTATGATAGGACCATACTTGCGATGGAGTTTCTTCATCGTATGATGCATGCGGCCGGAGAGAAAAGTGCCGTACGTGTAGGGGAGATAGAAAGCGGCCATGTGAGTTGGGCCGGGGAATTTGGATAGTGGGTGAAACCAGACATTATGGACAATGTTGGCTATACGATAAACGAGGAACTGATAATCTGCGGGTTAATACGCAGTACTCACGGCTGCTCGGAGAGATGCATGACATATGGAACTTAAACTGACTAGTACAGTAAGAATGCCCAGTAATTGGATGATAGTCTCACGATTCAAGCCCTCGACAACTTCGTGCATGAAGCCTTGTACTTCAGGAAGAGCCGGAACTGGCCTTTTGGCATATGTAAATAATGTTTCCATGATGCTGTCGCGATCTGTGGTATGGAGTTGTATGGGGGGAGATGCTATTGAGGGGATGATGCCGGGTTCTATGAAGACCCTCGTTGTATTTGTACTTTTTCATTTGACATCCTTCATATTTGCTTTTTCCTTGGCTTATGAGAGCTGAGACATGTCTTTCAGCTCTCAGCTCCTCTTCCTTCAAGTATCTAGAAATGGAGGGGCGAGGCGGAGTACTGCACCGCAATGTAATGACAAGGATCAACCATCCCAACTTGATCCCACCAAGTAGGTGATTGTGAATTGAACACGACACCAAACTCTCATTGGGAGTTTTTACCGAGCCTGGTGATGTACTCGTAAGTTGGTCCCGGGAGGTTTGAACTACCCCGGCCACTTAGTAGCTGATCTAGACTCTACAGGGATTGGTTGATTCAACACCGAACGAGTTTAATCCTGGAAGGTGTTCGTCTTGAGTTCCATCAACAAGGATCACTGCAGCTGCAACGTGATTGTCCGTTTATGCATTGCTAGAGACAAAACATTTGACGCAAAGACTGATTTACTTGCATCCGCGACATTGTATGTTTAAAGGTAGGTAGTAATAGCACATATTTGCGGCCGCGATAATAAGTCATAGCCCTGCGCGTTCCGATCGATCCTTCGTTTCTCTACAGGGTTGTTGATAAAAGCCGGGATAATGGCTAATAGCCAATCCATTCACGAATGGTGGGTGGCAGGTTCTCGACCATTGGGTGCTGCGATTATACTTGGAGTGTCGCTCTTACAGCTCTGATGACAAACTGTTATTGTTATGGGTTCTGATATATGTCATAGGGCGCCAAATTGCCTCATCTCGATCGAATGGGAAAAGGGCTAAACGCAACATCGCATTGGGCGTGTGGATGCTAGGCCTTGCCAATCGACGAACCTCCAGTCCTTGGGTGTTCATACCCTCCGTATTATCGCGGGCAAATCTTAGACGAGGCAATATGTGTAGATGTACACAGTGCCAAGACGCAAGGCTGTTAAGAGGAGTGTATCAAGACATGTCTGCAAACCTTTGGTAGCAATTCATTTGTGAGGCAATCCCGGTGCTGTTGCGCAATGCGTTCAAGGCTATTTGGTACACTCAGTGGTGTCTTCATAGCATACCCATCCCTTGAAAAAATACCACCTTATGCAACCCCCTAATAGTCTCGTCCCGGTCATCATGTCGCATAATACCTGGTCTGACACGTGGAGGTTCGGCATCCAGATGGTGTGAAGTAGAAAAGGGAAGTAGAAAGCCGGGGTTGCATTCAGCTTCGGGTGAGGGGTACTACAAAAGGAAGTAAAAGTAACCGTGTAAGCTGCATGTAATGTAAGTCCTGACTCTGAGACATTGCGAACATCAAAAATCTATCTATAGTGAATAATGAAACGGCCTTAATCTCGTAGTTGTCTTTCTAAGCATCTTGGTTCGTAGTCTATTTGTGGCTCGGGCTCTTTTCTGAACATACAGAGTAGCATTATGCCAGACATTGCCACGCGAGCCATGCAGTGTGATGCTAGCCTCTCCCCACTCCAGATGGCACATCGTGCTGAGAGATCCTTCCGTGGGGTACTATTCAGGAGCTAATACTGCACGTGTGCTGCTACTGTATCCTCCGGATGCTGCAAAGATGAGAGAATATCCTTGCAAGCCATGTTGTTGAGTTCCGTCCTTGTCCGGCTTCTGACAGGTGAGCCCACCTTGAAAGAAATGAGAACAGCTGTAATGCCCCATCAGGCTATGAATGCCATTTTTGCAGTTGAGAATTAGAGCTTTGCATATAGCCATCGGCTTTATATATAGCTTTAGCAGAAGTGTACGCTCTTTTGGGTATAAACCCGCCTTCTGACCTTCCGAATAGCTAAGAATGGGTCTCCCTACGGAGTCCGCGAATCTTCTCGTATGCAACGGAGCGGGCCATGTTGTCAGATACTAGGGTGACATGGCGGCAAATGCCCACGTGCGTTACATATTGGTATTATCCATTTCATTGTAACAGCGGTCGAAAGAAAGTTTCCGTCCGGCGTCATTTTCAGCTCGGGAATATCTATTCAGTCCTCCGTACACTACAAGTAAACTACTCTACCCCATCTTGTTAATCTGAATATCGCGTGGGCGGGTTACATCGACCAGCAAACCACACATGGGTATATCTCTCGAGTGCGCCGGAAACCCTGAAGTCAACTGCAGTTCTATACCACCGCCGGCATTTCATTCAACCCGACTCGATGCCTTCTAAACCGGAGATGCCACCCAGACGAGAAGGCAGAAGCAAACAATGGCCCGTTTTGTGGGAATCATTTTGCTCGCAACTCCTCGGGGGTATCAGGCTGATTCTGCCAATGCGCCTTAATGATAGCCGGATGCTGTCCTAGCTTTTCGCTAATCCTGGTAATGATTGGGAATTGGTCGAGATCAACGCCGTATCTCTGAGCATTCCACACAGCCGGCAGCAGACAAACATCTGCCAAGGTTATCTCATCGCCCACAGAGTACTCGCCGGCCCAATCCTTGACAGCGCTTTCATAGGCCTCGAGGATTTCCGTCATAATCTCCTTGTTCCATTGCTCTGCGTTGGCCCCCATTGCCCTAAGCCGCTTCATGATCTTCATGTTTGTGACTGGCTGCAGATCGCAGGCGATGATGCCAGCCAGAGCACGTGTGGCTGCCCTCGCTTCAGGATTCGATGCGGGCGGCAAGATGTGATGGCCTTGGGGGTGTGTTTCCTCCAAGAATTCGATAGCGGCCACCGATTGGCCGATTTTGAAGACACTCCCATCACCCGCAGTGCGAATGAGTAAAGGCACAGTAGCTGTTGGGTTGCGCGCCTTGTGCTCGCTGGTGAGGTGCTCGTTTTTGAGGAGGTTGACTGGTATTAGCTCATACTCTATGCCCTTGAGGTTCAACACCATTCGGAGTCGGGCAGAGCAAGAAGAGCGGAAATAGCTGTAGATTGTGTATGTAGGATCCGACATGGTGACGGGTGATAGGCTCAATTTGCTCTATGTGAGGGCGGGGTTGAAGGCGTGTGTAAATGAACGGTCGAGTTCAAGGTGCAACAGTTCAGCGGAGACTAATGAACTGATGAATTGACCAAGCTGAGCTGAGCCTGCGGGATTTGAAGTGCGTAGAGAAGTAGTAGTTGAATTTGCTGATGATCTGTCGACAATCCAAATAACTTGAGTGATGGCTTCCACTTGAATTTGAATCTGGAGGCGTCGCGCGGAAACGAGCCGCAAGCCGATTCCGGGGCTCCGCCAACTAAATCATCCGCCGATAGCCTTTCTGGGCCGAGACATTTTGAGCTTATAGCGGGCCGATCTCTCTGGTAGTGTCTAGTTCTAACGCGAGTGGGCAAACAGTACCCATGCTGTTTTAGTTGGTTATAGTTGAAATCCACATTTACCTTTGAGAGAAATGTTTTGATCTCTATTGCGAGAAGTCACCAAGACTCCGAGATCGCGAAATATTTGGGCTATTGCAAGTAAGATTATGGGTATAAAATAGATTACTGAATACACGTAATCATAAGATCAATAACGGCTCCAGTAAAACAGCCCGATGCCTCAAGCAAAAGCCGTGATAATACCGAGGTAAGGTAATGTATTATGGGTAAATGAAGTCTACACATACAGGTCCAATAACAAAGTGTCTAATGCATCGCTCCGACATACAAAATTGGTGATCATCAGTGGCTGCCTCGTACCTATGGCAGAAAATGGTAAGTAAAAGTACTATGTAGTCTAGTCGGCTGGAATAACCCGGAAATGCTTGGCCTGAGGATGGCAAGGATGGGTTAATAACAACTACAGCGAGGGATGTATTTGGTAACCGCACTTACAAGGCAACACTTGCGGTCGCATTTGCAAGGTTAAAGGGAGCACTTGCATGCAATGAGCTACGAATAGAGTAGGGTGTTAGTAACAGCCATTAGATTCGACGGTCGGATCTACAATGCCGTTCAAATACACCAACTTCGTGTTTCCCAAGATTAATTGCCCATGATTACTGATTCTAAGCGTTAGAAAAGAAAAGCGATGAAAAAAACGAGAGAAGGAAAAAGCCTCTAGCGCTGATTCGTATTATACGCGCAAAAGTTGGAACTCTGTAGGCCTAAATATAAACATTTCCCAAGCGGCTGGATCCGTGTTACTAGCAGTAGTGACATGTGTACTATGTCTTACTGCGCATGTTATTGATAGGTCAAACTTTGACGTTTCGCAACAGAATTCCCAGTAAAGGATTAAAGCAACTCGACGTCTTCTTCGAACCATACGGCAACCACTGAGGCTCTTAGGCCGAAGAAGGGGAAGGAAAAAGGAAAAAGAAGCTATACTGCACCGTTCGGCCACATAATTCATCCGCCTTACGCTTCCCCGCTCGTCCCTTCAACACCACTCCTTACCCAGCCAATGCGATTTGCGGCTTCACATCCGCGATGAATACCTAAATTGGCCACCTCTTGAGCTTGCGATCGTGCTGTCTAGGCACTCATGCTCAATGGCTACAAGTAGACGAAAGTCTTGACCGACGAAACCGGTGTGAAGCAGATTGATTAATTTATATTAACTTGTACTTTGCTAACTCTTTCTCAACCAGTCCATCATGCGGTAGTTGGCGCTATCTTTTCAGCTGGCTAGCCGCCGTTGGCAAAACAGCACGAGAAACCAAGAACCATCCTTTTCATCATTATGCGAAAACCCCAGATCTTCTCATCCATGTCACAATCCCAGGCGGTCTACGGAGTACAGAGTAGATGATTCTCATTTGATGCTCATCGCAGGATTCACGGGTTGGGAAACAAGTCATACGCCTAGATGCCTTGTCCTCCGCTGGACGTGCTCCATTACGCGACTTTCAAGCACAGCAAATGCAATTCCTGCTTGTCTGCACAATAGAACTTTACCTAGTGAAGCAATCACAGCGTCGATCTCAAGCTTGGAATGCAGCCTGGTAGGAAGTAGCGGCGGTCCAAAGGCATCAATTTACCCTAGCAGAAGAGAACTTCAGCCGCACGGCAACCCCAGGAGAGATCTTTTATGGGCCCCCTGTCATTTTGCGAAACCGTTGGGCGTGAGGAATACGGGTAGATGTGATTCATGGTGAAGAGCCGCAGAGTGTAGGGGCGAGAGAGACGAAGGGTTTGTCGATATGCACAGCGTGAGAAGTAAATCAGAGTTCAAGGTTTATTATTTCACAAATTAAAGTCGTCTTGTATGCTAAAAGTGTATTTACTCAACGAATATAACACGAACTACATGCGGAAAGTATCCGTCAACACATTTAGACCAGATCAGGCTCACTCTAAACACAAGAAGCGTTTTTTCATCATAGCAGCTTGACTCGAAACAAGAAAATGAAGATTTTAAAAATAGTCATCTCGTGTTCCTTGGCCCAGCTAGCGGTCACGCTCCCAATGGTTAGCTGCTCAACCTAATAGGCAATCATGATGTCGACTATGCACCATTGCAGTAGTCTAAACAGCTCAAGGGTCTTTAGCTCTAGCTTCATCGACGAGCCCGCCAAAGACGGAGGAATTTTAAAATGGACGGATTTCCACCATTGCTTACTCGGTTCCTCAGTAAATTCTTACCGATCAAATTTGCCCTCTTATCTGGCTGGCTTGACTTGGGAACTGACAAGATGCATTCCCGGTTGCTGTTGTTGTGGGTTGCCACTGTTTCGAGTACAGAACTCTTTGTCAATTACGACCAGAAGCTAGAGGACCGGCCCAGGCTATTCACGTTGGTGAAGGAAGAAGTTGGGAGATTGGATATACCGGCGAAATTCAACTCAAAGAATGATGATGGAAAAGTGCCGCTTGGTTCCGACCTGACAGCCCGCGAAGCCGTCGACGTCCTACTAGGAAAGCGCCAATCGTGTCCTCAGGGCTTTGGGTATTGTCCTAGTGAGTTTCCCCACGAATAATAAACGAGCAACCCTTTCGTGGATGGTTACTAATGGAAGATTGAATGGCCACAGGCGCTGGGGGATGCTGTGTCGCGAATAGCCTCTGTTGTTCGTATGGATACTGCCATACCCAAGGATCCGTCTGTTGCCCAACTGGCCCATGTGCGAGCGGCCAGACATGTTGCGGCAACAGCCACTGCATGCCTGTGGGAGATCAATGCTGTACAGATGAATCTCACTGTGAACGAGGAAATAATTGCTACCGAAACCTGAGAACAAATCAGATGGTATGCTGTACTGATGAGCACTGCACGGCACACGTGGATAATGGAAAGACAACCTACGCGCAAACGACGACGAGCACACACACATATACTACGACTTACTACCAGTATTATTACTGGACGGTGACTTGGTAAGTAGCTTGTAAAATACATGGCAGTTTTTCGCTTACAGTTTTACACAGGTACTACTGGTACTACTATTGGACATACTCGATTGACATCCAGGCATCTATCGTGACCTCTAGCCGTTCAACCACCTGGACTACATTCAGTGTCAAGACAACGGATGCTGCAGCAGCTTCCGAGTATTTCAGTTCCAAATCTGAGACGCTGTCTCTTCCTACACCCGCTGCTGCCACATCTCTTGAGTCCATTGCAGGAAGCACGTCGTTTCTCTCCTCGTCGCGACGCCCGAGTCCGAATCCCAGCCCAACGGACGAGTCAAGCATTACTGAAGCACCTACTCCGCCGCCATTTAGCTTTCCTGGCAACATTGATAGCAGTTCTACAAGCAGTTCTAGTAGCAGCACTACCTCTCTTCTTCATAATGGTGGCGATGATGGCCCTCCAAGCAATGGAGGTGGAAATGGAGGTGGAAATGGAGGTGGAAATGGAGGTGGAAATGGGGGCGGAAATGGAGGCAATGACTCTTCTGGAGCGAAGCCTTTGTGGGCATCATCGGACTGGAAGACGGTCTGGGTCTTGGTTCTTGGTGCTGGAACTGGGCTTTTGGCTGTGATTCTTTGAATGGAAGTCGAAGGCAAGCTTAATGGCAGGATATCGACTGACTCCCTGAAGGTTAACGCAGTAGCATGGAGTCGCAATCAGGTTTTCACCAAGTTGCATTTATATAATGAAGTAATAATTAATGATCTATTTATCACTTCTCTTCGGCGCACTACCGCTTTATCAGTCGGATCCCCTAGCTCGGATGTGCCATCAAAAATCTGCCTTGATTGCCTTTTCCAATTCAACATGCTTTTCCAAGATATTCTTGACTTTATCCAACGGCAGCGCGTCAATATGAAAGCCTTTATGCCCTGTCATACTCTCAGCCATGCACAGAACGTTGTATATAGCTTCCTCTGTAGAATCAGCGGCAGCTTCGAGCAGGGCGTTGATGGTCGAATCGTCGACTGTCTGCGTCGCCAGAGGATTGGCCTTGAATGGATCGACATCCCTATGCTCGGAGCCGACTGTCTGCACTGGTATCTTGTTGGCTGTGCTGAATGCCAAGAAGATGTCGCCGCTGGAGTTGTGTCCATAGCCACCAACTCGAGACAGACCTCCAGCAGCGCGTTTGGACAAGCGCTGAAGTTGAATGGGGCTCAATGGAGCATCTGTGGCGAGGATGATGATGATGCTTCCGTCTCTCTTGTCCTTGGCGGCATCGTAGTCGGCTTGTGCTTTGGCTGCCTCCTTGCTCTTCTGTGCTTCCGCAGCGAGAATCCTTCCTACAGGAACGCCGGTGATGTGCAGGTGGTGGATTCGACCGTAGTTTGCTTGTACCAGTGCTGCGACGGTGTAGCTCTTCTCGTTTCCCTGGCCATCAAGGCCTGGCACTACTCGGCTCGAAGTTCCAGTGCCGCCCTTGTGTCCTTGACACAACATGCCCGTTCCGCCGCCAGTGTTGCCTTCGGGTACTGGATCGGCAGATGCAGCATTGATGCCGTTGATGACATGTTGTGGCGTGACTACAAACTTGGTGAGGTCGTTAAGGAATCCATCAAAAGTCTCTCCCACAACGGGCGTAAGAAACCAGTCTACTGTTCCACCGGTACTGTAGTGTTCAATGGCATATTGATAGATGCCATTGTAACAGTTGCCCACGGCGAAACTGTTTGTCAGGACAATGGGGCTGTGAAGGAGACCCGTCTCTTCGATCCAATGGGAGCCGGTCATCTCTCCGGAGCCGTTGTACCGGAAAATGCCGGCGTAGCACGCATTGTTGAACCAGTCTTTGCGTGGGAGGATGGTTGTCACGCCAGTATTGACAGAACCATCATCGCTGTGGATAGACTCCGTATGGACTAGAACCCCAGAGACATCTGTGATGCCGTTCTTGGCGCCGGTTGGCCAAGTCCCGACCTTGAGACCCGGAACAAGGTCGCGAAGCCGGACACGAGCGGAGGGCGAGCTGGACATGTTCGGCGCGGAGATTAACTATTCGCTCTTATCTCTATGTTCGCCTGCCAATGCTGACAGGGCGGGTACTCAGGTATCCGTGTATTGCAACCTTTCGATTGCAATGGCTTGTGATGCTTATTCGCAACCTTGCGGCTCGGGGAGTATCTCGACAATCAGCGCCGAGCCGATGGACATGGCGGGCAATTCATAATATATACATTACAAATGAGACTCTTGCGCTCTACGATATGTTGAGATGAACTTTTGTGAGATGGACGGCGCAAAGAAGAGGAGCTTGCATAGATGACTCACGCCGTCGCACTATGCGACTATTAGTCACAGAGATAAGTTGGCAGATCTGGAGCGTATCGCAAAATACAGTATTTCCTCGAGCCGGCGTTCATATACGACTGTCGGTATAGGAATAATTCACCCCGAGAATCAAGAATCACTTTGGTAAAACCTATGCCGAGGCTATTTGGGCGTTGCAGAGGCAATTCTCATGATCCTCCCGGGTGCATATGAAAATCTTCCGTAGTTGACTCAAGCCTTGGCGCGTTTAGCCCCCAAAACTCCTCAAGCCCATTTTCGACTTTTACATGCTTACTTACGAGTACTTTACCCGTTTAACCTTGAGTTTAACAACACCATTGGACGATTACGTGTATAGACTTTAATCTGCATGGCATGATGATGTGAAGACGGGGGCGTTCCCGCGACTCTTTGCCGTCTTTGTTCGCCACTAGGCAGCGTGACTAACATCTGCAGAAAACACACCTTAATTCTTCAAATAACAATGCGGGGTAGGTTTTTAGATCTGCGGCGGCGTTGTCTAAAGGAGAATTTTGTCCGCGTTGCTATAAGGCTTGCTGCTTGTCTCAGTCTAGCTATCTCGCACATTATGTTGTGGTTATGCAATTAACAGCCAGATTTGGATAACTCTGGGAGTCAACCTCATGGATGCGGTGAGCAACGTGACTGGCCAGATTCATCGTTCGGATAATTACGAGCATATTACTCATATGTATGTGCAGGGAGTTTCCCACCTCAGTGTTCGAATCAAAATACTAAAAGCTGATTAACCCCCAGTCCGCAGCCCCATCATGGGCCGAGAGCGCTCGGTCGACCGAGAGCCAAGTGAAAAAGAAGCTAGCCGCTTTCTTAAATCCTTCGACAACAGGAAATTTTTCTTATTTGCTAATAGCCGTTCTGGTCTCGCGTTCGTCGCTAAAGTCGGGTCAAGCGGCATGGTTCATTTCAAGAAGATGCAACAGAAACCTGCATGAAGCCGCTGATTTTGGAATATAAACCCGTGATATAGTCCTTTATTATAAAGCAGAGAGCTCCATATCAATTAGTAAAGCCAAAAGAGTAGACAATAGACCGATAGCCGTTGCTCCGGCTGTAGGATCTTGGCCATGTGCGACTCGCGGCGGCTTGGGGGCCGATCCCAACGCTCAAGCCCGCTCACGCCCGCTTCGGTCTCGGCCGCCTTGAAGGGCCGGGCCTCCTGAAAATCTCGTGTTATCGTATTGGTTATTCAGCTTCCTGTTGTCATTAGGATGACGATAATTTAGTGCCCGTGATCTCAAGTACAAACCTTTTCACCTTTATATGTGACATGTGTTCGTCCTGAGGCAACCCTTCTTTGGATCTGCGACAAAGCAACCTCTTTGGCTGCAAACTGTGCTCCGGCAGTCAAAAGTCCAAGGAACGGATAGCCTATTTCCGACCGGCGGTTATTTACGATTCCCTCCCCCATCTGTTGCTTTCTAAGTCGCCGCCATGTTTACCGGTTCCAATTCCAGCGGCACCGCCATGGAGGATGCTGATGATGTCGAGCGTCGCATCGAAATTTCCGAAAAGGACGGCAACAATGCCTCTGACCGCGAGGAGCCCATTGTTCTGAAAGAGGAGGAAGATGCCAATTACCAGCCTGCAGCTGCGGTGCCCGTCGGCAGTCCGCCTCCGAACGGTGGCCTTCGAGCATGGCTTGTAGTTGTGGGAGCTTGGTGCACGTCGTTTTGTAGTTTTGGTTGGATTAACAGTACGTCTACTTATGCATTCAATAAGAGAAAGGATAACTAGAGACTGACTTTTGTACAAAAGGTGTTGGTGTATTCCAAGACTATTACCAGGCTACAATTCTCAAAGACTACTCGAGTAGTACCGTCTCATGGATCCCGTCCTTGCAGATCTTCTTCATGATGGCCTTGGTAAGCTAATTTGCTAACTCTCTACTGCGTATCCTATAATACTAACTATGTATTTTAAAGGGACCAATTATCGGGCTCATCTATGACAAGTACGGCCCTCGCTGGCTCATTATTGGTGGAACGTTTCTTCACGTCTTTGGCTTGATGATGACTTCTATTTCTCACGACTACTACCAGATTCTCCTTTCTCAGGGAGTCTGCAGCGCCATTGGTGTCTCTGCCATCTTCCAGCCAGCTCTCAACAGCATTGCAACATGGTTCACCACAAAGCGCGGCGCCGCCTACGGACTTTTGGCAACTGGCTCAAGCTTGGGAGGTGTCATTTTCCCCATCATGGTCAGCCGCTTGATCGACGAGGTCGGCTTCGGCTGGTCCATGCGAATTTCGGCCTTCTTGATCCTTGTCCTTCTTATTGTTGCCATCTTGACGGTGAAAACGCACAACCCACCAAAGTTCCAGCCCATAACAGTCAAGCGAATGGTCACCCCCTTTACCGAGTTTCAGTTCTTCTGTCTTGCCATGGGATTACTGCTCTTTACATTCGGACTGTACACTCCGATCAACTACATCTCTGTCGAGGCTGCTGCTGCAGGAATGGACCCCAACCTAGTTCTATACCTCATTCCTATTCTAAACGCTGGAAGGTAAGTCTCCTACTAGAACTACGAGCATCCGATCCATCTACGCTAGTGTCTTTTTACTGACCACTCTTTTCTCCAGTTTATTCGGTCGTGTTTTCTCTGGTTATGCTGGCGACAAATGGGGTCGGTATAACGTCTTCGTTACAGTTTGCTATCTGGCTGGCATATTCGTCTTGGGCCTTTGGATTCCCGCATCTTCAACCGCCGCAAGAATCGCCTTTGCTACGCTTTTTGGCTTCTTCTCAGGAGCTTATGTCGCTTTGATCGCCGCCCTTGTCGTCCAAGTATCACCCCCGTCCGAGATCGGCTTCCGTACTGGTCTGGTGTTTTTGGCCTCGTCCATTGGAGGTCTTACAACAAACCCCATCTCCGGTGCCATTTTGGAGAGGCCTATTGGATGGCTTGGCCCAAAGATTTTTGCAGGCGTCTTTTGCATTGCTGGGACAACCTTTGTGTTGGCAGCAAGAATCCACAAGACGGGCTGGAAGCTGAGAGCCGTCTTCTAAAAGGAGCGCACGTCACGTACATTATTAATAGCATATGAGTACAAAGATTAGCATATAGATGGTGTTTTATGGGTAACATAGCTAGCATCAACACTTAGAGCAAAACCACTCATCAAAATTACAGATAATTCATTTCTATTTATTCTCAAATGCGCCTTCGTCAATGGGTATATGAGCACATAGTATGCCGCAGTTAAAAATAACTGGAAAAATCATGCAAATCTAAATGCAAATCCTCAACCAACGTGTTCCAATCGGGCATATTATTCTGCATTAGGTTACTCCAATCCACGTTCTCTCCGTCGAAACGACGAACATCCATAACAACTTCCTGTGGAGGATTCTGCATCTCTTCGTCACCAGGAACTTCATCCATTTTAGACGTGGAGCTTGTCATATCGTTTCCGTTAATCAACGACTGTCTGGTCATTTCAGCCTTCTTGTGCAGTCTCTTCAAGATGACGGATTTCAGCGCCGGGTTAGAAACGGCCGTAGAAAGCCTGACTTGTTCCAATTCAAACATCTTTTCCACAACAGCCCAAGCTCTCTCAACGGTAGGGCCAGTCGGGCAAACACATAAATGCCAGAGGACGTAAAGTAGCATGTGATACTGCGGATGACCATACATGCACCATCTATACGGACCAAGAAGCTCGTCTCCCCATAACTCGAGGTGGATTTCGAGACACCTTAGTGCAGAAAGTAGGTTTGCTTCCGTAGCAAATGCATTGCGTTTATCGGGGTTCTCCAAGATGGCAAGCTGCTGCCTTGTAACAAAGTCGATCTTGTGCACCATGGCGAGGGCCGTTTTCATCGTCATTCTCTGTATCGGTATAACTGGGTTGCACGGTTTTATGTAGTGCTCTACTCGAGACCTGAGTTGGCTGAACATGGTACTCCTGATGACCTCCTTAGGTGTTGTTCCTGATGGCGTCATGGAGAGATTGGCCATGTTCTGTAAGGTCTGGGCCACTTCCATGCATGTCAGCGGAAGACTCATTTTAGTCCATCCACCGTGAGGAGGTGGAAGCTCTTTCATATCCGGACGAAGTTCGTTATCGTCAACATTCAGTGGCATTTTGGTATCGTAACCAGGGACCGTAGACCATGAATCAATACCGTGGTCTTCAGCAGCTCTTCCATCTCTGGCCAGAAAATGCCACCACAGCCGCCTTCGGACTTCGGATTCAAATGGCGACATTCCCAGCTTAGTTCCATCTCGGTGAAGGCCTATGGAATGCGCCATTCTCAAAGCAAGACCGTTTAAGATCCAGATGCCTCTTCCGTGATAATAAGCCCGCGATGATGCCTGGACTTGTGCATTAGTAACTTTCTATTTATAGCAACGTTTGAAAGAAGACAGGGACTTACCAGATATATGGCCAGCCCTTGCAGGAGCACGACTGTTGGGTTCTCCAGCATATCTGCCCCTGCCAAGTGCATCTGAAATTCCCTTTTGAATGTTCGCAAGGCATTTGGTTTGTCAACACCCAGAATGTGCTGGGCTTCCTCCGGCTCCAAGGTTAACGTAGTCGCAAAGTACACGGCGTTGACCATAGCCAGAACATCACTGGATACCGATTCCGGTTGATGGATGGCGGTGAAAATAGTCACCTCGTCTGTCGGAATGTGCAATATCTTGATAGTGGCATCGACATTTTGCACGAATATGTGCCACAATTGCGTGGCACTTAACCGTGATAACCGCCAGCCTCTCTCCTTGTCATCATATACGGCAGGACTTGACAGCAAGCCCATAAGACTGAAGGGTGAGTCAAGATCCTGTTCCCTAGTTTCACTGTACGGTGTATGTAGCAGTGATGATTTATCTTGATCCTAGAGGAGTTGTCAGTTTAGCTTTGACGCATGCAAATCATTCCTTGGGCCTAAGCAAAGTCTCACCTCTTCAATGACTTTGGAGATGAGAAGTTCATTAAAGTACTGGCTTGAGGTGCCATTTCTGATCAAAACCTCCTCCGAAGGGATTTCTCCAGGTTCCTGAGGAGACTCATGCGGGCTCACCGGTAAGCTCACCGGCAAGCCCCCGGGCACAGAGACATGAGCATGTGGCGGCAATGACCTCCTCGTTGCATTTCCTTGATCGATGGACGACGCCGCCACAATGGTTTTCTCAAGGTCCGATATCCTCGAGGCAACATCCGCAATCGTAGCCTTGCGAACTCGACGGACAGGCTTGTCAGAAGCCGGATATGTGCACGTGAGGCGAGCCCTCACGCATGCCAAGCATGGTGTTTGTCTGTCACATCGGATCTTCCTCCGGTGGCAGAGCACACACGACCTGTCCGGCTTCCGGCGCGGGTGCGGCGAAGGCGGAGTGAGACCACGGTCGGTCGAGGCTGGAGGAGTGGTCAGAGGGAGAGGGGAATCAGTACTGCCCGGCCGGCTGGGATCTTGCGGAGGAGACATGTCTCGAAAAGCTGGGCAATTCTTCGGGTTCAGTGAGCAAAAGAGTGCCCGACCGATCTGAATGAGCCTGGGATAATCAATGACTTTGTCTCGAGGTTGTCGGTCTCGGCCCTTGCACAAGCACCGACGCCGAGCCGTGGTATTTTTGCCCCTTTCAGCTAGAGGCGGGAGAGCCGGCGACTTATTAGTAATTCCTATTGTGCTTGTCTAGTCATCTTGAGAGCTAAGTTGTCAATCTGCTAGCATTGCTCCATAGTAACAGTAAGCAATACTGTGGCAGAGTTTGTTCAGCAGACTCAAGACAACACGGGACTCATCTTCGCAATAGACCTAAATAAAGCAAGAGTTAGAATAAATAGAACGGCAACCGATCATAAATCAAGTTTTCGTTGCACATAATAGCCTCATAGCTATATTCCATACCTCGGCTTTAAGTCTCCACATGCATGCTTATGCAACGCGGTAAGCTCGTCAAGGCACTCGAATGCGTCTCATCTTGCCCTGACTGCCGGATCCCTTGCTAGCCTCTTCATTGCTTTGAGTTGGCCAGCAACGGGTTGGTTTTCCCTGTCTTCTCGCCATTGAAGGGAGGGTTGTCAATGGTTAATATTGACTGGCTGCGTAACCATTGAACATCTCAGGCCATCAGCTACTGTCATTGTTGTTCTACCACAAATCAATTAGTATAATCTTCAAATATTTAGTCAAGAGGAAATGCGTTACCGTCATTGTTATTCTGCTTCTTTTAGGATATGGCTGGTCACCATTTCCCAATACTAGCCCTTCATTCCATTCTTCCAACTCTGTGCGGTGATGAATAGCAGTAACTCCCAAGTCCGCGGGCGAAGAGCCCAAAACGCTTCAGATTTATTTGGGGTGTATCGAGCATTTTATTCTTCCATGGGTTTGAGAGCAGTCGGGCTTTTAACAGCGCACTTGAAGAGCACCTCGGTCATGCCGGTACTCCAGTTTATAAGGACCTTTGTTTCGGATTCGGTTAACGTATTCCGCCACAAGGTATACGCGCGATATTAAACTACCTCGGAATGTAGAAATGACTCGACCAGGTAGAGTCCTCGTACGAGAGGGTGCTCCTATTAGCACGATTCAGGAACGGCTAATGTTAGGATTATCGCTAATCGCTTTGAGAATGAGGCATTTTGGTATCCATCAGGGGATTAATGAAATAACCGATTCCGTGAGATGCCACTCGAGGCACGAGTATAATAAGGGTGATATTAACAAGGATTCATTTCAACGATTCTGTACGCCTATACTCTAACTATCTAATCACCTATATCCTGTCCTCATTTGGGATCACATCTTATCAGAAAGTGGTGATCTGAATACACTTATTTTACTGTTTAACATGGTGGTAAACAATTCCCTTTGCATTCTTTAGTAACTCTTTACCGCTCGTATAAGGATAATCACGGCCAAGACTTTGCTGGAGTGCACCATGGAGAATTTCAGATCCCCGGCAGATCATGTTACATAGAATTATAGGGTTATTCCCCAAGTTATGTGGGTACTGAACCTGCCACTTGGCATATCGTATAGAAAATAGGGTAACATTGAAGGTCTATACTAGCTTGTTTTCCATGCAATGACCTGCAGGTCGGAAAAATGTCCAAATCCAGCACCGTTTCTCAATAACGCATGAATCGTACACCCTGAAACTAGTTTCTAGACAAGCAAAAAAGCGAACTGAGTTTAATATAGTTTGGCAGCAATCAAGGTGGTTTGACGCTCACCACTTCTCGACAGCAGAAGTTTACTGTTAACTGGTTATATCATATTCTATATGAAAGTAACCCATAATGTATGGAGTTCAAGTTAACAACAACACCAATTTATCGCTTTGACTCAGGCTATGTAATGCCATGTCTATTTACCCGCAGTTACATTATACACGGGCTCTGTCTCACTTGCAGCTACTGGGTAGTAATATTCTCGTTATCCTAACCCTTAACAGTAACACGCTCAGAAACGACCTCGCCCTCAGAAACAGGCTCTCGGAAACAGGTACTCTGCTAACAGCTATAAACGCAGCCGGAATAACGTTGTCTATGCATATGAAAAGCTTATACAAGGGGTTAACACCTTAAGTATCACAAGAATGTACAGAGTCTTTCGGGCTCAATTATCTTTAGCCTTAGGTTTAACTAAGCGGTAATACATTATCTGCACGATGGTTTCGACAGCTTCTAACGATACAACATTTAGAGCATATGTCGAGGTATATGCAGATGCAAATACACAAGCTCCTCCCCTCTTGACCTCTTCCACTCTTTACGAAATACCCATTGACAGGACGACCGCTAATAGTGACTCCTCTGCTTCTAGTTGCATACAATCATCCTTCTAGCCGATCGTACTTAGCCGCCGACCGAATAGCCGTGCCCAGTATCAAAACCACCCCAGCAGAGACCAGTAAGTCGAGTTGCGGGTAATAATCCGGCCGAAGCCACTGCTGCAGTCCCTATTCCAGAGAAAAAGATCACGCGAGAGGTCAGAGGCAAGGTTACTCTGGAAGCTGAATGCGAGGTTAGAACCTCCGCTGCATCTGCTGAAGGCGCTACCAGATACATGGCAGCTTGGTTGTTCATAGAAACTGCCGCTTCAGCCGCATGACTGCTTCTCTTCTAAAGAGGCATTCTCCGTGCCTGCAGGTGAGTTGGTGCGTTGGGAGGCGAGGGCGAGCTCATTGCCGTTGCAAGGAATAGGAGTGGCAACTTGTGCACCTTTGTGATACAGCACACAAATAATTATGTGAAGCATTTCTTCAACGATCGGGATAATAGTGCGTATGGGTGAGTAAAATCATTATAATTCAGTAGATAGACATTAACGGTATCGTATATAATTATCAAAAAAATCAACAAGTTCCTCTCTAAGAATGCCGGTTTCGCTTTGCGCCCATCGCCACCTCTAAAATGTAAAACTAACTGGGTTGTCATCCAGAAATTGGCCCAGCTCAGGAAAATTCATAAAGGGCAAATCCTGAGCTAGATTAAGAATTGAGCCAGACATGTCAAATCCACGTCTTGAGTGCGACATGTCTGTTGAAAGAGTCGCAATGTCAGCGGACGATGTTTGGGGGTAAGACTGAGACGGCGAGGCCATTGCCTGGTTGGAATCCAAGGAAAATCCCATGATACCGCGTGGTTGATGATCTCTTTCACCCACGTCACGACCAGTCAATGAAGAAATTGCCAGTGACTGTTCGGATGATCTCGCCAAGTCGATGTTGGTCCTTGAGCCATTGCCTTGGCTCTGATCTACGTCAAGCCGTGCAAACCCCATGGACCGATCAGGGCTATATGGATTTTGTGCATCGAAACTCGAGGAAATCTGCGACGTTGCTCTGCTACCTCTGGCTCGAAAACTGTCCATAGCCTCGTGTATGTTACGCAATCGTTCCAAGAGACGTTGCGAAACGGGTGATGTCAGTGAGAGTCGCTGAATCAGCTCCACGGCATCAAAGGCATCTTGAAGGCACGAAGCTCGATTGGCATCATCGTTAATGCTTCCCAAGACAAGCAGCATCGATGAGAGAGCAGATTCAAGGAAATGGTTGTATGTTTTATGTTGTGCGTGATAGATGTCGGTTTCGTCGGCCAGTCGGACTAGAGTCCGAATGGTGTCGTGAGACACTTCAGCCAGGACGTTAACTGTAGATGGGTCGAGATTATTTGATGCGAGGCGATTTGCCGACGTCCTGTGTATAATAATCCTCATTTGATTGGCTCTCAAGTAGAGGAGGAGACGAATCCTATATTCTCCGCGATCGACCCTTGCTGGATCATACTTTTTGAAGCCATCGTAATGAAGCTTAATTGGCAAATTACGCTTCCATTGGACCACGCGAAAGTCAAGGAAATCGCGAGTCATGTCAGATGCAGAGCCAGATATTGGCTCCAGTAGCCATTTTCTCACATCTGAGGATATTCGACAATAAGATACCATGCTCATCACGTAGGATGACGAGGGTGAGTCGTTCTAGAGGGGGGAAAACGATGAGTGAGGCTGTAAGTCTTTTGGGGAGTAAACGGTTCGAACTTACATCTAGCATAGGATGTCGGTCGATCTCAGTATCATGAACGGCGAATGGTAAATCTGTCCCAAAGCTCCAGCGTCGATCAAGTGTATAGACACACCAGTATAACTTTTCCCCAGGTGAAGCAATCTGGCTCCCCATATGAAGACTCAGGTCTCCCGAGTTCCGAGAGCCATTTTCTTGAAGAAGCCGTAGAACGTTACCAATCCCTCTCCAGGCAAGGACTTCTCGATCGCTATGAAAGAAGAACATGGCCTGTTTTAAACACCGTGTGGTTAGACAACGTACCAATTCGTCACAATCCCGGGGTTCATTCTAAACTTACGGCAAGAATAAGAAGACATAGATCGGCGGCATCGACGGTACTTTGAAGTTGAGTCCTTGCAACTGTTGCTGCATATACTTCTTCAACCCATGGATTTGCTATGCCAATCGCACGCGCATCGGCGAAGATGGAAATGATAGCCAGGATATGTATCGCAATGTTCTCGACCTGGCTACGGCTAGGCCTAGTGTCAGAGGGCGATTGCTCATCTTTCATGTTCTGTGTATTATCAATTTCTGTGATTCGGCGCTTCAACTCTTCGAGATTGAGAAAGGGATACTGAACGCCAATCTCTTCTTCATAAAAGGCAATGATGCTGAGCCAGCGATCATTGTCGACAAAAGCCAGTACATTTCCTGTAGCTTTGCTTGCTCGATGAACGAGAAGCTTCTCTAAGAGATACGTCACAGGTACTCCCTCATATGGGCCTTGGCTCTTTGCCTTCTGGTTCGATGTAGGCTTTGCTGCGGTCAAAAGTCTCTCGGCAAGCTGAAGATAGTAGTCTGAGCTAAGCAGTCCATTCGCCTTTGAGGGAGGGTTAGGAGGAGTGGCAGCATTAGAAGCTCCTGACACATTCTGTCCCAGGATGGGCTCTGCAGAACCCTGAATCTGCGTAGTCGCAGCGGAGCCTTGACTTTCCGTAGTGTTCCTAACTTGGGTAAGATACTGTACACTGGTCATGATAGAGAGAGACGACTGGAGCTAAGGCTTACGAGGTGCGATTGCGAGCTCGAAACCGTGTCGTGCGGTCATAGAGGCAGGCATGGTTGCTCTCTTTGCAGGCTTTGCAAGGCCTCTCTCCGCTGCATTTTGTCTTGCGTCGCTGGCATTCATCACTGGAGGGTGTTACTAAGATTAACGCCGATGGTGAAGATAAAGCCCGGCTCACCATGCAACACGCGTATATGAGTGTCTCCTCTTCCTCGAAGACTTGGGAGCTGAAGTCCCTGCGCCTCCGGCAGGCGGTTCATCCATCTGGACGAAGAAAGATCTCTTGGCAGGCGACAAGTCAAGTCAGTCCGGCTCCAGCTGTCTTCGGCGATAAGTTTCCGGGTCCCACGAGCGCGTCCTTGAACGGATGCCGAAAAAATTGCCACAATGGATGTCAGAATAGCGCCAAATCATTTGACAATTCGCTCAGGGCACAATGAAATAATGTCGCGGCTGGTGAGCACCATGACGGTTCTTCAAAGGCGAAGGTGTGAGAAATACAGGCATCTGCTGCCCATCCCCATACTAATAGTTAGAGCTCGCTCCCAGCAACTCACACGCGAAACAAGCGAGCGAGCGACTGGCAACCGATCGGGAAAATATTATTCCATGGATGGCTTTGGTTACTAATAACTTTCCAGTTACCGGGATACTAAGGGAGCACCAGGCGGATTTCTCCGCTTCATCTCCAGACCCAAGACGGATGTTTCCCCTACTTTATCTCCAATAGCCATACAGGCGCCAATTCTAGACAAGTGCCGAGTTTTCTATAAGGCTGAATGCGGGGGTGCAGCAAGATTGTGCGCATGACATGAAGAAGTACGAAATACGTGTATGATACTGTACAGTAAGCCAAGCCCATGTTGTGTTTATACCGCATGTGCTCGTATTCAACGATATACTCCGTAAGCAACGCCAAGTTGGAGTATTACAACAGACGGAACGGATCCAGAAGCCAGTTAATTATAAAACACAACTGAGAGAGTTGTGTAAAAGCAGACAGATACAAGAGCTCGTCGCGTCAGGATGCATCACAGGCATTTAGAGAATGTCTCAAAGCTACCCTAGAATGAGAAGCATCTTTTCAATTCCAACCGAATCCCCGCTCTCGCAGCTTATCTTACATATGTTGTCATTTCACATCTCTAATGAAACCAGACAGTTGTAATAACACAAAATGAGATTTTATTCATACACACTTTATACTATTCATAGTAACAAAGCCACTCAAGGCTAGATCTTTCTGCATCACATTTTATTCCTTCTTCTTCTCCTCCTCCTCTGGCGGAGGCAGGGGCTTGTCCAATCCAACGCGCTGCAGAGAGCTCTGGAAGGTCTTGGGGTCGACCTTGTCAGTGTCCACAAGGAATGTCTTGGGCGTCTTGTCGACCAAAAGGCGGATCAGATCAGGCCGCATGTAATGGCCACCCTTTTTCCACAGTCATCAGTTAGTGCATTGTTAAGCTTAGACGGAGTAGGTAGAATACATACAAAGTCAGCCAGGCGCTTGGTCAAAAGGTTCTCGTCCAGGTCGATATCGACAATAAAGATTCCCTCAAAGTCCTTGGGAGGATCCTGCACGGCGCGGAAGCCATCTGGACGGTAGATGCGAGCGAAGCCATTTGCGATAACAGCAGCCTCTCCATCAACGGCAGCCTCGTCGTTGCGCAGACGAGGGGGCAGGTTCATGCGGGCACCCTCGCGAGTGACGACCTGGCTAGGAGCAAGCGTCCAAGTGCCAGTCTCGTAGGCGTAAGCAGGAGTCACCAGCTCGGATTGGACCTCTGAGATGTTTGTGTAAGGGTCAGGGTACTGCAGCGAAGAAGCTGGGGGGTAGACGGGCCAAGCAGCCACGTGAACTTGCTCATATTGAGCGCAAGCATTTGCCTTGAGGAAGGGGTTCATCTGCAGCGAGTTAATACGTTAAAACCTTTAACCATGATATCGGGCCTGTGGCCACTTACGTTCTCCCAGCAGTTGAGGTGGCCAAGGTTGCCAATCTCAGTCTCGACAACGCTAACCAAAGAGTCACCGGTTCCCTCACCGAAGACAAGTTTCTCGACGTGGGTGGGCTTGATCTTGCGGCGGTGGTTGATGACCTCACCACTGGGGTCGATGATAATCTGAGCAATGTAAAGGCTGTTGCCCTCAATCTCAGAGTAGCCCAGAGAGACATAGATCTGAGCCTTGCGGGCAGCAGATCGAATGCGGCGCATCTCGTCAGAGTCAGGACGCAGACTGTTCTTGTGGTACTCCTTGAGAAGGGGCAGAGAGTCCTGGTAGTTGACACGCCATCCCCAGTAGGTGTATCTATCATTGACAATTAGTTTCATATGTTGGCAAGTGGTGCTTGGTTTTCAAAGCTCGTACCCAGGAATCCCTATTAAGATTCATTAGTCAAAATCCTTGTTTTGCTGCTTGTTATTTCTATAGATCAACTTACACAACTCAGGGAAAGCAATCAGTTTACATCCCTTCTCACCAGCTTCGGTGATGAACTTGACAGTTTTCTGGACACACTTCTCCAGGTCAAACCAGCCTGGCTCTGCTTGAACACAGGCAGCCTTGTACTGACGAATAGTGGCAACCATTTTGGTGTTTGGTGTGTGGCTTTGAGGATGTTACTGAAGTTGTCTTGTTGGTGATGAGTATCGTTTCGAATTCAGAAGATGCCTGGATATCACGAAACTTATATATCACGTCAAGGAGAGCAAATACGCTCATGTTGCAAAAGAATAATCCTAGTAATAACCGTAACCCCATCTTTTGCTGCACAAGCATAGTATTCTCCCACCTCTTCCCCAATCGATTGGTCGTACAGTTGCAATCAAGATGCCGCATACGCCGCATACGCTTCGGCCATCGGAATCTCGGTGATACAGCATATTCTGAGTTGTCGATGCAGTGAGCAGATTGAATAAACCCTTGGCGAAAAAAAGATCATATCGAACCACCAGTTGCATCCGATCCGGCCCTCGGTATGAAAATGACATACCCTGGCTCAGCGATCCAATTCTTATCGCCCACCTTTTTCATGCAGGATATCCACGATACGGATGGCAAGGGACGCTTGTGAGCAGGTTCAATTGCCGCTGAACCCTGCATTGTCCCCAGATTGTTTGCAACATTGTCGCTCTGGAAAAGAGGATCATCAAGGCCGCTTACGCCGCAGACGCCGCACCTTCATGCTCAGGCCGCGGGGTCGGGTATTTGAGTGTGACAGATAGCTGCGCAACAGCTGTAGATAGGATAAATACCATATCACTGTTATCTATGATCTACGAGTTGGAGAGTGTTGATATCTAGCGACGGACTGCGAATAAAAGATAGGCTTGGTGCAATATGTTTGGACGAGCGATGCGCTACTGCCGCTAGGAGGGAGTTGGTTCATCCTCCTCATGCTGAGCTGTGTGTGCCTCGGTGGATTCCGACAAGATGGGGAAGGGCCAGCGAAAAGCGTCCGGCAGGCCGACATCGAATATCCACAATTATACCCTCCAATGGGACGATTTCCATGAAGGTTACATGTATGATGTCAAGCCAGTCATGCCGTGTTGCGGGGACAAGAAGGAAGTGAGAAGTGACACTGTTAAGCAAGTAGACTATCTGGCAGATGTTAATAGACCTATATTGCATATGTCTAAGTAGATATGATAGAAGTATACAAGGACCACAGCAAAACATTTCTCACGAGTGCAATCAACTCCTGCTTTGCTTGGTAGTATTATTCTACACAAGGTAAGGTATAGAGTATGCCCGCAGAACCCCGCTGATTCCCCAGTCAATGTCATTACTCTCTTCCGATAAATCCCTGGGCGTTTTGATTCGGAAAGAAGAGATCCGGCTCTACGGGCCGCGGGCTAGTGCCGTGTGAAACAAGCTCATCCTCCTAGTGAGTTGATGGCAAAATACTTCTCCATTTGATGGAGTATCACGATTCCCCGCTGCAGCACATACTGCAGCCCTCCTTTACCACCCAGCCTGCCAACCATTGCACCTCGACTCCAATTGTTATCCCTCTATGACGATTCCAAAAAGTGTGTACTACCCATGTGACCATCATTATCCCAATCTGCGGTGGCTCTGCTTCTCAACACAAAGAGTCCGTGGTATCCCGTACGTAATGCCTTGGCATCTCTACGCCCTACTATGCAAAAAATCGACGTCCCTCAAGGACTTTGATCGGGATGGTCGGGATCTGGTCGGCAGGCTCGCTACATTCCGTAACAATATCCACATATTGGCGGCCAATTGTTGGGCGAGACGTGATCATCTTGGGATATGGCTGCGAGGTCCGCTAGGTGAAGAGGTCTTTTCTCGTTCGGCTTGTGTCGCATGAAACGACAAGGATATCGTCGACGTTCTCAATCGTCGTCCGGAAGATTATCGCAAGCCTAGTGTTTTGTTGGGAGTAAAGAAACTATTTCAGATCTGGTCGAGCTGCCAGTATCTTAGAGGAATTTAGCTTCACTTCTAGGCTGTCGTGATGTCACAGCAATGATTTCGGCTTTAACATCTTATTAGGTATCACTTGATAGCGATGATGATGCAGTTAAATGGCAGGATCGGCAATGAGGTCACATTTGGGCTTGTTGGTAAATGTTCAAACGGTGTAGAGCTTGGGCGCAGATGATGGTAAATCTGGTTGATTTTTTGTTGCATAGAGTAGAGGAGTGGGTATTCATGCTTTGATTGCACCTATCAATGAAGTCTTGGTCTCATGTGTTGACACCTCATGTAGGACGATGAGAATGACAGGGAAAAGGAAGAGAGACATGGTAAAAAAAAAAAAAAGAAAAAAAAAATTGAACAGCCTTTTATCGCAAACATGACCGTGAACAAGTATGAGAATGACGCCGTGATTGGATGGCTGGAATAGTATCATCTTCAGGGCGTCACCTCCCATCCCACATCAACATGGTTTCCAGGATACCCCTCCCAGAAGCCCTGGGTGGCATCAGCAAACGACGCGGCCATCGCAGAGTCAATATCAAAATGCGTATCAAAAAGGTCATAATCGGCAGGCGGTACCACGCCGAATTCGTGAGATATGAGCTCAGTCTCGTTTGTGCTGATTTCAGTCTCATTTGTGCTGATCTCATTCGGATTCGTTTCTTCCTGTTCAGAAACAACCTATCCAATGTGTCAGCGACGGTCGCGAGTGAGTGAGGGGGCATTAGTAGAGAAGAACTAACCAAAGTCTCTTCCTCGCTCCCACTATCGGCAGCTTGAACGGGAGATGGTTGTAAGGCGCCGTAGTCGATGATGGCGTTTCTCATCTCTCGACGCGCACTCGGGCTCATGGCCTGATTGCCCTTTGACTTGACATTGCTATAGAAAATATGCATTGCCTTGATGGTTTCACGCTAAGAAAGGAGATTGGTTAGCGATGCTTGCAATAAGATCAGGGGACTGGTGTGAAGAGCGGCGACATACCCAGGTATCTGCCATGGGCCAGGCTTGCCTCATGTCCTTGAGAAAAACGCATCCGTCGATGATGCGCTGTCTCCAGCTTTCGATCTGCGGGTCGCCTTCACTAACATGTGGAAAATGCCAAAAATAGAGCAGTGTTCCAACTGCGGTGTAGATGGTGAAGCCTATCCACGGAACCAGGCCACGTAAAAAGAAAAGGCCAAATCCACGGATATCCTGGAGCATTTCGCACACCTGGTCGGCAACTTTTGCGAGTTCTCTGCAAGAAAACTGGGTCCACTGCTTCCTATCGCCGTTCTCATGCTCTGCCTCTTCGTGCATCTCCAATTCGGGCAGATAGGATCGGTAAAGAAATATGACAGACATGAAGTAGATGCAATGCATGTAGCAGAACGCCTGTCCTTGATTCTGGACACTATGGGCGTGCAGCAGCGATAGATCATATCGCAGGCGAGGAGGCAACGATTCCCTCCAAGCGTTTAAGCGTAGTAGTAGACGTTGGAGTTCTGACTGTGGCTGCCAAGGAGGCGTGTTGTTCGGGTGCGAAGAGCAGGACCATTTTGCAACAGCGCCCCAAATATCTGCAACCCCCATGCTGTGTGCAACGATGCCCAGATTGCCGGGTGGGATCATAGAATTGCCATCGGATCGATAGCCTTCTATGTAGGGACAGATGACCGGTTCGCCGAATATGAAGTTGCTCGTATCACAAGGTAGCTGGATGTGCATACTATCCGCGGATAGCAACCGTTCGCGGCCTTTGCCGCCGCTCAAAAGACTGTCCATAAGGAAGCACGTCCACGCCGTTCGCCGTCGTTCTTCCCCATGGATAAACTCTTCTCTGTCCAGGGTTGTGACTGGAGGGTCTTCGAACAAACCCATGATCTGGGCCATTCTCACGGCCATCCCAAGGTAAACCCATGCACGTCTGCCTTCACCTGAACCCCATGAATGGCCGGTGAGCATGAGAAGAACTTGGATCCGCTGCAAGCTCGGCTCATCTATTGATGGAAGGATAAGAGACCTGGTATGAGCGGCGAAGTAGTTACTCGTCTGAATCTGGCTAGAGAAGCCATCTGGTGGGTGTTGCGAGAATCTTGGCCGCAAGTTAGCTTCTTTCTCGGGATGTCGGTATTAGGGGAAAGGCTTTTGTCAACTAACCGCACTGTGATGGCCAGCATCGCCCACGCAACAGACCGATCCAGAGTCTTATTCCGGATGGATGCGAAGAATGTAGGCATATGGTGAAAGGACCACTTGTAAGAACATCTGAGGTAGCTCTCCTTGACCTCATCTGTCACGTAATCCAATGGGTCAATCTCCCACAGGTTGACCTTGGGTTGTTCATCGGGGTCTTCCGCAGCGCCACGCTGAGGCCCTGCGGAGGCTGATAATAGCGAGGCTGTGATGTTGGTGTCCGTCGGCAACGCACTGGACTGTGCGCGAGCCTGGCGCTCAAGCCTCGAGCGCCTAAAGATGAAGGAAGTGCCTTTGGGAGGGAAGATGCATTCATCTCCTCTCTCCTTGCAGCGGATGCATGGCGGTCCACCAGAATGGATGCACTGGATGAATCAGCATGAGCCGCAAAACCGCAGCGGGAAACGAGATGGCTTTGGTGCTGATTTACCCTTCTCTTTGACGTCCGACATGCGCCGCAAGCAATTGATTTCTTCATCACGGCGGTCTTGAGAAGCTCATTTTTCAACGCGCCTCAGGTTGTCACGCGGGGCTCAAGCGGACCAATGGGAGTCACACAATGAGAGGTTGCCCAATCTGTATGCCTTTACATGAGACGAATCTTTTATACTCGTAACCTGCGAATTGTCCGAATGGCGATTGATGCTGTGGCAATGCGTATGAGTTTCAGTGAGTATGTGAGAACTTGTGTGTCCCTCAAACTCACTGCCGTCAGAGTCGCCGCCCAGCTTCATAACTCGGCATCATAGCTGATTAGCTAATCTAGCAAAAAGCTAACAAAACTTGTGAGAGAATTGGTGCCTAAGGCAGAATTATTGATGGGTTTCTTAGTCATCCATCTCGTACGATGCCGGTAGACAAACTCCCGGCCAAAGCTAACAGAAACTGTCCAATATTCAATTTCTATGACTGTTTTGGTCACTTTCTCATTTGTCTTTTTCATTCGTTTTCGTCACTGGTTGCAAACACTCTATACAACTATGGATGTTTGCACACATAATCCCTCTGTACAACCCTATCCGTAGACTCGGTATTAAAGAACAGACGAGAGCAGCCAAACTGTAGGGTTTATCACGCAACAGAGTGTCTCTCAACATCGAACTCATGATGCAAAGTATACTTTATTAGAGCACGTGGAATGAATTTAGGTGAAGGTAAGATGAAATGAGATATCGTCTATTGATTGATTGAATACTAGAAAAAAAAGAAGAAAATACGCCCCTAAAATTCCCATCCAGAGTCCCCCTTGTATTGGATATATTCTTGTCCCCCCCGTCATATTGACAAAACGACAATCCCAACCGTTTACCCCCATTCTCCATTAATATCAAGTGGCATTACACATTATGTTCTCAAAGTGCTTTTAGGCTCCAACTGCTTCAAGCTTAAAACTCGTCGTTGACGTTGATGATAGCAGGGGCGGCCAGTGTGGCAGCGGGAACAGCATCGGGGCTGGTGAAGTTGCTGCCGTCGGTCAAAGCAGCAAGGGACAGGCCGAACATGATGTTCTCCTCAAAGGGGAAGAAAGCCTTGAAGGAAACCTTGCCACCGTTCCACTTGAAGTCCTTGACGGGAACGCTGATGGGGAGAAGCTGGCCGCTGAAGTAGGTGACGAAGAGGCCATCACCCTTACCATTAGCGAACTTGGCGGCGTTCTTGACGGAGCTCAGATCAGCACTGTAGTTGAGCCACTGGTCATCGGGCTTGACGGCCAGGGCGGCGGAACCACCCTCGACGTTGAGCTGAGTGAAGATGGGGACACCGAGAGAGTTGACGTCAAAGGGGCACGAGTTGGGAACAATAAAGTTGTTGTTAAGGAACGAATAAGCAAACGGGCCGACGCTGGTAGTGAGGAATGGCTTCTCGGAGGGGACAGCGCCGAGGAGAGTTCGGTAAAAGCCATTCTGCTCACCCTCCTGACCAATGATGGAAGCCACGCCTCGCGTGAAACCGGCATCACCAGCTGCGGCGGCACCCTGAGTGACGTCTTGGAGAGTGCCCAGGACGACTGCGGTGAAAGCCTCAGCCACGGCAATGGCGTCGTGGATGTTGGTGGCCGGGAAGTGGTATTTGCAGGGCAGAGGAGCAAGCTTCTTGAACTTGTTCAAGGCGTTGAGAGCGTTGAGTGCGTGAAGCTCTTCTTGCTACACAGGGGGAAAAACCAGACATTAGCATGGATCAAGGCAAAAGCATATTTCGAAAGGCCCAGTCTCAACTTACAGCAATGATAACCTTGAGGATCTTCTCCAGCTCAGCCTTGCCATAGCCCTTCCATGACTCGAAGCCGGGAACTCCAGCTGTGACGTTTTGGAGAAGGGACGTGAAATAGGCAACCTCGAATTCCTCGTTGACGGCGATGACCTGGAGTGACTGAAGGGTGCTGTCGGCAAGAGTGGCTGGCGGAGGGGCATTCGAGAGAGTGCCATCGGCGTGCTCCTCGATCGATCTCAGCTGTTGAGCACTGGGAGTGGGGAAGCCATCAGCAGCGGCAGCGGTGGTAGTGCAGTCCTTGCTGTTGGGAGGCCAGGTAGCGACAGAAGATCCGGCCAGAGCCAGAGCAGAAGCGAGAACCTTGGTAAGCTTGGCCATCGTTGCTTGTGTTTGTGTTTGTGTGTGTAAGTGGATATTAGTAAGAGTGTTGAGTGGTGTTGTCGAAGTGAGAGGTGATGGATGATGATGATATTCTGACTGAGATGGGATGACCGATGAGATAGTTATATACTAGGTGATCCCTTCCACGGCCATCAACACTCGCTGCATGCCAATTTCACTAGGCTCTTACTAGACGGCATCATCTCTGCCATCCGAATAGGCGGACCACTCTGCTTCCGGACGGCATGTGGCTTGCTTCCCACAAAAGCCCTCTCTAAGCCATCGACCTACAGCTCCGATTTTAGACTACCTGACCCGGAAGCTAAGATTGCCGATTGCAGCTCTGGCAAAGTGCAGTCAGTCAAAGGCCCAAGCTGCGTTGGTAAGCGGATGACTACTGGCTGCTGACTGCCGTGCTATTTTTGGCCATCGAGGCTGTGGCCCAAGTTCGTCCTTTTCTTAGCTAGCCCTGCGAAAGCGTGAACGTGCGCAGCCGCGTCTGGCCTCAGTTCAGGCCCAAGAAGCGCGCGTTTCTGCCTCCCTGGTGAACAACACGGCCTGGCGCAGCCGAGAGGACTTTGTTTCACCCAGAATAAGGCAAGAAACAAACATGTTTTGACCGTTGAAAGCCGTCAACGTCACTCAAACCTTCAACCCTGTGAATGTTTTGTTTTAGCGGGGAAATGAAAATCATACTCGCTGGCGTGCTTGAAAGGGCTCACGGATCAGGCTGACTGGGCCCTGTCAAAGGTCCAACAACGGATCGGGCGGCAAACTTAGACTCACGGGAAGGAAATGGAACGACAACTGTTTGTCCGAGCGAGGTACTAGTTTACTGGGGATTTGCGCGCAGAATAAATTTGTCATGGCCTTTACTATTTTGCTCGACACAGAGACTTGGTTATTTTTGACATCTGTTAGGTTCTCTCTCTCTGCGTGCCTGTTGTATGTTGGTGGACGCCGGTGGACGCCGTCCGTCAATGGCTGTGGCGTTTCTCTCCACCATTCTTGTCGCTATTTTCAAACTCGTGCGCTAATTTGCAAGCGCTCATCCTTCCAGAACCTACAGTACAAATCCTCATTGAAACATGCTTTTCTTTTTTTGGTAGCTGCTTGATAATGTTCTACGCAAAAGGCGTTGCCAACAGTTTCGTAGACTCAAGAATTAATATAAGCTTAGTTGCTGAAGCCATCACCGGTGATGCACGCTCCTACGCCGGGAAGACGTGCCGCTTTCTGGATAGCAGACAAATGCCCGAGCTGCATCCATCGCGGATCCTGTCAGCGACCCGGATGCGGCCAAATGTAAAGCACATACAAATTTGTACGATTCTAAACTAGTAAATTTCACGACCGGTTCGGATAGCCCTGTTTCCGTCACAAGCAAAGAATCCTTGCGGTTAAGCTTTCTGTGGCGCAGTCAGATTCATCTAATTAAACTCCCTGGCTCTCCGCGATCTTCCTTCAGGCACTTCCGAGCACATGGGAATAGACGGACTTCAATTAGCTAATACATGCACTTTCCCAACATTTGCGGCTGTGGATTGGTGTTCTTTGGTTCAACATGCAGAATATTTACCTCTCAAATCATGATCCATTATAAACATTGGCTGCAGAGCATCGCTTATTGATGGGCACCAACTGAACAAGACCACATCATACCGCTCGCCAACGCATAAATCACACACTTCGTCTATTATAGTTTGCATTCGCATATTGCCAGTTGGCCTCGCATATACGGTATACAATGAGGCACTCCATCCATTCACCCATTCGCCAAAAATCAATATTAATCACAACTTACTAGGTTACCGAGCCTTCTGGTGTACCTTTTCCCTTGTTGGGAACTTTTACAAGCAGCTCAGATTTTAGTCAGCTTCACGAGCAAGCTACATACCAATATTTCCCCGTGCGCTATTGTCGTCCGTAAGCCGCCACACAGTCGAGCCCATTCTTGGTTAGGATCTTAATCTCAATATCCTGGCTCGCCCGTCAGGAGTTACTAGAATGTTAGCTTACCAAATTGTCGTCCCTAAATAGAACACACCCAGTGGATTCGCTCGTTGGTTTGCCCGCCCTAATACTTGACAATGGGTACAATCGACGGCTTCCTTCCGAGGTATATTCGCTGGTTGGTTGTTAAAATGACGTTATGAGCCCCAATAGTATACTTATAATATGCCATGGGCAATATGGCACAAGTAATTCCACTTCTTGAGGCTAGCGGCGATGGACTTGCTGCAGCTCTGTTCCATCTACAAGAGACAAACTCACGGTGGCCGCAGCTCTCAAAGAGCTACTACCTTGGAGAAATGTTGATCCACACCCAGCCATCGTTAAAGCAATAACCTTTCTTGCATCCATAACTACAGCTAGTCTCTGCATTTATGTTGGGACTCCAATCAATGCTGCTATTGTATTTGGCTTTTGGCATAATTCCGGATTTTGATGTCATAATTACGTTTTGGGGTTGGAGACATCAACCAGAGTTTAGTTCTGTAAAAGAATATGTATTGAAACAACACTGTTACCCCGCATGCAGGATATATAATCGTATGGCGAACTCTATTTTACACATTGGTTGCCACAAACCGCCTGTTCACTGATCCAAAATCGCAGCACAAAAGTATCATCATGCCGTCAGCTTCTGAAAAGGCGAGAGCAAAGCTCGATGCGGTGTTGAACGACCCGGGACGATTTGATTGTACCCGTAAGGTCTTGGACGAAGTCGTACAAAAGAATGCCTAACATTTCTACATAGAACGGTCGAATCGCATAGCGACGACACGATATGCTACAGGCTGTGGCGTAGTCAACTCTGTTCCGCGTCGCCCCAGCCAGAGTAGCATAGAAGGCGATTCAGGCGGCGTCAGGAACAGACTGAAACGCCTCATGTCCCTACCCGCGTACTAAAACGAAAAGAAAAGTCGCCGGAGGAATATTCTTGGAAGGTTAACAATCTCGATGGTTGTGAACAGTTTCATATGTCCTAGTCGTGCCGTCGAGCAAAGGTTGCCCGTCTATTGGCACGTTCGTACTTTATCTCGTGCCTCTATGGCAAAATTGGAAGATGTACAAATCTCTTGACCTGAATATCTCTCCGAAGAGCATTAAGGATTTGTTGTTGTCCATCTCTGTAGCAGACATGTTAGATACAATGAACTCTTATTCGTGAAAACATCCATACACTTTGGATACCTATATACTACTTGGAGAACGCGTGCCTTGGCCATCTTGCCCAGCCGAACCTGAGAACACAGAACTAGAGTCCAATGAACTTTCTTATTGATGGGCGAGAGGAGTGTCAATAGGTGCGATAGCATTCAGGATGGGTGTAATACTCTGATAACTTGATACGCAGTCTACTTCTCCTTTCAACTTCAGTCCACAAGGCTGAAAGTACAGGTGGGTTACAGCACTGAGTGATATTTTGCTGATCAAATACGAGGGAATGGTTGTAGATTCGTATAAGCCAGTTATCAAGTGAAATAGGAAATGCCAAGGGTTGTCGCTAAGCGTCATCCTCCTAACATTCAGCATAGAATAGCTTGCAACTCTTCGTACTCCAATAACACTGCTGTTGTATCTTAACAATCAGGCACATCTGAGGGGAACTACGTAATTTCTCTTTTATGAACCGTCTCTACGTGGAAGTATGCGCCATACATCCAATGTTTCAATGCCTTGCCCTCTACCGAAAATCCCAAGCGTTTTTGAACAAATCAAGTTGGAAGAGATTGCCACAAGGTACCATTTTCTCAGTGATGAGAAACACAACATACGCTCTTTTTCTTTGTTGGGTGACTTAGAAGTCTAATATACACATAAAGCCGCCATTAGATGCAAGTACAGCCATATACTGTGGATCTCACAATGAAGCCACTTTCTCATCTATACTTTCCCAGTCATGAGTTTTTGTGGATGGCGGAACCTTCTCAGATGTAGAAACGGTTTGAATCGGTTCAAAAAGGTTTCGTAGGCAAACATCCCTTTCATTATCCAGCGCCACATAGTTGGGTGTTTGCTACCTCGAGTAACCGGATCTTGTTGGACGAATTTACTAGATGAAGTGTTTGAAGGTTTGGCTGTAATTTATTCAGCAAACCGGTTGTCGGTTAGAACAGAATTAATGCAAGTGTTTGGCAGTGTTCTAGGTAATCCAGAATTAACTGTGGCGGTTTCTGAAAGAAATTTGAGTTAAGGACAATAATTTGTCGATTGTAAAATTCCTCTTGCTGGGCATTGTATCAAAGAATTTTTGATCTCTTTGAAATTGACGGAACCTTGGTTCTTCAACCGGGAAGCTCGATATATAACGATACTGCTAACTGTAGTCGGCTATGAACTGTGGCTGCTATTGACCTGGTTTCATTGAACAAAGCTATGATGAGATAATACCAAGTTAAGTTGGCTGAGCTTGCATTTTATGCTTAAAATAGAAGATCATGCCTTTCAAGTAACATAGAAATGCCATTGTGGGAACAAAAGATATCTACAGAAGGCAAATGCCACTACTGGTGAGCGGCAAACAGGCTACCCTAACATTGTAGAGTATCAAGAACAAGTACCTACTAAGTGTTTGGGCAACTTGAAGACACCTCTAGTAAGCTATGTAGTGGCTGGGGTACTCAAGAAGGCTTAATCTCCATCTTCTGGTACATGTATCGGTATATTATACCGGTGTAATTGCATATTTTCTTCCACTCTAGTTACCTGCCTTTATGCTGTGACATTACATGGAGCAGCAGTTGTTCATGGGTGTTCTTCATGAATGCTTGACTAGGTATGAGCATTCAGGCTGGGTATATTCTCATGCCAACACATACTGCTGATAGTCGTCGAAATCATAAAGAAGCACCCATTGCTGAATGTATAGAACCAGATACTTAACCCCAAGTTAGACACATCTGATAAAGCTCCGGCCAAAGTCGGCATCTCTTCCTCATTAGATAAGCATCGTACGTTAGGCTAATACAAGAGAGCCCTGGTCGTTTGTGAATTTTAGCAAACGGGGGCTGTCAAAAAATAAGCATGTCCCACTAAATGGTTACAGTATTACTTGAAGCTACGCCAACTCGTCTGGCGCAGATTGCTGGGCGGAAATGTCTGCTCTTGGAACACTGAGTTTAAACACAAGCCCTTCAAAGTCATTCTCACAATGAGACGGCACGGCATATATACGTGTAGTCTTCACCCCAACATCGATGTTTAGGCACAATCCCGATACAGTACAAGTTAAAGGAGTACGAGTAATGGCTCGATCCCTCGCGGATCGGAATATTGATAGCCCTTCCTTGGCGCGTTTCGGCTCCTGAAAGCGGAGGCCTGCGGATGCAGTAAGAAAAGCGACTCATGTCATCTTACTTTCTCTGCTAGCTTAAGCTGCTCTCGCCTGATTGATTTGGCTGAGTGACAATGCCAAAGACGTATTGCGCTGGGCGAGGTCACTTGACTTTGACCTAGAAGATATGAAGGCCAAACAAGGCTGCTGGACATGTAAACGTGAGTCTCTTTGGCTTCCAGTTGAAGCGCTGGCGCATCCGCTCGAGTGCTGACAGGCGCGCCATCCAGAGCGGAAAATAGGGTGTGACAGGGATCTGCCTGTGTGCCACAACTGCACTCGCACGGGCAGACAATGCTTGGGTTACGGTCTCCGTCTGCTGTGGCCGGATCGCCATGATGGCCGCCGAAAGGACAGTGGCTTCGTAGTTTATGAGCCGCCGGAAAACCCGCTGGAGGCGTCCAAGAACTATGGCCGGCATTTCCTCAATGTCAACCACAATGATGTGGCCTCGTCGCTGGACCCGTCATCTTACAATGCGCTTATTGCGAGAACTGTCTCCAAACCCACCCGAACTCTCAACCTTTATCCGACAATGGTCGGCCAAGATGCTCTTTTCATGTCATACTGTAAGACTCCAAAGCTCTCCATCTAATAAATCTAGCTTGTGGTTGACATCCTTGAAGATGAGAGCGTTATTGCTCCAATGATATCGACCACGCAAGTAACGAACGGCTTCCGGACCGACCTTGTCCAGATGGTGCTGTCACGAGGCGACAGCGCAACCAAAGCTTTATGGAATTCTATGATGGCCGTTGCCGCCTTTCACCGCAGCGGTACTGAAGCTGCTCTAACATATAAGACGAATGCCGTCCGCTATCTATCTGCTTCCTTAACTCCCGGACATGAAACAAGCAATATCGATCTCAACCAGACGCAGTTTGCTGCATCTATGATGCTTTGTATCTACAGTGTAAGTTGTAAAGGGTGAGTAGATGGATAGGTGATTAGCATTCTAACTGATACTAGGTCTTCGACGAGACCGACGGCCACTGGACCACACATCTTGATGGTGCTAAATATATGCTGGAAGGGTTGTACCCGGAACATCGAAGGCACATTAAAGCAGATTTTCTCTTCACATGGTTCCTGTACCACGAAGTGTTGGCATGCTTCAGCCAGCCTATGCGGCAAGCCCATAACTGCATCGATGTTCTTTTCCTATTGGGAGCATCGAATTGCGATGCCACTTTGGTGGGTTCTTGCGACGATGACTCTGCTCTCCCCAAGCTAACTTCAATGGTGGCAGATACTTGGCGCTCTCGGGTGCTCGTTGGAGACAATTGCCATAATTCACCGAGTGAACAAATTCCGCATCGCTATTATACAAAAAGAAATTGACCCGCTATCACCCAAACTTATACAACAGCGATTCGAATTGGAGCATACGCTAAATAACCTTGTTCAAAGGCTCGATCCCGATGAAGAGGCTGGCGAGGCCCCTGCAAGACGCACACGCATTCTAGCTACAGCAGAATTGTACCGCATAGGAACCATTCTATACCTGCTTCATGTTATCCCTCTACCCGGGGACGACGAGCAAAAAGCGACCTATTTGGAAGAGGTCTTTGACATATTGGAGCGCTTGGGAGTGGCTACAAGCCCATGGCCTATATTCATGGTTGCTTGCGAATGCCAGACAGACGAACAGCGCATCCGGATTCTACGAATATTGGACCTGATGAATAATGTGAGGAACATCGGCAACATTCGAGTAATGCGCAATCTTATTGAAACTTGTTGGAAACACTACGATCTTCAGGCTGACTCAACGTACTTGCATCGTACGAAATGGTGGGAATTTGTTAATTATGAGACGGCAGTTCCCTGGTTTATTTAATGAAACATGTAATTTAGTGCAGTAAATATTCTATATAGCAAAAGAGAGCCCTCTATTTCTCCATTATTGTAACATGCTTGGCAACTGGCGGGTTGACTAGGAGACTCAGCATGTCCGGTCGAGCATAATGGCCGGCAACATCGAGGAATATTTTGGCCTTGGCGATGTCGCCCAGAGATATATCGGCTTGGAGAATTCCTTCTTCCCCCGCTCCAATTGGTTCGCATAATGGTTTTCCATCGGGGCCGAAGATCTGAGAGAAGCCACCGCCAGGCTAGACAAAAAAAGGTTGTGGTTAGCAAATGAGTTACCCATGGAGATAGCATAACCAACAGAGCTGGGGGAATGCTGACTTACCACCTGAGTGACCGGATTACCGGCTAATATGCTGTTCTTCTCCAGACCCTTCTCTGTAAGAATCTGCGAAGAGCATAGAACAAAAGTTGCGCCTTCTATCGCCATGTTCTGACTGATGCGGTTATTTGCCTCACCAGTCTCGTGGTACAGCCAGGAGATCTTTTCAGGATCGGGCATACTGAAGATGGACGGCCAGCTCGAGATGTGAATCTGCACACCTTGCGTGTACTCGTAGTAGCGCAGCAAGGGTTGCAGATGCTCCCAGCAGTTGAGGCCACCAATCTTACCAAACGGCGAATCTACCACGGTTTTCAGGGATTCATCCTGGCCTTCTCCCCAGATGGTACGCTCCGCATGAGTAGGCTTGATTTTGCGGCGATTGTGGACGATTTCGCCTTCGGGTGAGATGAAGGCTTGGGCAATGTAGATGGTGGCTCCCTCGCGCTCACTGTAGCCCAGCACAACAAACATACCGGCTTCCTTGACGGCAGCCTGAATGCGTTTCATTTGGGGGGAGTCCCTTGTCATGGAGTTTGCTTGATACTGGGGAACCCAAGTCGCCTGGATAATTGGTGGAGCGCACCACATCTGCCTATCATCCATGCAACTCACAGTGTTAGCATATAGAATCCCAAATGATCATTGTTGACAGAGAGTTTTACCATGGGTAGCCTGGAATCCAGACTTCAGGGAATCCAAGAACCTGAACGCCATCCACAGCCGCTTGCTTGATGAGCTGTATAGTCTTGTCCACACATCCGTCAAGGTCATGCCAGACAGGCTCGGCCTGAACGGCTCCGACTCTGATGGTTTTCTCAACTTTGGTGGCTGTGTCCATGTTTGCTTTAGTGTTGAATGTTGTAAGTGTAAGTTGCTGCTAGAATTGTTGACTACAGTTATAACATTGAGTGATTTCCGTCGCCTTTTTATACCCGTTGATGGTCGTTGTCTTTACTTGCCAACTTCGCATGTTGTTTCTTCAAATAACGGCACCCATGGACATGCCCTCAAACATCATCCCCAGAGGTCCGATTCACGGTGGATTCATAGGATTCGTAACTACCGTTGAACCCCGGCTAACCAATCATCTCGGTTACCGCCATCGCAGACTATTTCCCTCGCAGGCCCTTGCAAGATCGGTTTGACAGCCCGGCCCGAGATGCAGTTCGGAAGTAGATCAATAGGCTTCTGACGATGCACTAGACCAGATCGGGGATCCCACGCCGCGCTGATTTGATCGAAGCAAGAGTTTGCGATGCACGAATCGTGCGCTACTCCATCTGCCGTCACCAATGGTAATGATGTTGACCCCCATCAGCTTATAAATTCTCCTTGGCCCCTGTTGTTTAAGCAATATCGTTCAGTCCGGTGAGGGCGGATTCCGCCGCAAGAGTATACTAGCTTATAACGGTATGCCATGGTGGAGAAGTGGTCAAAACTGCGTAACCTTTCTAGAACACGCCCTTATTTCGGCATAAATGCCTTGTAATTAATAAAACAAGTCTTTAATGGAGAAATCTGCTTGTGGTTACATAGAAGTCGTTATACTTACAAAGGTGGCAAGCTAACACTGCGCAGGACCAAGAGTAAAAGAACTTGTAGGCATCTTCAACATACATCGGCGAGGGGCGTGCAGTACATGAACACTAAGCCTACAATAACACGTGGAAAAGCCGATTACTCAATGCGATACCTATACCTACATATTATATAACAGACTGGCCAGCCACTCTGTTCGTGGGATTTCCTAGACTAAGATGAAGTGTAAATGATCCATCGCTCAAGCAACTATGACGCTAGTTGCTGACGTTCACAGGCAAGCAACTTCTCAACCATACGAATGACAGGAATGTCCAAATAATTTGATTGCGCTCAAGGAATTTTTTGTAAAAGGACTGTTTGTAACGACTGGGCCACAGCTCAAATAGCAAATCAAGAGGGAGGACGTAGATGTGTTCATTTCATTATAAAAAATTAGCTACCTGTTTTTCAAGATACATACTAGTTTCGCCACTCCCAACGATCTCATCTTATAAGGAAGGTTTGCTTGCTGTAGCTTCAGTTAACAACTTTGTCTTTACCCTACGTCTCAGACAAGTGGAGGAGCAGCTGACCTCTGTCTCATGCTGCATCCTGGGTTGACTCCCTTATATATACGAGGATAATGAATGTGGCTACCCGGTAATTATGAGTTAATGGATTATTGCAGAATGGAACATTCATGGAGCAAGAAATATATAGAGAGATCTTACACAAAGCTGAAACACTTCTGTTAATAATCCTAGGCCATTGCTCTCAAGTTTTCGATATCCTTCTTCTTTCGTGAAGCTATTGACGGCGGCATAGCATTACGCAAGGCATGGTTTGGTGCAGGTGTCTTGTGACAAACGCTTTGAACACTGCGATGTGTCCTATTAGAGAGCGACATCGTCAGCTCAGAGACGAAAAAAAATGAGTAAGAAACGGAAAATCTCAATTGTCAGCATGCCAATGATGACCGACAGGCGACAGCACAGAAAAGCAGTATGCGAGTGACAACGACGTCAAATAGCAACTGTGCTTATGAAGCAACGTTCATTCTAACTCCGTGTACGCTTTACCTTATTGGCATCCTCTATCTTTTGTCATCAACCACGACTCCAATCGGACGTACCCCCTTCACAATCTCTTTTCTTTTGTCTGCCACACCAGACAGTTCAGCTTCGGCAATCTTTCATCGCTTTACAAGGGGCAGATCTTCCTTTTAATCCACGAATGAGTTCAGCCGCACATGAAGCGGGGTTGCTGTATCAGCTGCCACCTGCTTTTCGCCGAATCATGTCTTGCATTTTATCATGCGAATCTCAATCCAGTTAGCGACGAGCTTATCAGATTTAGAAATGGGCGCGGCCCGTGTCCTGAGATGACTAAATTGAGTCCCTTGCAGGCGGCAATGGCTCCCTTGCCTACGACATGCTGCATGAGGCAGGAGAAGTCGCTTGGAGTGGTGGGTTGTGTAAGGCAGCGAGGGAGGGAGGCCCAAACATCTTTGTCAGGTCTTCCCACATACTTTGATCCAGGCCCGAAGATCTCCTGTGGACTATAATCGCTTCCTTTCTTAGCTTTAAAAAGCCTCCGAAGATAGATCTGTATCCACAGATCTTTTGGAAACTCAACTGGTCACTGTTACCGCTTCTTCTTCACTGCTGCTCACCGATTTTCTCCTCTATATCCAGTCCTGTAGTCTTGATCTTTGTGTATTTAGGACGCCATGTTTCGAAAAATCGTCCAAGCCGCGCGTTCTATGGACCTGGGAGATCTTGTGCCTGCAGACAGAGAGGAGCAAGGCTATCCGCCAAATGAGGACTCGGCAGGTCAAGAGAATAGCAGCAACGGGAAACGACTCACTATAACCAAGACTGATCACGAGGCGCTAATTCCGCCAAATGACAAGCTTCTCGCATTTCGCTCCCTGACGGGCATAGACACGGTGCCTGCGCTGTCAAGCACCGGTCATGCCAGGCGAGCAGCACCAAATATCGGCCTGTATTTTCGGGTGGTCGAAGCAGAGCAAAAGGCAGCCAAGAGCTATAAAATCTTCCATATCATCATAAACTTTTGCCTCGGAGCGCAAATTATCGTTGGCGCCTCATTAACGGCAATCGGAGCTGCTGATGGCTCTCGTCATGCGGTTACTGGACTCGGCGCCATGGGCACAATCATGGCAGGGATATTGACTTACCTCAAAGGATCTGGCCTGCCTGATCGGTTCAAAATCCAAGAGAACCAATGGAGAGAGCTTCGTGAGCATATTGAGCAGCGCGAACGAGAGCTTTGTCTAATAGACTGCACACTTGACGCCCAAGAGGAGGTGTTCATTATTGAAGACATGTATAACCAAGCCAAGGCTGATCTGGAGGCAAAAGGTCCCGGCATTCGATCTCGGTTTGGAGGGAACTATCAGTCTGTGCAAAAATCGCGAAGCAGCCCGATTAGGTCCATCGTGCATAAGGCGGCTACCAGAGTAGCCCAATCTACAGATGAGATCGCCACACCGCCACCAGCAGCGGTGAAAGGTTGAATGATGAGAGTGGGTCGGGAAATGGACGAATTTTATGATTTGTTTTGTTCAAAGATGGAATTAGAAGCTTCTAAACCTTCTATGTCAGTCGTTGGAGTTTTCATGGAAATGGTGGGTTTGGTTCGAGGTTTGGCTTTGTTCTGCGTGGTAGCTGGGAATAGCAGGCACTAGTTTAACATTTTCATCTTTCACGAGTTACTAATGGATGAAAAGAAGGCCATTGATTCTTCACATTTGGCAACTGTACTGGCACTATACTCCCGCGAAACGCAAGACTTCTTCTTTGTTGGAGGGGGTGGGAGGAATGGAGAGGCATCGCAAAATACGCTATTCGTCTCAGCTAAACTCAGTTGCATTAAATCAATGCTCTGACAGTCTGGAATCATCGATCAAAATGCTACAATTCGCTCTTGAATGAGCTGTCTGCTATTGTAACTAGTAAATTTTACATCAAGTTGCCAAGTGGCTATACGTGGTGTCAGCGCTTGATTGTCGTTATCATTTAATATGCAAGTCCAAAGTGTTTAAACGCATTAAACGCATTGGTAATAAACTATACGCATTATAAATCAGTAAATCTGTCGTTGATGATGACAATGTTGTAGATATGCATGATTACTCACAGTCGTTCTGCTTCTGACACGTCCATGGCGAAACACACTGCGTCGGGCCAGTCCAGCCGGTACCTCCACACTGAGCGTAGTGCTGGGCAAGACCTGTGCCTGAAGGGCTGGCTGACGAGCTAGTGCGAGTTGTCGAAGTCACAACAGAGGTTCGAGTAGTTGAGATGGTTGAAGAGGAGAGTGTGGTATGGATTGAGGTGGTGGTGCTGGACCTGCTCGAAGCGCTGGATGAAGAGGAGCTTCCACCGTTACCACCGCTAATCGTTCCCTGTGCATAAAAGACACCTCGACCATTGGTGCCTACGTAGACTTGTCCAGCTGTGCTGGCGCTACCAGCGAGTTTGACGCCGTCGATAGCACCGAAACCCTGAGTACTGCCTTGAATATCAGTCCAGGTTGCGCCATTATCTCCGCTCGCATAAAGACGGGCGCCAGCTGATCCTGTGCCGAGGGCGTATAAGTTCCAGTTTGAGTCTGAACCAACGCCGAGGGCAATCTGGTAAACGTTTGTTAAGGCCGTAGAGATGAGGGTAAAGGTCGTGCCCGAGTCAGTCGAATGGAAAATGCCCACATCAGTCGAGACATATACAGTGCCCGCAGTTGTCGGGTGAGCAATAATGTCCCGAATGGAAGTGGCACTGCCCAACTTTGGCCCAGATGTAAAAGTGCTACCAGTATCTTTGCTAACATAGAAAGTGGATGAGTATCCGGCATAAAAGAGAGTGTTGGTCTTCTTATCCGAGGCGATGACAGCAGTAGCGGGCAAGCTGGAGACGGTAGTAAAGCTGCCCTGGTACTGCGAGCGCTTCACGCCAGAGGAGCCTGTTGACCAGAGAATCGTATCCGCGTTGGCAGAATAAGCGACAGTGCCGCCATTCATAGAAGTGTCAGCACCATAGTCAATGCTCCATGACACGCCGCCATCCGATGAAGTTGCAACTTGCTGCGTGCCAGCAGTATTGCCAACGCGGACAACATTCTTGACCGAGTTGCCCGCAAAGTCAACGCTCGTCGACGTCGCCCATGTTGGCGTATTCCAGACGTTTTGAGGCGAAGTGCCAAGGCTATTGGGACTTGTAAATGTGTAACCATTCTCGTCTCCAAGTGCCACCAAGAGCTCGCTGCCACCAGGTGCAGACGCTAGACCCTGGATAGCAAATTCTTCAATGCCATCTGCAAGCGACTGGATTGTCACATTGTGTTTCGTGTCCCAACTGACCAAATCATGACCGCCGAGTATGGTCATACCGGTGCCATAGAGCCAGTGATTACTATCCGTCGGGTCAATCTCAAGCGACTCAATCATCCAACCAAGGCGCTTGATGAGTCCATCGGATGGCGATTCGCTAGTTACATCAATGAAATCATTCTTAATCCATGGGGCTTTTGGAGTCTGGGAATCAGGTCAGTAATAAGCATGTTAGCGGATTCAAACCATCGATTCTGGCTTACCGAGATGCCATAATAATAAGTCATTGAAGGATAGCTAGCCCACTGCCAAATGGGACTCCATGTCGTTCCTGAGTCTGTGGAACGGAACAATTGGGCATCTGGCCACCAGGAGTTTAGTGAAGCGACAACAAGAGTCCCTGGCTTTTGAATATCGACACCGAGACCACCAAAACCGAAATAGAGATCTGATCCGCTAACTGGGGTAATGTATTTCCAGGTCCCAGCAGTGATGTCGTACCTCCATACTGACCCGAGCGTGCCATCATATGGTCCTGTGCCATCAGAGTATGTGAGATACAAAGCTTTTTCTGTAGGCTGGAGCTTGGCTTTGTGAGGAAAATATGTTCCTGGCTGTCCGGGAACCGCTGTCCACGTAGAACCGGCATTCGTGCTCACGTAAACCGAAGCAGTGATATTATCGGCTGTGCCAACAAAGATGCGAGAAGTCGCGCCTCCACTGGTGCTGCTTGTTGAGTCAAAAGTTACCCACATAAGGCCCTGTTTGTCGTTATTGTAACCGTTGGGATCAGTCGGGTCTGCCGCGTATGTGCCCGTCGCCGTAAATGATGTAACCTTTGAAAAGGTAACGCCGCCATCAGTAGACTTCCAAAGACCGTTTCCAGATCGAGCCCCAAAATAAATGATATTGGAATTGGCTGGGTCTACGGCTAACCGCTCCCCTGCGCCACGTCCTGGCATATTGCCTCCGACTTTGAATGTCAAGTTGCTAAAAGACCAGGTGGCACCACGGTCTGAAGAGCGAATAATAGCTCCATTGTTGGGATCCCTGATGATGTGTCAGAGTTGTCAAATCTGGAAATATGTTCAATGGAGCTTCACAAACCAGCTATTGGTATACATGCCGACGGCAGCATAGATCTTCTGATCATTTTGCGGATCCAGAGCAACAGCGTCGATACCCCAGTTGTGCCAGCCGGCATCATTAGCAATACCATCTGTGATTGGGGTCCAAGAATCATCGGAGTTCAAGCGATAAAGGCCACCAATGTCTGTTCGGGCATAGGCCACGCCCTTGGTCTTGGGATGGAAGATTATGCCAGGAACAAAGCCACCGCCGCCGCCGATTTTTACATTCTTCCATGTAAACGCGGCCTGAGCGGGAATGGCCGCCCCCAGGAAGAGAGCGAGCACTCGAAGACACTTCATGACCGTATATGACCAAGAAATATGAGAACTTCCACACAGTCAAGTCTATCAAATTGAAAAGGAAGGAAGCTCGACGTCCATCCTTTCTCTCAGGGAGACATCATACTCTTATATACTATTTAAACAGTCGGGAATTTTGAGGGCAAAAATATGGGTTTTGCTCTTTGGAGAGATGCTATTGCCTAATCTATGTGCAGTATGCGACAACATTTTGTATATACCCTTTTCGGCTGCCACGCAATTCTGTGATGTTGTATCGCCTTCAAAAATGAGCATGAGCAAGGAGTTTAATAAATAGGATAATTGATTTATGTCCGAAATGTGGATCTAACCTCTAACAATAGCATGCGCGCCAATTATGTTCCATTATGTGACTATTAGGCTGTTAATTGTTATGTATTAATAGAGGCTATACGTATATTTGCCCTTTTGGATACGGAAGATACAATGCCGATATTGCAACACAAACAAACAGAATCGTTAATAGTAAAGTGTTTCATTTCGTAATTATACAGGTAGAGACCTGTCTGAGTTCAACACAACTCACCGTGCTGCAGCTCTCCACTATTGAAGTGCCCTGACATAAGCAACCGGACCCTTATATCGATGAGTTCCGCGAAGGAAGTAGTATACCAAGGAAAACAGTGTTACACCACCGTAAATCACAATGTTCCAGTTCATCTGAGCTGCTGTCGGCTTAGGGTTGCTAGGCATGAATGCTAAGACGAAAATAAGGAGAAGAAAAGCCTCAGAGGCAATGTTTATGGTGAGACCCCATCGACCCAAGCTGAACTTGGATGGGAGGAGCGGACTATTCGTCATTCGTCGCCAGATCATACAACCAGTAGAGACAATGTAGCTGGATAGAAGTGACGTTGTTGCCAAAGAAGTGATGGAGTTCAGTGCGACAGCCGAACCGATGTTGATGAGGGAAAGAAGGCTTGAGATGAGGAAAGTCATCAAAATGGCATTGAGCGGCACATCCCATCCTGTTTTTATCTTTGAAAACCAAGGGCTGAAAGGAACAGCCTGGTCTCGTGCAAACGCAAACAGTTGACGCGATGCCGTAGCCACCATAGTAAGATTGGAGAATACAGTCATGGCAACAATAAACACCGACATCGCGGTAGCGCTGGCCGTTGACTTTGTCGAGTTGTAAAAGACTTGCATAAAGGGATAACCAGTTGGCGACTCGATGACTTCATATAGGTCGCCTATGCAGAAGGAAAATGTGATTACCATAATCCATCCAAAAGCACCATTGAAGATAGTCGTCGTAATCATGGAGCGCGGTAGAGCGCGGCCGGCATCGCGCAACTCCTCGGACATGTGGACAGCAGCATCTGCACCCAGCAGTGGTAAAATTCCTGCGAGAATTCCCACAAGGGTTGAGCCTCCCACGCTGCCCCAGCCTCCACCATCACTGAACTCCGTGAAGACCGCTTTGGCGTCTGCTCTGGGTGAAAGAACCCAGAGAGTGACAAGTATGCCGAAAAAGGCAAAGATGTGAATAACAAGGATTAACGCATCAATAAGTGGTAGCTTTCTAGCAAGGACAGTATTGAAAAGCACCGAGAAAGCAGCAACGGCTACAGTGAGTAGAGTACCGTGCCATGGTTTGGGGATATAATCGGGGTTGTTCAAGACAATAAGGCCTTGAATCTGCGTGCCAGCAATGAATGCCGAGGAGGCACAAGATGTCTGCCAGCCGAGTACACACATCCACCCCATAAGGTAACTGATGAATTTCTGATATTGCGGCGGCGCAAATTCAGATACCCAGTGATATTGTCCTCCAGTCGTTGGAGCCCTGCGAAAGTTAGGTGAGAAATTCAGCCATATATATGGATTGGGAATGACTTACATCGAAGCCATTTCAGCCATCGTCGTGTTCACCAAGAGGAAACCCATCCAGCAAACGAAGAACATCCAGATGAAACCGGCAGTTCCGCCGTTAACAAGGCCGATTGTAGACACACTTTGAATCACAAGTTCACTTAGTAACCCAACTGTCATAGCATCTTTAACCCCAATTTACCTTAAAGAGAACTCCCACGACGCCATTAGAATCATAGAAAAGCCAAATATGGACAAGAAGCGAAAATTTCTCTATTAGATGTTGCGTTAGAAGACTCGACGAGATAAAGCCCAAGAGTCAACCGGCACGAACCCTCATTTCCTGTACCTTGCCCATGCGGTACATGTCGGCGCGGTCGGCCGCATTTCCTCTCTTCTCATCAACATCACCATCGTTGAGGCCAATGGTAGCATCATTGACCTCTGAAATTTCTTTATCGTCAACTACCATTTTTGCGGTGGTTTGGAACCACTTTGGTGGGAAGTGGTTTCGCTGAAAAGGCCACAACAAAACAAAGGGGGGAGAAAAAGAAAAGAAAGAAATATCATTTAAAATCTGCAGCTAGTGTTCCACGGATGATGCAGGAGAGAGGGTGCACACAGTAGACACGCATGGCCAGACAGTTGCAAACATGGGAGCAATGCGAAGTACTTGTATCCTACCATTTCAATTACATTGGGAATAGCGCACACCGGCCTGAGTCCCCCGACCTGGCCTGGTGCATGCGTGTTGGTCGTTCCTTGTCTAATCCCTACCCTTGTGGAGTGCAGGGAACTCCAGTGTAATGCAGCTGCTGGCACTGTCTTTCAGGCACAGAGATGGAAAGAAATCATACGGTCCACAAAGATTAGCCAAGATTTTGGTGACCCCATACGGATTATGGACCATTGAACTACTGAATATGAGGTGACAGAAACCTGACTAGAGTTGCGTCTTCCTACCTGACTCATTATTTCCAAAAATAAATAGTCTATACATGTATTGTAAAGGTCTGAGACTACGTCCCCAAGGATAGAAGGATTTGCGTCGCAGGCAAGGACATGGTTTGTTCCAAGTATGTATTACGAGCACGGAGTATTCGTAGCTTTATTAATGCAGGTAGGTGATGAAATCTGACCGGGTCACATCACCAAGGCCAAAGCCCTCCAGCCCCTGGTCTCGAGCTGAGAGGCTTACTCTGTACCTGCTTTTCCGTCTGGTACGAGGATAAGCCGTTGGCTGCGCTGTAATTAGCCTGGATTCAGGATCTTCTGGTCTGGAACCCACATCACACGCCCATCCATCCGTCAGGATCGGGACTTTGGCTGCCGGCACGCTGCGAGTGGAAAGCAAGGACTTATAGGCATTCGTTATCTCTTGCGAAGATTTACTTCTTCGATGCTGTCAAGTCATTGCCTCTCTTGAGCCTGACCTACAGGTCTTCCTCACTCATGGATCCAGAAACATCGAACGATGGTTCTTTTCAGTTCTCACGCGTTACCTTCAACGATCATTCGGGCCAGTTATGGATCGTGACAATCTTATCGTTGATATATGGTCTTCTTGGTGCTATGACACGAGGATACATCAAGTACCGGATGTTTGGGTTTGATGATCTACTGCTTGCTTTCGCGACAGTAAGGAGCCTGATCCCGTATTTGATAATGAAGTTGACCATCAGTTAGGTCTTCCATATAGCTCAAGCCATCGCAATGTTTGTTGGCTTAAACAATGGCCTCGGCAAGTTCAACTCTATCACGGGACCGGAACAATGGGCGACGTCCTCAAAAGTAAGCCTCGTGTAATGTGGCAAGTTTCAGCAACTAACACATCTACTGACAGTCCGTTATCGCGGCCGTTATTCTCTGTCTTATTACCTTGAGCCTCGCTAAATGCTCTGTCCTCGCTCTTATCCTTCGAATCATTGACTCCAAGACTGGGAAGAGCAAACCGTTCTGTATTGGACTTATGGTTCTTAGTTCGGCATGGGGAATAGGCTCATCTTTGGCATTCCTCATCAACTGCCGCTCCGGCGCATTGTTGACTCTGGATAATGTTAAACAATGTCCCAACCAGGTACGAAAAAAAACGTGTTGTGACTCGTCGAGATCTCATGCAGATGCCTAACCTAAGAGTTGCGCTTAGAATACACGCTGGGCTATCATCACTGCGATTGACATCCTAACCGAGATACTTACTTGGCTTCTTATTGTATGGGTCTCCTGGAGCGTTAACATGTCATTCTCCCGCAAGTGTCAGGTTGCCTTGGCTTTCTCATTCCGTCTGCCACTCATCGCCTTCTCAGCCATTCATCTGGCGTATTTCAGCAAGTACCCGACTTCACCCGAGCCTCAATTTGCTGTCACAAACAGCCTACTCTTTCAACAGACCATGATTGTCTGGTCTCTTATTACTGCCACGGTACCAAATATGAAGAATTTTCTCAAATCCTTCTCCATAGGCTTGGGCTTTCCACTTGCCTACGATTCCAGCGTGTACGGGTCAAGCAACGCGTATCCACTTCGCTCACTTGAGAATAGCCGGTCCAAGGCCACTTCGGCTGCAGGGGCATCGACCTCTGTATGGATCCGTGATCAGTCTGACAGCGAGGCCCGTGGCCGACCTCACAACTGGAGGCCGGATCAGGTTCCGAATCAAACTGCTGCCATGGCCCATCACTTCGGCAGGGATAGCCGTGAGAACCTGTCAGATGAGGAAAGGTCCAGAACCGGCAGTCGAGATATGATAATCATCAAGGAGGTGGCATGGAAGGTCACGCATGAGGACCATCAATCGGCGGGCGCCAGCTCTTTGTAATTTTTCGTCCATGGAAAGGGCGCTAGATATATTTCTGTAACATAATCATTGGTCTTCCAACTCCAACGAATCTTCGGTCAAAGCCCAGTCCCTTCGGATGTATATACGCTATAAATTTTTGACATGTGGAAATCGTCGGGAGAAAAACTCGGAAAGGAACCGTGGTGTGAGGGATTTTCAACGAACCCATCAAGAAGTTACGTTAAGCATGGGCCGGCCAACAGCATACCGGAGCCGTCAGAATTCAGCAAACGGATAGCAAGGATATTGATGCCGGGGCCAATCGGATCACAACGTGAGTTTGCCGTAGTTTGCCGTAGTTTGCCGTAGTTTGCATACAACCAGCCTCGTCACAGTCCCGGCCCCTGTCAGCAGTGCAAAACCATCAACGAAAAACTGTGGCAGCAAAAGAGCATGCTTTACTCCGAACAGCACAGCAGACAAATTAATGGCACTTTACGGCATCGGGGGATTCAACGGTATCTTAGGCAAAGTGAGTTAATGCCGAGAGCGCATACGCTATCTCGCATTGAGTTACATCGAAACCCGAGCTCGTAACAAAGTTCAGTTTCTCTTCACTAATGCTTGTCCTTGAGGTGGATGGCAACGTTAGTAGACAGCGGGAAGTAGGGCCGCCCCGCCAGCGCTACCACATACTAAACTCATTAGTTCTGGTTCGCATACTTGTGGCGCGTTTCATGCTGGTACGACGGTCCAGAAGAGTCGCCTGAAATGCACATGAACCATACGAGGATCCTTGTGGGAACATGTGAGGCGTTCGTCGCTAAGAAACTGAGAAGCCTCCTAGAAGCAGCTCTCGGCCGTGTTTGCTAACTAGGTAGTTTCGATATACAGGGATATATGTGACAAATTTGGGTTTTGTTGCGAAGGAGTCGAACACGGTAGCACTCCTTGTCACAAAGCGTCCAGAGTCTTCGTATTCGCAGTTACCCCAAGTTTCACGATTCGCACTCGCTGGTCGGTTTATTGGTCGCCTTTCATTCGTTTTGTTCAACACATTGCATAGTCTTATTATCTCTCACTTCTCGTGGCACAACATGTCCGAGATTGTGTTGCGCGATGCGCGCTACTCAGAGTTACCTGAAATTGCCCGCGTGATGGCAAAAGCATTCTGGGAAGATAATTTGTTTGGCCAGCTCATCCACCCTCATCGAAACGAGTATCCAGACGATGTGCACTTGTACTGGCTGCGGCGGGCTCGCGTCAACTTCTGGGACCGTCGCTGGCGATGGCTGGTTGCCGTGAACAAAGATGAGACTGGCCGTGAGGTTATAACTGGTATTGCGCAATGGGCGAGATTGGGCGATGGTGGCAAGAAGTTGGAGCGATCGTACTTGGATCCTCGTGAGTATACTGTGGTATTCCATCTACTGACTTAAGCTAAGTTGGCGGCCTAGGGAATTTGCTGAAGCCTCTGTCTTCTATTGCCATGACAATTCATGCTTGGTTGTGGCCCAGTCGTGCAAGTGACCCTGTGCAGGAGAACATTGTGGAGCGATCGTACCCTTATTTTGACGCAATCTGGAGCGGCAAACGTGCTGAATCGTGGTATCTTGAAGGATTAGCAGTGCGACCGGATTTCCAGGGCCAAAACATAGGTCGGAAACTGACACAATGGGGTCTCAAGCAGGCTGAAACTGAGGGAGTCTGCGCGTCTGTAGTTAGTGCTCTGGGCAAAGATGGATTTTACATGAAATGCGGATTTGAAGAGCAACACGGAAACGCCACACATGGTGAAGGAAATCCATTGGCAGGTGTTGAGGGTGCCAATATATATTGGAAATGGCCCAAGACGGACTCATAGCACGCCCATGCTGCCTTTCTGTATATATTGAGCCCAGCCATTATTCCTTAGCTGTTATCCTTGCTGGTTATCTATAATCTGCTAACAGAGTATATATTATGATCTACATGTATTCATGAATATTAGCGGCATTAATATTAGATATCGGATACAGACCAAGTCCAATCTTGTGAAAGTCGAGACCGCATTCCATATATCCAATCTCATCAAAGATTCACAAGAGCAGTCGTTGCGGAAAGAATATTACGAACGCATTTTGTATGGTTCTATAGGAAGCTCAGATATTAACACCAAGTTTATGCCTTTAGTTTATTCCACTCCCCCGTCTAATGACATCTCACTTCTCCAACGAAACTCCTTCACCGCGAATCGCAACAGGCACATATGACGACTTAAAAGCAATGAGCCCAGCAAGCGTAGCAAGCGGAGCATTGCTTAGGATGTCGAACACAGAGATGTCACTCTTGACGGTCTTGAATACCCAAGCTCGGATCTCCACCGCCACAAGACTGTCAACACCGTACGCATTCGCAGGGCGGCCAGAGTCGAGATCCGCTTCGTCCATCATCATAGCCTTGGCCAATTTCCGCATCAGCGCTACGCAAACAGCAGCTCCAGCTTCATCAAGGTTCTGTGCTGCACCTAAAGCCGTGCGTAGCTCTTCGGATCTGTCAGGCTCGCCGGAACCGGCAGTGCCGTTATCCTGTGTGTCGTAGACACTGACTGGACCAAATCGGCGCTCGCTGTGCCAGTACAGCTCTTCATAGCCACCCTGCTTAAGCATGCCTCCTGTAGTCAAGCCGACCGTGTTCTCAGCCTCCGGCAGCAAGCCAGCCATGCCTGCCTCTATAACGTCCAGCACCTCAGTTTCCTTAAGACCAGCCATTGCGCCAGAGTTAAGATAACCCAATGCTTCACCGTGGACTGCAGCCCAACCGACGCCCAAAACAAGACCAAGATCGATACTTGTTCCTTTAAGGCCGAGGGAACGGCGGTGGCGAGCGACGGCATCTTGGTATGTGTTTCCTATTATTAAGATTACATGTTAGTTGTCTGCTTCTTTTCCGAGAAGGGATAATCCCTCAACAAATCTCGAAAGGTTAAACTTACCGGCGTTGTAGTTGCCTTGTCCTCTGGACCCTACAATACCTCCAACAGAGGACATACAGATGAAGAAGTCAAGATCTTTAGGCAGCTGTTCGTGCAAGTTTCTTGTGACTTGAACTTTGGGTCGGATAGCAGTGTGAAACTCTTCAACAGTCATGTTCTCAAAGAAGACATCCTGCAACTGCATGGCAAAGGTAATGACTCCGCGAATGGCGGGGAAGTTGGCAGCTTTGATCTCTTGCAGCACTCTAGTGAGCTCGGCCTCATTGCTGATATCGCTTGCGAAAGCCTTGCTCTGGACATTGATCTTCGCCAATTCGTCAAGGAGTGCCTTTGCCTCTGGCTTGCTTGCGCCTGAGCGAGACGTAAAGGCAAGGTAGCGAGCACCCTTTGAGGCCATCCACATGGCGAGTGATCGTCCGAGACCACCAAGGCCACCAGGGATTATATAAGTTGCGTTTGAAGACAGAGTAAACTCCTTCTTCTTGGGAGGGACAATCTGTTTCTCTGCTGTTAGCATTCTTCCCTTCTATAGCCGTGCCAGTGTAGTTATAAATAATTATCTTACCGGAACAATGTCGTCATCATTAGCGGCCAAGACCATCTTTCCGATGTGCTTGCCTGTCTGCATAATGCGGAACGCCTCTTCGATCTGGGAAAAGTTCATAACCTTAAGAGGCGTGACGAGTTTCGTAACACCCATGGCCCAGTACTTCATCACGTCTGCCAAAATTCTGCTGAGCAGTGGAACATTCTCTCTGTACACAGACAGCATGTTCACGCCAGAGAAGCTGATGTTATGAAGGAAAGGCGTCATGTCCAGGCCCGTGTTACCGGCTAATAAACAGTCAGAATCTCTCCACATTACCTATACTTGTTAGAAGGGAATTGGGTTTGCAACTTACTAATATCTCGCTTGCCCAGCTCAATGAACCGACCAAAAGGCGCGACGCACAGCCAACTCTGCCGCAGTCCCTCTCCAGCAAGAGAGTTCAAGACGACGTCGACGCCCTTGCCGTCAGTCATACGCTTAATACCAGCTGCAAAGCTATGATCTCTGCTGTTAAAAATATGATCCTCACGGATACCATACGTCTCTATTAAGAAACGCTTCTTGAACTCGGTTGAAACAGTTACGAAGATCTCGGCGCCGATATACTGAGAGATAATAATAGCTCCTTGACCGAAGCCACCTGCGGCAGAGTGGATAAGAACGCTTTCACCTTTCTGCAGACGAGCGACGTCAAACAGCGAGTAGACGGCTGTTCCATAGATGGAGACAATCGAGCCACCCTCTTCGAACGACATACCGTCCGGCATTCTCTGGAACATCTCCTCCGGGTTACGGATATACGTGCGGTAAGTTCCCAGACGGAATGTCATGACCCTGTCGCCTTCTTTCCATTGGGTGACGGACTTTCCAATGCGAGTGACGACGCCACTACACTCAACACCCAAGTTTGTATCCTGGATTTGACCCATGGCAATCATGACGTCGTGGAAGTTCATGCCCACAGCCTTGACCTTGATTTCGACCTCTCGGTCGCCAAGTGGCAGCGGGTACTCGTCGCAGTCTGTGAACTGGAAGGTATCTAACATTCCAGGTACTTTGATCTCGAGTGCAAGAGCACGTCCCGGCTGATTAAAAGGCAACTTCACTGCAGGAGGATCTTCTGCGTTGGTCTCGAAGAGGTTGCTCACCTCGTGATCGGGGTATAGACGAGGCACATTGAGCAGCTTATTGCGCAGAGCATACTCCCATTCCGCATTAGAAGGATCAGCCTTAGACTTGAAGATCTGGCTAATAATTGCGCAAGTGGTGTCGGAGTCGATGGATTCCTTGGGATCAAGATCAAGTGTGGTGAACTGTAGGCCGGGATTTTCTCCTCGAATAGTTCTGGAAAGTCCAACAATAAGACTGGACTCAGGAGTGGTACATTCCATGGTACCACCATTGGTGAGCCACAGAGTGCTTCTTGATCCAAGCACTGCCTTCTTGGCAGACTCCCAGTCCTCACTCTTGATCTCATGAAGCAGAGGTTTGTTCGACTCCACAGCAACAATGCATGCCTTGCCACTGAAATCAGTAGTGTTGACGTCTTTCAACGAAACTACTTCAACTTCAACGCCCTCCTTATCTAGCAGCTTCGATAACTTTGATGCCATCACATCGACAACGGGGTCAGCGACTGCTGGCTTGACGACGACGGCGTTTTTGGGCAGCGGGGGAGAGGTGGCCTCTACAGCCACGGAGAAGATAAGCGAAGACTGGTAAACATCTTCTCTGCTATCGTCTCGGAAGGACACATGCAGTCCACCAAATCCGTGCCGGCGCAGGTAAACGTCCCATTCGCTTTCTGAGAGTCTTGGGCCCCATTTCCGGTTATCGTTCTCACCTGCACAATTGTCAGTCGGGATTGAAAGTCTGAACATTACACACTATGTGCGACTTACCAAGCCACCATCCAGGAAGTGTTCCGAAGATCATCGGAACACGAGCCATCGTTGTGGTCAGCTCGCCCAGGAGCAAAACTCCGCCACTGTAAGTCGAAAGTTAGCTTTGGCCCACGTAGAACTATATGGTAAGTACTCACGGTCTGAGCATGCTACGGCAGTGCGCCAAACATCTGTCGATGGATGAACAAGCGTGAATAACGTTGTTTGCAATGACAATATCGTATTGGCCGACAGGGAATCCTTGCTCGGCGGGATCCTTCTCGATATTGAGAATCTTGTATTCCAAGAACTCTGCATATTCACTAAAGTCCTTGGCAGCAGGTTCAAAGTATCCGCTGCTAATATCAGTGAACGTGTACAGCTTCAGCCTGGCGGCGGCATCATCGCGCTTCCCAAGGGTCGTCAGAACCAGCTTTGTGGTTGCTCCGGTACCTGCGCCAACCTCCAAGACGCGAAGTGGTCTCTTGTGGGAGATTTGCCTCACGTATTCTTCAAGGACTGGGTTAACTTTTTCAACACCAATGACGTTTCGGTAATATGAAGTCAGCAAGTCGTCTTCACGGAGAACCTGCAGAGGCTCAATTGCGCCGGTGAGGATCTCATTCATCGCATAGGCGACGCGAACCAGCATCTTTCCGTCCACAGACTCATTAGAAACCTTCTCGAGCAAGGCCGCATCAAATTCCTCGGTGGTGTTCAACCAGTCAATCTTCTTGATGGGAGACCTCTGGCAGTTGAGCTTGCCTTCGACAGCAAGGTCGTATTGGTGCTGCATGTATTCATAGAACAGACGATGATGGGGCGCGAACAACTTCGAGTCCTCTGCAGTAAACTTTCGAAGGACCCTCTTGCAGATAATTAAACAAGCCAATTCGAGATCGTAGATTGTTTCGTATTCTGGATCAGGATATAGCTCTGCGAAGGGGGAGAGGAAGGCCTTCAAACCATCGGCAGTCAGCTCTTCAATATCAGGGCCCCAGTGTGTGCACGCGCCCAATTTCTTGATTGACTTAGTTGCAGCAGAAGAGGACGCAATGCCCTCTGTCATGGTCTCGAGCGTGATAACTCTGCACCCTTCAAACACAACGAGAGGCTCTTCCCAGTCACCATCGGAAGCGACGATAGTACCAACGGATTCCTGGAAACCGTGCGCTGTAGAGCGAGAGTAACCATAAAGCTTGTCGCCAGGTTTCTTGCTCGCCACTTTGCTTGAGATGTAGACACTCTCAACGAAGCGAGGGATCTTGGCTCTATCAACAAGCGCTCCTCGAGGTGAGCAGGCAGGCACAATCATTTGTACGATACCATCGAGCGTCGCAGGGTGAATGATATGATCATGCTCAAAGTTCTCAGGCATAAAGGACCTTGTGTCTGGAACTTCGATAGCGCATTGAGCCTGGTAATGCCCTGAACCGATATGGACCAGTGACTTAAAAGATGGGCCCCATTGCAAGCCGAGTTCAGCGAGCTATTATGATAGTTAGTAACTGGTCAAAAGCGTAGATGGAATACTGTATAAACATACCGAAGCGTAGACGTCAGCTGGATCCTCAATATCTAATCCAGCATCTGTAATTTGCTGATATTCTTCTCGGAACTTCTTGGCTCTGGCAGCGTCTTCATTCGTAAAAGTAGGATTTACCGCCGTCTTGTACTTGACTTGGATTAAACCTGAGCAGTGTTGTGTCCAGGCCCCTTGGCGATCTCGGCATGAGATGGTGAACTCGTTCCACGTCCAGTCGGGAAGCCTTGAACCAGCGCGCCAAGGACGAAGTTGAATCTTTGACTCAACAGCCTCATCAGCCGGAATGATCATGGCCGCACCAGCCGAGATGTCTCGCAGCTGAAACCCCTCAATCTCCTTCGTCTTGTCGGCTACCTGACGTGAAGCCTCGATAGCCATAACGATCATACCCGCAAAGGGATACAAGATAGACGACTGGACTTGATGGTGCTCCAGCCATGGGATTTCGGAAACTCGGAGATAATTGCGCCAGCTGGGCTGTTGCTCGCTGGAGTATTCGTCTCTGGCTCCGACGAGGTCGTGCCTCGGCATGTCTCGCAATCGGTAAGCGCGAGAGATAGGAGATTCGTACCAGTACTTTGTGCTGTGGTTCCAAGCAAATGGAGGCATATCAACAAGAGCTGCTGCCGTATCTTTGCCAGAGTTGTTAACCTGAGCAACATCCACAGCATAACCGCGTTGGAACAAAGTTCCCATTGCTTCAATCGCGGTCAAGCTGGCACTACTATCGCGCTTGAGGAGTGAAACATAAAGTATATGGAGTTTCTTGGTTTCTTCAACGGATAAAACCTGTCGGATTGGCCCTTGGAGAGCGGCATGAGGTCCAACTTCAACAATGAGGTTAATTCCGCCAGTGTTTTTCGTCGTTCGTCTTTTGGTTGGGTTGTGCCTGATTGCTGCTTGCAATGATTGGTTGAACTTGACGGGATTTACCAAGTTGGAGACCCAGTATGATGGTTTCGCAAGCTCAGCCGCTTCAATGATCTCCCCTGTCACAGACGAGAACATCCGCACGCTGACATCATCTGTCGCTAGTGAGATATCGCTAATCGATTTCAAATATGATGCTTCGATAGCCTTCATGTGGGGAGAATGGTAAGCGGTCTTTACCATCAGCTTCCTGTTGAACACCTTCCTCTCTTCTAGAAGAGCTTGGACTTGAGAGATAGCAGAGATGTCACCAGAGAGCGTAACGCTAGATGGACTGTTAATACAAGCAACGACCAAATCACCGTCCGTGACCTGATCAACGAGAGCCTGGGCGTCCTCATAGCCCAAGCCAGCCGCAAGCATAGCGCCTTCTTTCTTGATAGTGCTAGAAAGGAGACCACGGAAGTATGCAACTTTCCAAGCCGATTCCCGGCTAATGGCTCGCTTGGCATAGGCAGCCTATATGCAGGTTAGTAACATTTCTACAGATAGAAGGCAAGATGATTCTTACAGCAATTTCTCCGCTAGAGTGTCCCACAACAACGGATGGCTTCACGCCCCAGCTGCTGAGAAGGTCTACGAGAGCCACTTGCAAAGCCGTACAGGCTGGCTGGCTGAGAGCCGGGTCATTGATACGCGATTTCTCCGCAGTCGCATTGAGCTCCTCTGTATGGTTGTTAGTATATTGATTGCATCTTTAGTTGGCAAATAGCCTTTAACTTACCGACCAGGTCCCATTCACAACCAAGCTCTTTCAATGATGAAGCCGCGGCTTGAATTGACTCTCTAAACACCGGGTATTTGAACAAGTCACGACCCATAGCATACCATTGAGCACCCTGCCCAGTGAATGCAAAAGCGACAGTAGGCTGCTCGGCGGACCGTTCAGGTTTCCTTGGCTGCTCAAAAGCGTCAATAGCCTCTTGTAGGCTGGAAGCAATGCCAAATGATTTCCATGGGAACTTGCTACGCTTATTGGATAGTGTAAATGATAGTCTTTCGAGCAAGGCGCTCTCTCCTGCTGGTGAGACGCTAAGGGACTTGACATATGATGCCAGGCTAGTTGCAGTACGGTCAGCTCCCTTCTGTTCAGGTGAGGACCAGACAAGAAGCTGAGGCAACGGGTCAGCCACCGGAGTTGTAGATGGCAGGGTTTTGGGGACAGCAGGTGTCTCCGAAATGGTGTTGTGGAAACCTTTCAATCCCCGGGATTCAAGGTAATGGAAAGCATCATCGACGATGCAGTGAGCATTAGTACCACCGTAACCGAATGAATTAACACTGGCTCTGCGGACACCCTCAGTAGGCCATGGGGTTAGCTCTGTGGGAACCTTGAGTTTCCATTTTGCCAAAGGAATGCGAGGATTGGCCTTTTCGAACCAGAGATTCGGTGGCACTTGTCCTCTCTCTAAGGCATAGACGGCTTTGACAAGACCCGCAAGACCAGCAGCACCCTCCATGTGGCCAATATTTGTTTTCACTGAGCCTATTAGGAGAGGGTCTGACTCTGGTCTTACTTGACCAAAGGTAGCAGCAATAGCAGCGCATTCCAGAGGATCACCAACAGGAGTTCCTTCATAGTGTTAGAGCGAATTGAGCCCCGAGAGAGATTAAGGCGGGCTATACATACCTGTGCCGTGTGCTTCGAAGTAGCCAGTCTGCTTAAAGTCCAGCCCAGCAGAGGCATATGTCACGCGTATCAGCTCCTCTTGTGCCTTTGAAGATGGCACGGTAATACCTATTATGCAGTTAGACCTACATACACATGGGAGCCGATTACAGAGATTTGACTTACCAGGAGTTCTGCCATCCTGGTTGACACCTGTACCTCTGATGACGGCTCTGATGACGTTACCGTCTCGCAGTGCGTCTGCAAGAGGTTTTAATATGACAACAGCTGCACCTTCTCCTCGGGCATAGCCATTCGCCTTGTGATCAAATGACATGGACTTGGAGTCAGGACTGAGGAAATGGAGTGATGTCATGGCGTTTTGCATCTCTGGCATCAAAATGATATTGGTACCTCCGACGATTGCCTAGAATGGATGAGCAAAGAGTTATTTCTCTGACAGTGGAAGGCGGCCTTACTGAGGTTGATTCTCCCGCTCGAATGCTCTGGCAAGCAAGATGAAGGGCTACAAGCGAAGATGAACACGCTGTGTCCAAGCTGAGACTGGGTCCTTTGATATCAAGGAACCATGAGACGCGGTTGGAGATTAAAGCAGCGCCATTACCCGTTCCTTCATATAAACTAGGAGGACAGTCAGCACTGCAGACAAGAAAAAGAGATTTTTGAAAGAACAGAAAACGGCTGAGTATTGTCTTACGGAATATCTTCAGCATCATGGCCTGGTTGAGTGTTAGCTTTCAACTAATAAATAGGTGGTAACTTGGGCCGGATAGCCTACCTCTCATGCCTGTATAATCTTTTGTGAATGAAGCCATATAGCAGGACATATTAGATCCCGCAATCTCCTCAATGCTAATACCAGCTACCCAGAGTTAAATTCTGTCACGAGTTATAGTGGTAATGGAATACTCACCATTCTCAAGTCCTTCATACGATAGCTCCAGAGCTAATCGTTGCTGTGGATCCATGGCATGTGCCTCTTTGGCTGTAATAGAGAAGAAAGGAGCATCGAATCTAGCGATGTCTTCCTTTAGGAAATTTCCTCCCCTGACATTCATTGAGCCATGTCGCTCGGCGGACGGGTGATAGAAAGCCTCGATATTGAATCGATCCTTTGGTACTTCTGAAAGGGCATTTCGTCCTTTCGAGACCATGTCCCAGAGCTTGTCCGGGTTGGTAGCTTCACCTGGAAATCTGCCTCCCATGCCAACAATAGCAATTGGCATGGAGGCATCCTGTTTCAGAATCGCGTTTGTGTCCATGATAGTGGATTTACAACAGGAAAAGGACTGAAGCTAGCTCAAAGCTGTGTCAAAATTATATAAATTCGGGTATAATTCGTAGCAGAACATGTAGCTGGGGGCTTCTGTTCTATTATATACCTAGCTTAATGAGAATTGCCTCAAGCTGTTGCTTATCCTCACTGAGAGAAATAAGACGCCGACACATCCGCCATCTTACGGAGAGCCGCATTTGCTATGCATGCCAATGCCCATAATCATCGGATCATTTTCTGCAACTTGGGAGCTGACGTCTGTCACCCATGTGGCCTAATCAGTTTACATGCATACATAGCCCAGTACTCATACCCCAGAAGACTAAGCGAACACCATAAACCCCCTCCCCTGATAGCTAATAGGGGTCTATGATCTATCACTATTTTAGGAAATAAATTACCTACATTATCTTATAGTTTTCAGCTTGACGTGTTAACCATACTAGGGGTATGAAAGGTTGAAACAGTCTTGGCTGTCTATAAAGATGGGACCGGATACAAGGGTGGATGTAATGTAACACGTTTGCCGGCTACTTAGACAACAATTCTAATCATCTTGCTAGTTTTTGTATATAGTTGAACAATGCTATAAGATCACAGCCCCCCACTATAGACCTAGATATTTACGATTACATACAAGAATAATCGGGCATAGATTGTCATGACCCCGAGGTACGCATGCCACGGCTGACAGGAATCATATCATACAGGGGAGGTATAAATACATTAGTGCCTCGCTGCAATGATCTTCCAATAGTCTAAGTGCAGAATCTACATTCCTAATACAGTAGTTGTAACAATTTACTCCTGGAACTATTTGTTTCCAATTGCAACGAGTCCCACCCTACCCGGCGGGTTGACTAAGCCGGCTACTTTGACCCGCCTCTCTTGCTGGAGAGGTAGGGGTCTAGTAAGTGACCGGCTTACTACCTAGTCAACCTGCTAGGTAGTTTCCGAGCTCCTATTCTATGGATCTCAACGCTCTCCTTGTTGATAGTATGCTTACGGGGTGTTGTTGGTCTCACCGCAGGACACATTATTCAACATACTATACTGTTTTGAGAAGCTTTTGCTGAGGTTGTCCAAACTAAGAGACAGCCAAGAGTTTACTAATTGTCATTTCGCCTCCAGTGGAAAAAGGAAATAGCATACCATGAAAACGCTCAGCATTAGCACCAACGGCCTGCTTGTATAACTGGGTACAGTATTATGCGAGATACCGAAAAGTCCGAAAAAAGCCTGTGGCTCAATTTGTTTCTTCCCTTTTTTTATAGCTCTATTCTGTATTTGCATAGAGGCATTACATGATTTCTTACTTTTTCGTTATTTTTTCGCATACAAAGGCTTCTTTGCATTTGCCCACTTGTCGAAGCTGACGACTCCTTGATTCTACACCAAGACTGTTTTCCAACAAAGGACAAAGTCACAATGCGTATACTTTGCCTCCATGGTCTGGGAACAAATTCCAAAATCCTTGAGTCACAGCTTACAACACTCCGGTCTCGGCTCCCTTCTGAATGGGAATTCGAATTTCTTGATGGTGAAGTAGAAGCGCAACCAGCTCCCGGTAAGAGAAGACTAATCTCATAGAGAGTTACTTAGGTAGAGACAGATCTAACACATTACGTGTTGTTTGTAGGTGTTTCTGAGTATTTCCCCGGGCCTTACCTATGCTACTATGACGATCCTACCCCTCAGGCGGTGCAAGACGCAGTCGATATGATCATGGACGTTGTCCAAGAGGACGGACCGTTCGACGCTATATTAGGCTTCTCGAATGGAGCAGCTCTAGCTGCGACCGTGATAGCGGCGGGAATGGAGAAGGACCCCTCAGATCCCCCATTCAAGGCTGCAATCTTCATTTGCCCGACAATGCCTTTTCGTCTTGACTCTGGCCCTCTCCGGGTCACAGTCACCGATCCGGACACCATAACCGCGATACGACATGACCTTGACGAAGAGGCAAACAAAACATACGACTGGCTCAGTGACCCTGAAACAGCTGGTATTATGGATGAATTCGAGAAAAAGAAGAAGAGACTTGACTACAGCGATTTGAGCAGGCTTCCTCAAACCGTAGAGCTGCTCCTGCGATACCACCCAGATGTTCAGGCACGAATGCTACATATCCCCACTGTCCATGTGATTGGGGACCAGGACGAGTACAATGAACAGGGACACAAATTCACTCAGCTCTGTGACCCGAAGCTCCGGAAGATTATAACACATGGTGGAGGACACCATTCTCCCAAGGAGAAGGGGGCCATTTTGAAAACGTGCCAAGCGATGGAGTGGGCATGCGATAGAATCATGTTCTCTAGCTACTAAGAAAACCGCCATACCTAATATTGAATAAAGATACTAGAATAGGAAGAGAAAGGGTCTTTGCTAGTATCAGTTGATCTATAAGAAAACTCAGACCACCGACGGAAATAGATAGGGAGGTATGTAGAGTAACATGGCTCGATTTACTAGTTTAACCGTGCATGCGTACGAAATCAATATACTTCACCACGAGTAAGCTTACCACTAGTACAGTAGCACTGGGAATTCTAGCGTCGCAACTCTACATGCTTGTATCCGCAATAGGCTCCCCAGCGCTTAGATGACTATTGTGTACATTCCGTGAGCGAATTTTTCTTCACTTGGACTTTAATGTCTGTAATGCGTTATATATCTTCTGATACCGGTGGCGGTCAGCTCAGCTAGTATCAGCGTGAGAGAAGTCTATCGACTCGTCGTTCGCCCCTGTCGAGAGAGTCATGGCCTTCACTAACATCGAGGCTGACCAAGATTTCGAGGATTCGCGCCGCAGCTTACAGTTTTATGCTGTCTTTCCCGGACTATGTTTCTCCATCCTCCTAGTGGCACTTGACACCAGCATAGTGGGAACCGCGTTGCCAACCATTGTTAGCAGTCTCGGTTCCGGCGCGTTATACATCTGGATCGTCAATGGCTATTTCCTATCAGTGGCGGTGGTACAGCCACTCGCCGGTCAGATGGCCGATATCTTTGGCCGGCGAGCTCCAATGCTCGCATTTCTGGCATTATTTACTCTCGGGAGCGGTCTCTGTGCTGGCGCAAGCTCCACCGAGATGCTCATATCGGCGAGAATTATCCAAGGCCTCGGAGGCGGCGGAATCTCCGTACTGGTGTCTATAATCGTCGGCGACTTAGTCCCGTTACGGTACCGCCAGAAGTACATGGCCATTGTCATGTCGTTTTTTGCTTTGGGGACTTTCATCGGACCAATTGTCGGAGGTGCGATAGTCACCAACGTTTCCTGGCGCTGGACTTTCTACATCAATCTTCCCGTCGGAGGCGTTGCCCTCTTCCTCGTTTTTTTCTTCCTAAAGGTGAAGCATCCCAGTGATGGCGATATCATTTCACGTTTGATACACCTCGACTGGTCGGGCCATGTACTTCTCAGTGCCTCTGTCGTCTCTATCTTGATAGCGCTCACTTGGGGCGGAACTAAATATCCCTGGGACTCTGGAAGAGTTCTTGCCCCCCTGATTATTGGCGGTTTTGGCCTGGTTTTTTATCTCCTTCACCAACAATATGCCTCCAAAGATCCTTCTATGCCACTGCGCCTTTTTGGAAACAGAACCTCGCTTCTGGGTTTCGTCCTTACCTTTCTCCATGGGATCATAATGTCTTGGTTCAGTTTCTTTATCCCAGTCTATTTCCAGGTCCTCAAAGAAGATTCTCCTCTGATGGCTGGCGTCAATGTACTTGCTTTGGCCATCCCATTTACGCCAGCTGGCATACTTGGCGGACTTATCGTCACATGGAGTGGCCGTTATAAGCCAGTTCTCATCGCTGGTTTAGCACTGCTGCCTATTGCGACTGGATGCTTTACGCTACTCACAGCCGAGACTCCCACTGCCCAATGGGCTGTCTTTCAGGTCATTGCTGGATTGGGTGGAGGTCTAGCACTGACCTCCACGCTCCCTGCAATCCAAGCCCCCTTGGCAGAAGGTGACTTAGCTTCTGCCACTGCAGCTTGGGCATTTGTGCGAAGCTTTGGGATGATCTGGGGAGGCTCGATTCCAGCGGCTGTCTTCAATTCCAAGGTAGACAGCCTTATATCTCGGATTGATAATGCTCAAATTCGCTCCCTTCTCGCCTTGGGAGGAGCATATGAACATGCTACTCGGTTATTTATCACCTCATTCAATGATCAGCCAGCTTTAAAGGCACAAATCATCAGCGTCTATACTGACGCACTTCAAGAAACTTGGTATGTTTTGTTAGCGTTTGCCTGTATCACCAGTCCTATTGCTTTGTTTCTCAGAGAAATACCATTAAGAACAAGACTTGAAACACAATATGGCTTGGATGAGTCGAAGGCAATGACCGAGCCAGCGAACATGGATGCGCCATTGGGCAATTCAGCTGTAGCCGTGGAACTGGAACCGCAAGATGAGCCAACACAGATCAGTGGAGTTGGTAATCATTCTTAGCCAAAAGGAGCTATGAAGCGATATATAGTAAATGCCTGTAGCTGAAATGAGCATACTCAATTTTGCGACATTGTGCCAATTTCCATCTCGGTTTTTATTCCTTTCGTGAGGTGCTAAACCAGCAGCTAGCCACTGAGTCCACGCCTCATCGAGTCATTGTATGCGGAGTAATTAGTATGACACATCCGGTGTCATTAAAATACATTATTCGTAATTTAGAGTCTAGACTCATTGGAAACTCCTACCAGATGAACCACTTAGGTTGACAGATACAGTATTGGTGTACCTGTAAAAGTCTTGTTCTCCCCAAGAGCAACCGGGTAGGTAGAATACACCCTCTCTAGCCTGTAAGCCATTCTCCGAGCTAAGTCCTTCGTAAAAGCTACCAATATGCTATTACATACACGAATAATAGGCAAAATAAGTCCTATCATTACCAAGCTAATACTACTACTGGTAAGCGGACATCCTCGGGCCGGAGGTGCGGATACGGGAGATGGGCTCGGGGGGCTTCGGGGGCTAATAGAGATATGTCAAGCTAGGTATTCGTGTGCAACGTCTAGGGTCCACATAGCCTCAAATGCATGTCAGATGGATGGGTTCAGAAATCAGATGAAAATACAGCAGGGACCACACATAAGATTCATGTAGCGTGACAGGGGCAAAACATCAGACAAACAATTTGCGGGGATCAACAATCAGCTTCAATGATTCAATGCGTACACGACAGGGGCAGAACATCAGACAAATAAATAGCTAGGGTCAACAATCAGATCAATCCATGCACGACAGTGGTCAATCTTTGGAATCATAAGAAAGCGAACCAGAGTGCCGACAGCCGCAGCTACAGCGTACGAGTACTTAACAGATTGCCATATTCGAGTAGCTGACAGGGGCATATTGGCAGCAATTCGAGTCGAGTTCTTGGGGGGCGCCGTCTGTGCTCTGCTGCTTACACTCGTACGAGCGCAGAGGCACTACTAAGGAACTCCATAACGGGGAAACTTCATAAGACTTACGTTCAACACTCGGTACTCATACGAGTCCTAGCCGTGCTTACCGTCCTTGGCTTGCATTTGGTAGCCTTGGAAACTAGGTATTGTTGTTCTGGAACATCTTTAGAAAACATAAACCTCGAGGATGCTGTACGTAATTTACCCGTAGCCGGGATATCTTCATTCCTCCGGCACTCGACGTATAGCTTTGTCGCTTTTTACATAGCTGAGACGTTGCGAATTGCTCACGCAACGAAGCTCCTCGTATATTGAATATACAATTCGCTACTACTACTACCAAAGAATCCTGCACTGACCTGAGATGACAGGTTTGAGAAGCTTCCAACGAAACCTGTCAGCGCATCGATAAGCAGGTTCCGGCCACAATTCTAGGGCGCCCCGCCGATGGTAGTGTCACACCGCTCACACCCATTCATAGGCCTAACCATGCAAGATGACTCCATCCTGGTTGCAGTCATGGAACTCTCTACAGGTACTCCATAGTGTCTGTTGGGAAAGAAAGCATGGCAGCGCGTCAAAGAAACATGGGTAGGAATAATCTTGTCGATTAACCCGTTTTGGGAATTTGCATTCGTCTTTTCTGAATGGCAGTTTGGTGCATACCTTTTCGTAGACGCGATGATTTTATGTTACTGATAACAATTCTTGAAACCTGCTCTTAGCGTGAGAAACTACGCACTTTACCACATGAGTGAGTAAATGTTGAGGGTAGGCGAAGTGATTGCCGTTATCGTTCTAGAACCGGCACTCGGACGTCCGGAGAGTGCCGGTGGAGTCAATCTACTTCGTTGCTTTAGAACATTGTCAGACGAGAAATGCCTCTCCAAAGATTTCGTTGAGCCGCCTTTGATCGATAACATGATTACGGTGCAATTCATATTTGAAAGCCAAGGCGCCAGTGGAGACTTTTTCTTTTCGTGTTAGCGTTTGAGCCGTCATCAATTCGCCAACCCTAACCATCTGCTTCGTGTACAGAATGGATACCATTGAGTAGCTCGTATCTCAGGGGTCAATTTCACTGCTAAACCGTACAGAATTGGAAAGACACGGCACGCTGTCAGCTGAAACATCGCGAATATTGCCGTAAGAAATCACCCCGTTTGGCCATTCTATTGTATTACGTGGATATCATCAGCCGAGCTATGAGCAGCATTAGCATCCTGACTCCTAGCTAACCGGATGAGACGGTCTGCGGTTCAAGTTTCAAGTCGTTTTCAACTGTAGATTTAATTATTAAGATTATTCTGTAAATATTTGCTCTCGTGAGCGCTAGCCACCCCTCCGCTTCTACAAGCCGTCTTGGCTGCCAGTCATAAGATACCTAGAGAGCGTTGGGCAACAGACATTTCATTGAAAGATTGGAGAGTGTTCTTAAGGCACGTGAGAATAATGGAAGGAACAGTCAAGGGCGTACTCATACATGTAGATCCAAGTGTGCCAGCTAAAACAGACTATGCCCGTAATGGCTCCAATGAAAATGACATCCAAGATTAAAGCGACATCGACTGCTGCGAGGACCACTGCTTCCACCCTATTTACGGGTTTCCGATATCAAAGCGTTCAACCCATATTTAACAGACTTATAGACGCAAGGCTTCTTGGTGACAAGCTCTACCATGAAGATGGCCTCAGTGAGAAACCTTACAGGAAACTATCTGCATCTAATAACAGATGCCATTTATCAGATCATCCATGATACTCTCAGCCATCACTAAAAGCGACTATCCTCATTTATTATCCAAGAGGGTCATACGAAATATACAGATCATTGGTGGTCTTGTCTGTCTTTCATGTTTTTCAAGTTACGTTAGTCTTTTGAAGATTAGAACTTTGATTGGCTCTCCGGAAGAGCTCGTAGCACATAAACTGATCCATTGTTAAAGCCAACTCATACCATTCATTAGATACACCGACCTGAGGCTTATATTGCGAAGAATAAATGTAATCAAATAATGTAGCTGCACTCGGAAGTTGAGGGATAGGTGATACAACTGGGGTTGTTATCAGCACAGCCAGTGGCGACGATGTAACTCAAAGTTTTTGCACCCACCCATGTAAATTCAATTATCATATAAAATAAGACATTTTACTTAATGAAGACTATTCCTCCCTTAGGTTACATGCATGGTCAGCAATGTCCGTGAGGCGAGGGTGTTTTGAACCGACAATTGGAGAACCATGTCTCACGACTACCCAGTGTTTCCATAATAATGCAGCCTCATATAGCATATCAACCACGTACCACACTACGTTTTTTTTTCTCATCAATTTTCTTTTCTCTTCTTTTCCTGGACTGGTTGTCGTGAGTTTGCATTCAAAAGGAAGGATGTTCAGATACCAGCCAGTTCAAAAATGCAGTATATCCATTGAAAGATGTTTTCTCTAAAGGGGTTTGACACATAGGAGCACCAGTGTATGTCAGTCAAACATTTCCAATATATACATATAGGCTATCTTAACCTTGTTCTAAATTCCCTTTCCGTCACAGGGAATGATCATCTCAGGGGTGCTTGGTATGAGAAAGCCTTCTCTCCTCAGCCCATTCCCTGATAGCCTCAAGGTCTTTACAAACATGAACTGCTCCTGTCCCATCGGTGCCATTTGAATGACTACCGGGAATTCCACCTTCCAAAGTTGTATCTCCGCAGCACAATATTGACTGCCTTAAATACCTAAAGCAGTGTTGGATGTGTCCATTCTCATCAGCACTTATATTCATGCCAGTGTTGCGTGTAGCGTCCATATTCGTCACAGATGCAGGATTCGTCAGGTTATTGTACATGTCCATAACCGCGTACTAGGGTATTTCTTGTCAGACATTTTCGAATCTTATAGTAGGAATAGGGAGTAAATACTAGACAATGGAGCTGGTGAAAAACAGCCACCGCATAGGTGTCTTTCCCCTTGTATGAAATTGGGCCTGGCAATATATATTTTTCCGTATTGTTTACTTCGATGAATCCATTTCCTCCTACCGTCATTCATGGATTAGATGGTTGGGTTCCTTCTTCCACTTCCATTTATGCAACAATATTACTTACTTGGCATGTATGAGAGCCAATTTTCTCGGACCTTGGTTCTAGATTCTTCGTCTCCTTCTTGAATTGTAGCTGATGCGTCGGTTCGGAACAGCACTTGCTGGGTGGGAACTGTGGTGTGGAATATAGGTTAAACAAAAACTCCACGTAATGGCCAACCCGGTCGTACTCACAATTTGGAACCAAGTGGTTCAATTCACCAAGAAGCTTTGGATGATTAGGAGGACGTGACTGCTCAAAGATGACCGCTAACATTATCAATTCCATAATCCCAATGACCGCTAAAATAGCGAATGAGGCTATAAGGAAGCTCCATTTCTTCTTGGATTGGTTCTTCTTCTCGCTTGGCTGGTGCTCAATTAAGCACTCGTTCGATTCGGCGTCATCTTCGGCGAAGCGGACTGGCATATCGGTAGCGATGCGATCGTTTGGATTTGTCGGTGGTTTCGATACAAGGCCGGTTGGTTATCTTTAACTTATAAGGGAGAACGAGGGTCGGAGAACTATGATAAACTTTAGTAATTGTTAGAGGTTGGCGGCACTCCACTAGATTGGGAGAAACTGACTAGCCTGGATTTGGTTAATTTTCGATTGCTTGGATCGACGGAACGAAACTGCGTTTTATTGTTACCGGCGATCCACCCTTATTGTCGCGGACCAAACTTGTGGCTGGTTTCGGCCAATTGTCGATTCCACCATTGTATTGTAACTCAGCCAAGATGTGCCACTCCCAGAGAGTACTTTATGCAAAATGACTAAAAGGAAACAGAAGAAGTTTACGAGACACAGGGTAACATGCGAATCTTAAGTTCGATCCTTGACCTACGTAGCCATGTTGTCTAGTGTACACGTGAATCAGAACACAAGAAATGCATGTGATAGTCCGAGAACAGACACGCAAATTGTAATAGCCTTAAATATTTATCACAGTATCTAAACAAAGAAAGCAAACTATTCCCAAGTATGCGGTATTTTAACTATGCGGTCAGCACCCGTAATGCACTCGCTTTCTCGCTCCCCATTCTAGGGCTGAAACTCTCCGGCTCCATCTATAATTCCATCAGAGCCATTGCGAGTTGTGGTCCCAGAGATGTGCTTTGATCACCAGCGTACTCATGGCCGACATACACACTACTGTTCTTACGGAGGAATGGCCGTTTTACCCTCAATTTCCACAGACTCCCTATTCGTGACACGAAATAGCCCGCGCTCCTTTGCTGCCATTGGATGTGATCTTTCCATATATTTAGGCAAGCTGTTCATTGCCTATTGTAACGCGGATTTATGCATGCATAGATTCCCTCAGTGGTGGTTTCGTCGCTCATAGTCACCGAGCCGACTTCGATATATACACGCACACGAGGGGTTCAAATAATGGATTTGACCACTGCTCATACGTATATTAACAATCATCCAACGTTTAATCTCTGCAATTCTGTAGCCCAGTTCAACGCATGTACTCTTAAGCGATTAGTGACAGCAGTCTTTCCGTACCTAGATAGTGTCTATAATAAAGTATGTGCCTGCGAAAGCCGTTAGGGAGACTATTAGCGGGAACACAACAACCTCAAGACCTATCGTATCATGCCTCCCACGTGATCAATTTCTGTCCAACACATAGGTGTTCCACATGCTGTAAAGTGCTTGAAATTATATTGAGAAGTTGAGTCGCGTACATCCTCAGCTGAGATCTTGCTTAGCGATACGCTGCAGTTTATCCCTGCACCACTCATGATGAATGGGATGAACAAGGAGGTATTATAAGTCCGTCGTTTCATGAACACTAGTGGTATGGTGCAGAGTATACTATCAATTTTGGCTAAATAAAAGCACATTCAAGCATGTGGTTCAATCACTTCAGATTTCAGGAAGTTTTCCAGTAGTTTTTGGACGAACTTTGCGATGAAATACTAAATACTTCATCATATCGAGCAAGTGCGATCGTACTTTTGTATTGTTCACACACAGCTGACGCTGATCTTATGGTCGCATCTTGCGAAAGCTACATAAAAGACTCATAGAGAGTAAACTACGGCACTTTGAGAACTAATTCCTCACGTATTATTTGCAATCGATGTTATATGGATACAGTATACAGAAGCATAACAAGGTAGCTGAGTTTTGATCAAGGTTAGACACAACGCATTACGTGCAGTCTTACAGAGGGAGCCTTGCTTTCAAGCTATTAGACAACACAAAAATTCTACGATGACATATCTGAAAACATATATAATAGCCAATTACATTTAATATCGGCGCGTATACTTCATATTTAGCTGAAAGATATAATATAATATTATTTTTCGATCCTGACTCTAGTGCGCAGCCTTAATCATCTCTTACCCTACACGCTATGTATTCTTTAAAATTGGATCAACCAAGCTTAAAATACCCTGGCTGCAGCTTTTGCCACACCTGCTGAGGGTCGTATTTAGCACTTATTGACTTCAGCTTTGCGAGATTGTCTGCGCCGTAGCTAGCAAAGACATTCTGCTGGTATGAAGCGTAATTTTGGTAAAGATATGGATGATCAAGGCCCTGGGCGCGGGCGGCCGCGATAGAGCGGTTGACCATATTCTGCGCCGCAGTCAGAACGCGCTCATCATCAGAGGCATTGGACCATGAAATATCGATATTGATCACTGTATGCATGTCAGCGGGCACGAGTCTTTGTGGGAAACAAGGGTGCGTACAGTTCAGGGGACCCTGGCCAGCAAGTCCGAGCGGGTTTCCACCATTTCTTGAGAAATGTTTAGTCATGTCAGTTGTAATGAGCTGGAAGACGGCTGAGGGCACGATCCCCGCAACATCTTTGATGGCTGTGACCTCTTCCTGGTAGATTGCGACCATGTCAGCCATCAGCGAAGCGCTGTTTTGGACCGTAAAGGTCCAGTATGTTTGCCTGTGGTATTTGCGTTAGTCTTAACCATTTGAGCGCTTTCATATCGAAGACAAGACAAACCGAAAGCCACCAGGGTTGGTATTGTTAAACTCAACCGTGAGATTTGCGAGATCAACAATGCGAAGCGTACTGGCGATTGAACCAGGTATCGAAGTAAAGTTTTGCAAGATGGGAGGATTCGGTATCGGCTTCGCATACTGCAGATCAGATGCAATGACAAAAAGATCTTGTGCCTGAGCATAAGCGTATGCGATTATAACCTGGGCGTATGGATCCGAAGGAGCATTGACGCCGAGATAATAGAAGGCGTTGTTAATGGCGGCCGCGGTCTCATTCGTGTACAAGAAAGTGTCCGAGCCAGCCCAGAGGTCGCCTTGGGGATATGCGGCTAGATCGAATCTTGTTACAATACCAAAGTTGTTTCCTCCACCGCGGAGCGCCCAGTACAGGTCGGAGTATGCAGATGAGTAGCTGACTTGACGGATTGAGCCGTCTGCCAGCACAACCTATCCATGCAAGTGTCAGCCTCCCCCCAAGCTATTCTGAAACCAGTGAGTAATAGTAGTATAAATACCTCATAATTGTTAACATTGTCGCAGGCCCATCCGTGTTGACTAGAGAAGAACGACATGCCTCCTCCCAGGGTCAAGCCTCCCACCCCAATGGCAGACACTCTTCCACCAATCACTGTGACATTTTTGGGCTGGAGATAGGTATAGACATCATACCAAACATTTCCAGCGCCAATTGACGCCTGAGTCTTGTCAGCTGAGAGAGAAAGCTGGTTCAGATGAATCAAGTCGATTGTCACGCCGCTATCAATGTTTGAGGCTCCAGCGAAAGCAGCATGGCCACCACTCTTGACGGCAAACTTGCATTGAGTGACGCGAAAGGTTAATACAGCTAGAGATACATCTTCTGCTGACGTAGGAGAGAACCGACAGGAAGGTCGTGTGAGCTCCTGCTGCTGCGACCAGTATCGCGACTCCTCGAACTCATAGATTACACTCTGAGGATATGACACATGCTGGGGCAATGCGAAGTCGAGGAAACCGCACTAGATCACGAGTTAACAGAGGATATGTATTACGGAGATTTTCCTCCATAAGATGTATTGGGAGGCTTACTGCAAGCTGGCAGCCAGATGGAGGAGCAGATCGTGTGGTGTGAGTGCCATTCTGATTCTGATCTAGATAGGATGAGATCTGGGCCTTGACCTCGCTCAAGGTGTACGTGGCACTGGCGATTCCTAGATGCAGGAACAGCGGCAGAGTGAGACTGAGGGGGCGCATTTTGATGGATTGGCCAGGTTGATTGAGAAGCGGGAGAATCGGGCACACAGCTCCAGCTCGGCGCGAGGGTCATGCAGCTTACATATTGGATGCATGTGATACGCACTTGTGGCATTCTATAATAAAAGGAACTCCGCGCCGTCTGGAATTCGGCTTGATTGTTTCCATATGTTCCACCGGATGCCTAGGTACAGCGATCATAGATTGCTGTTGGTTGCATCTGTATAACAACTGTTCCTTGTCACAAGCTAGCTACGTAGCATGTCCGCGGCCTGAAAACCGCCGAGACTACGGCTGGGACACTGCAATTTATCCATGCTGCATATCCTTGCCGCTTGTACGGCTGCGTGCCGCAAGCTCAATCGGGGAAACACGACCGTCTAGAGGACGCCGTCGCTTCCTTCGCGTCAGATATGCAGAAAGCCCTTGACAAGCTTGCACCGAAGAGGAATCCCATGGAACTCTTGAAAAGCTAGTACTCGTATGCCTCCGTTTTTGCCGGCGGTCCAAATGATTCAATAACTCATCAAGGAGCGCAACTAGTTTGGCCGCGACACAGTTAGCCCGCTGTCCCAAGGGACGGGGCGTCTTTGGAAGGGAGGGAGAAAAAAAATTATATACCTGGCATCTGTCTGATGCATCGTACCATTGTTGTGGGAGTCTTCCGCTGCGGCATTGGCAAGTCTTCATCTTCACAGAGTCCGGCTGCGTGGGGCCGAGCCAATCATGGACAATGGGCTCTCAAGATGTCTCTCGAAGCGCGGACACGGTAATTAGACTCCCCACAGTCGCTCGGAATTGGCTGAATGGACCGACAAGCAGATGAATGCTAACAATGATTGGTAGAAAAGTCTAATCTCATGTTTCTGTGTCGCAGTTGTCTTTGTCGCTATGCGCACAGGCGCGCGTTGGTTCAAGCTGCGTAGGATGCCCTTGCAGATGGAAGACATCCTCATCTACGGCGCGCTGGTGTCTTTTGCAATTACGACGGCGTTGTATCTCGCGACGGTTCCTACATTTTTCAACGTTGAGGCCATTGAACAGGGTCGTATGGAACCATATGCCGGTCTTCAAGATGATCTCGTCTTGATGCTGCATGAGTTTTTTGTTGTCCAGTTTTTCTTCTGGTTGACGTTGTGGATGGTCAAGTGGAGTCTAATGTGTATGTTCAAGAAACTCACAGACGGACTGCCCCTCTACAACAGAATCTGGTGGGGAGTCCTTGTGTTTTCGATTCTTACATTCATTGGATGCTGTATCAGTAATTTTACGAGCTGCTCTTCTATGCATGCCTGGTTTACGGCGGGAGAGTGTTCAACGCCTCGAGATGCGCGAGCTAAAAATATTAGTTTGTGGTTTAGCCTTGCTGTAGACTTGGCCACTGATCTTCTAAGTAACCCTACCATTGCTTTATTCAATTGGTCATTGCTGACTATAGGATACAGTTATGGCGGTTCCCATGCGAGTCCTTTGGGGTTTGCAAATGTCGCTCGTGGAAAAGATTAGCATCGGCGTTGTCTTCGCTGTTGGGCTCATAACCATGGTTACAGCCATCATACGAAGCGTCACTTTAGAGTCAAGCTCAACTTCTGGTCAAGTCAGTACGACGTGGCTCATCATGGTAAGCGCCTTTATGCTCTCCTTTGCCCAATAACTGCTAGCTCTAGTTTCCCATTTTCCAATTTTTCCTCTTCTCCCTTTTCTTCATCGACTCGGGCGGCACATACTCGACTTGAGCTAACGTCAATAATGTAGTGGGCTGCCATAGAAGGAGCTATTGGTACGTATGCACCGCATGCAGCCTAATGGGGAAGTGGAAACTCGTATGCTGACATTGAATCCCTGTAAAGCAATGATTGTGGGATGTCTCCCATCTTTTGCAGTCTTCATTCATGGTCGCGTGGCAGCGTCCCGGGCCCAATACGCAAGCGGCTCAAATAAAAATCCTGCTGGTCCAAGGACGAAATCTCATGGAACTACAGGCAGCAATCGCTTGTGGCAATATCACGACGCATCAAGTGATAAAAGCCTGGTGGGAGGCGGCATTGTCGTTACGCAGTCATGGCGACAGAGTTGGCATAACACAGCGGGACCGAAAACCGAGAGGGTGGAGGGATTAGAAACGGATCACGAATTAGAAATAGTCGGCGGAAATAAGGACAATGGGAAATAAAAGGCAAGGCATCTAGGTTATTTTACTGGGAGTCAAATTCAGTCAATTTGCAGCGGTCATCTATCACTACTCTACCAATGCCGTGGAACATATCGTAGGCACTCGGGCCATTGGTACTATTTATACAAGAGTTACACAACAGCTGCCTGGAAGTAGATTTCACAAAACAAAACGTTTCGTGACCGAATTAGCAGGAGTTTACACGCGTAAATGTACGTATATAGACACAATCAGTGGCATATTTTCCTATTCTGTGCTCTTTGCTATCCAGGTACTGCCTATTAATAAAGTTGTTCTAGAGCTGAACTGGATCAAGATAAGCCTTCGTTGAAGGGCCGACCCAATCGGGATCCGAAAAGGCGAAAGCTTCCACCGGATTGGTCGGAGGATAAATCAGGATGCGATTGACAAATTCCTTGGCCTCTTTCATCGTTGCCCCAGCTTTCACAACTTGACGTTCCCAACCCCAAGTTATCACGGAGCCCCAAGCCCCAAGATCAAGGCAAGTCTCGTAATTAGGCTGCTCATAAGGACGCAAGTCTATCTTCAAGAGATCTGCCGCCACGTTGTAACCAGATACGCGACCCATCGGAATAGCGTGTTGACACGACATGATGGTGTAGTTGCCCTCATCGTCAGTCCTAGCAGATGCCGCATCGCCCGTGGCGAAAATGTCGGTACACGATGGAACTCGTAGATTGCGATCCACGATCAATCGTCCCATGCTATCCTTTTCACCAGGTATCTGCTGTGTCATAGGACTTGCCTCCATCCCCACAGTCCAAACAACAGTGAGAGCCTCGATGCGCTCCCCTGTTGTGGTCACAATGCCTCCGGCGTCTACAGACTTGATTGTGACCCCAAGCTTGACTTCCGCCCCGACATCCTCAAGCGCTTTTGTAATGATCGGCCGAACATTTTCTCCCAAGGAGGGGCCAATAACATCTGCTCGTTCGACAATAATGATGCGTACTTTGGTATCAAGGCCGAGAATAGCGCGAAGCCGACGAGGCAACTCGGTGGCCAATTCGATGCCCGTGAAGCCGCCTCCGCAAATTACCACAGTATTTCTGGCTGGTGTAGATGGCAAAACAGCAAGATGGCGCAAGTGAGCTTCCAGATTTGCCGCTTCCCGGATAGTATCAATGCTAAATGCGTGGTCTTTGAGTCCAGGGATCTCGGGGCGAACCAAACGACTTCCAGCAGCTAAGACGAGCTTGTCGTAGGATAACTTTGATGATACTCCAGCCATGTCGAACATTTCAATCTCCCTTTCTTTTGTTCGAATGGTATGAACGACTCCTTGAGTGAATCGGACGCCGGTTGCTGCAAACAGGTCCTCAAGCGGAGCACTCATGTTTGCTACGTTCGGCTCATAAAGACGAGGGCGAATCACAAGTTTGGGTTCTGGTGCAACAACCAACACTTCAACATCTTGGTCACCTGGTAAGCTCTTATTTAGGTCGATAACCCTCTTAGCACCAATGGCGGTCCATAAACCAGCGAAGCCACTCCCGATGACAACAATTTTCTTGGTCATGGTGACGGATTCGAGACGAGGTGTTTGCTTGAGGTGTTTGTTTAATGAATGCTTTCTTCATACAACCACGGCGAATCATTGTTCATGTATATATATATATATATATACTCTCCGTACACACATATATTCTGTAACAATTCTAGATCCTACATAGAATACGAGAATGCTGGACCTTTTCAGCCAATCAGATTATCTTTAGGCGACCAACTCTGCTCTAGCTACGGTTCCATCTGTTGACGAATAGTAGTAAAGCCGGCTATAGCTGTGGCACATAGTTTCGGGGACTCGGGGACTCGGGAACTCAATACCCGCATTCACACTTCTGGTAGAATGGTTCCGAATCATGATATGCATCTCCCTTTTAAATTTCACTGGAAGCTTGTATCCGTCTATTGTCCCCGAGTCCATCAATTCCATGGATCCTCCGGCACATCGGAAGAATATTGTCACACGCTCATCGCTGGCATGCCTCGCATGTCGTTCCCGGCACGTCAAATGCGACGGCAAGAAGCCTAGCTGCAGCCGGTGCGATGAGTCTGGAAGACTGTGTAACTATGCAAAGTCGCGCCGAGGTGGGCTTGGCCGCGCAGCACTTACACGACTCAGACAACTTGCTGCAGCGGAGAATCGGTCAGTTGGCAACTTGATACGGGCTACAGGCCCGCCAGCTATACCCGATGCCCGGCCGGAATCTGAGGTTGACGCTTGTCTTGATGTTATCGTCACCGGTACCACTCAAGACCCAATGCCGGAAAGACATGACCCGATACTGCTTGTACCGCCTACAGCGCAAGTCCGCAACCTCGGAGATGATGCCCTAGTGGATTTGTATTACAAGAACTTCCACAAATTGCACCCATTGGTTCTGCCCCGGAGACATATGATTAGGCTCTATCAAGATATAGACAGCCAACCAAGACTAGAGCCCCTCGTGGCTGTCATGCGCCTCATCGGACACCTCTACGGGTTCCGGGAATGGTCGTGTCTATTGCAGGACGCGGTGAAGGTCTGCTTCTCGCAGGCATCGCAAACCGACCCATTTATGGTGCAGTGCCGCGTCTTATACTCTATCTCTTTGTTCTGGTATGGGCATAAGAACGAGGCGAAAGTTGAAATGGAGATCGCCGCCCGACTCGCAATCGGGCTTGAAATGTTCCGGCGTCAATTCGCGACGGAACAGGCAGGCGAGGACCTTGTACTGAGAGAATGCTGGAGACGGACCTGGTGGATGCTGTACATTGTGAATGGCTACTATGCCGGCACAGTCGGCACACTGGAATTCGCAGTAATAGATGTTGAGGCTACTGTGGAACTGCCTTGTGAAGAATTCGAGTATGAATTAGGTGTGAGTACTAACCCTCATTGGTTCATACCCCAACTATTGTCACGTCCAAATCTGTTACGTATAGGGGCTTGCATAATAAATTGTCTGTAGGAAATCCCCGAACCGAAAACATTGGAAGAATTCGACTGTCGTGAGTTTTCTCTGGGCAATACCTCATTCTCATCCTTTGCATATCTTATTGGTGCTGCAAAATGTGTGGCATCTGCAGCACCAATGGCTATGGGAATTACACCTGAGGATGCCTCTTTGCATGTGATTCATACTGCCGATTCGATTCTCGATGGATGGTTGCTCTTATTACCAAGTGGTCGCAAACAAATCATGGATAAATCCGGCGAAATCGACGAACTCATGTTCCAAGCCAACCTCCTTATTCACGTGTAAGTTCATCAGACTTTGCACCAGTTTTAGAAACCGGAAAGATAAGCTGGTCATATGCTAAGTCCCCCACAGAACAACCATCAGTTTGCATAGACCGTTATCAGATCTGAGATTTAATACCGTAGAGGCTATTTCGAGTTGTGCTAGACAGCCTCCGCCGGAGCTCCCAATACCGGAAATGGTAAACGTGCATACCGTACGAGTGTTACGATCGATAGAGGCACAAATATGCCTTATGGCACTACCAGCGCGCCCTTTTCATCATACACCATTTGCAACTTGCATGATCAGCGAAGGAACGCTTGCACTCCTCTCAGCCTGCAGGTTCCTACTGAAGGGAAGAGAGCTATCAAGGGCCAGAGATCAGGTTCGCATGACAATTGGGTGCCTCAAGGCGTTGGGCGATATATGGCCTAGAACGGCAAGAAATCTACAAGAGATACAAAGAATTGCTCGGTGTGCACTGGGACTCAAAGAGGACACGCCTATTCCCACCATCAGCGACCCACCAAGCCTGTCAGACCCGTCAAGCAGTGAGAGACAGACGACTCAAGAGTCTGATATTTCCTCATCAATTGGCGATGTCACTGACATGATTAACACATTAGACGGTCCTTGCTCATGGTATTCGCTTGGCGACATAGATCCAGAGATGCCATGGTGGATGGATCAGTGAGGGTTTGAGAGACTATGCCCGCTAGGACCTTTTTTCTGGGGGAAAACACCACCGGCAATTTATCCGATACAAATTTCCGTCCTATTGCAGCAATTCCACCGTCCAAATTATCTCTAGATAAGTCTCTATATATGCATTCGCCACTCGCAAATCTCTCATTCTGAGCCCTTGGATTTATGCCTGATTATCGAGCGTGAGAAGTCGATGAGATTTGATACTCGTCCACTGCAACTTAAAGAATACACACGCATAATTGGTGTGAAATCACGCCATAGAACTTACCTGCGACTAATACAGCAGTACCAAAGTTCCACTTATCTCTCACCAGGACAATCATATTCTTCACCTGCACACACCCATCAGCTGAAACCAAGCAAATTTTACAATGTCAAAACATATTCCTCCACCTGGTGCCAAAAGCATCAATGAGATCCTTGCCGAGGCACGCACTCATCTCACTCGCGTAACTCCGGCCCAGCTTCTTACAGAATTGCAATCATCCTCATCTCACAGCCCAACCCACATTGTGGACATCCGACCAGCCGCACAGCGTGAGCGAGAAGGCGCCTTGATCTTTCCCGACGCGCCGCTATTCGACGCATCAACCACTGAGCATACAATTAACATTATTGAGCGCAACGTGCTGGAGTGGCGCTTGGATCCGCAAAACGAGGCCCGGATCAAGGAGATTGTGGACGAATTTGGATACGACACGCGGGTCGTCGTGTCGTGTTCAGAGGGCTACACAAGTTCGCTGGCGGCGAGAGAACTGCAGAAGCTGGGATTGTCGCGAGCAACAGATTTGGAAGGTGGGTATTGGGCTTGGAAGCGGTATTTGGATGACAGACAAGCATCTTAGCGCAGTAGCTGAGCCATTAAACTAGCATCAGTTGGTTGTTAGATCCAAGATCAGTCAAGATATTCGCATGAGGGCGTAACGTATCAAATATCACGATGAAGCTCAAAGATAGCTAGAAACAGCTTGTTGAGACTACTAATGAAAGTCTGCCTATGGTACATGTTTAGTTGCCATTGAGCAAATTTTTTTGAGAATTGAATATAAAGATGAGAAAATGCTGTGTTAAGATGTCTATGGCAACTATTAGAAATACGCCTAGATGCCCTTAATTAGCTGAGATATGCTGGAAATTGTGATGCCTTGCTGCGAAAGCCAATATCCAAACACTACACCAATAATTGGCAGTAAAGATTTGAGTATGATCCATAAAGATTTCATGGTGAGTAGGAAACAGAGCATATTGACCATGGTAAGCATATTCTTTCGGTCGTTGACATGTGGGAACGGCGTGTCCGGAATCTCCTTCCCAAGAAAATTACACAATGGAGCCCATCCATCCTCAAGGTTCAGCTCCAGTAAATTTTCTGGCGGAACAATCTTTCTCACTGCTGCATAGTGCTCGTCGTACACTGCTCGAGCATTGAGCCTTGTTTCATCTACATTGTGCGCTTTAAAGCTTCCAAACACAATGTACGGATGGGCAGTGAATGCAGTGATTCCCGTTACAGGTGCTATGAGCCGCTGAAAAAGAAATGCACGGACTGGTTGGAAGAGTGCCTGTAGTATTGCGGCATCGAAAGAAGCATACCATGACTCGAACGGGCGTTGGACTAGAATAACCTTGGCTGTTGGATATACCTTCGCTATATGTGATCCGTAGAAACCCGCAAAATCACTGACGACTTGATAATGCCCTAAGAATGCGTCCCAATCTGCCTTTGAGAAAGATGAGGATCCTTGGTTGCCACCTACATTCCACACAGGAAAGCAGGCACGCGACGCGCGTATAGAAGCCTCCCAATTTGTTGAATCGAAGACTTGTTCAGCTCCATGGTGAACATGGGAATAGCCTAGCTGCCGAAGTGCTGTGACAATAGACAGGGCGCCGCTCCGAGGAAGACCAAGGCAGAGGATACCTTCGCCTGAGGCAAGACTACCCTTGATGAGCTCGGGAGGAGGTGGTGTCGGTTGAACTGGGTTCATGCTGTTGATTACTTCTGAAGACACTTTAAGAGACATTCATTCAAGGGATGGTATTGATTCATGATGGATGAGGATTTTGCGAGTATTTTATCATTGCCTTGGGAAGTTTAAGTTGTGGAGAATGATCACTTACAATAGAGCTGATGTATATATCGTCTTTCCGTACTCCGTAGGCTTATCCTAAATAGTTAAATAACATAGCTATCACAGAGAAAGTTTGACCAAGTAAACTAGGGCGATGAACATGAAATACGGTATACTATTGCCTACGTCAGGAATAGCGGCATCTAGATCTTACTTTTGTTTGTAATGTAAATCAGAGTCTTCAAACATACGAGATTTTGGTGCATGGAAATTATATGTGCCGCTTACTGAAGTCATGAGCTGAGTAAATACGTAAGCGCTCGTGCAGTCTTCACTACTTATACCAACTGGATCAACTGAGTTATGTAACTCGTTGCAGGCAAATCCGAGAACTAAAATCCGGTTCTCCCAAGAATCATTTTGAGTTCACATACTATTTGGAATCAGATCTGGTACAAGGCCGTAAGCTGACGGCAACACAATTAACGACCAGGTACAGGACATCTCCCCAGCTTTTACTAATGCATATATTGCATCTGTCCCCATGGCGATTTCTATTATTCAGGATCTGTATAAATACAATAGACTGGGCTTCGTGAATTGAACTAATTGAACGTTTAAACTGCTGGATGTGCATCGATCTTGTAGGGTAAAGCCCTTTGAACCAGACCGCGACTGAATAGGTACATGCCAATCGTGCTGTAGCTGCAATTGGCAGTGCATATTTCAGCCGTTCATTTGACATGGAGCGTTATGATCCTCTGATTCGTTCCACAAATTAGTTTAATAGCTAGTGTTATCGACTTTCAGCCTTGCTTTAAGTGTTCCATATCATGAAACACTGCGCACTTGCGCTTAGTATCGCTGGATTACCGCACAAATCTGAGCCACAGTACCTTGTTTGCTACAACCTCGGCCGAAAAGTACACGTGTTTACCAACCTTTACGCCGCGTGGGTGAATCTGTCTTAATGAGTCCTAGTTCTCCTAGTTTAGTTGTAAACTAGTGGCTCTAAGATCAAGATCAGGGCGCCAGACACTCGTGCCGGGCATTTCGGCGGTATGATGAACCGTAAGATTTCGCGGGGTGCATGCACCATGCAGCACCGGGCTAAAAATTCCCCAGATTTCGAATAATCCGGAGAACTTGGGGATGCATATGCACCATTTGGCCAAGCATTCTAGATGGAGTTGTGTACATTATTACGCCATTAAGGCCCCTTGGATTGTTGGAGATCTTTTGGTTCTCTTGAATTTTACGGATTCACTGCTACATTGCTCTGTCTCCTTCTGCGACCTTTATCAGATTACCCCGTTAACGACAACAGTGTTCTTCACAATGCCGTCCACCGGCTGGTACACCATCGGTATCGCGTCGTTTGCATCAATCGGCACGTTCTTATACGTATGTGAACCTTTAGATACCAAGTTTCAGAAATCAGCTTCTAATGATAGCGGACAATAGGGCTATGATACGGGTATCGTAACTACGAGTTCGTATACTCCATTCTTCCCTGATATCCCTTTGTGAAACTGCGGCCAACGACATAAACAGCAATTGCCCATGCTAGTTGGGCGGCTTACATGGGCAACCCATCTTCTGCTCTCACGGGCGCTGTAAGTATCTCACTTGAACACTTTGATACTTGATATTCTCCTTTGACTAACAGTGGCAAGGTGGGTGCCATCTACATAGCCGGTGAAGCAGTCGGTGCCATTTCGCAAATCCTAGTTGCCGATAAGCTTGGACGACTTCGCTTTATGCAACTTGCAGCCGTTATCGTAACGATCGGGGCCATCTTGCAGACAGCATCGGTCAACATTGGCATGTTTCTCGCGGGTCGAATTATCTCGGGAGTCGCTGTTGGGTATGCATGAAAACTCTCTTCTTTCTTACGGGATAGCATAAGGCTAATTCTTACTGTACGCCTTTCAGAGCATTGAGTGGTACTGTGCCTGTCTACCTCTCAGAGATCGCACCCCCTAAAAACCGAGGACTTATCGGCGGTCTCTCCGGCGTGGGTCTTTCATCCGGTATAATGCTTGCGAACTGGGTTGGCTTTGCCTGTGGTTATGCTCCGTATGGCGCGGTCCAGTGGCGTCTTCCATTGGGCCTCCAGCTGCCCTGGGGCATCATCTTGTTCATAGGTTTGGCTACCTTCATGCCAAACTCCCCGCGCGAAATGATTCACAAGGGCAAGATCGAGGAAGCACGACAAGAGTTTGCGAGAATTCGAAGCGATCTGCATTCCCAGGAGCTACACGAAGAATTCGGGCTTATGCGAAGGCAAATCGAATATGAGCGGTCGCGTGAACTCACCTCGTTTCGTGAGATCTTCAAGCTATATCGACATCGCGTCTTAGTGTATGTGCTGGAACCTCCACAGAGTACCTTTGAGTCAAACCATTAAATTTTCATTTAGGTCTGTTAGTGTGCAGGTGTTAACGACTGTGACGGGCGTCAATGTCATTCAGGTTAGTATTTTTTTGCCCTTCGACAAGATTGGACGATGCTGGGATAAATTCTAACTAGTCTTCAGTACTATCAAAGTGAGTACACTAGTGACTTGATCATCCTTCGGCATTCTAACAACAAATAGCAATCCTCTATAAATCCTTGGGCATTAATTCCCAGACTATACTCGCGCTCACTGCGGCGTGGGGAACGTGTGCTTTCATCTCTAACGCCATCGCTGTCAACTTCCTTCCCGATAAACTAGGCCGTCGCAAGTAAGACTCTCACTCTAATACCCAAGGATACAACTTCAACTAACATGCATCCAGAATGCTTCTCTTCGGGCTGGCTTGTGTCATTGTCACCGAGATCTATGCCGCTATTATGCAACTCAAATTCCAGAACACGGATAACCGTGTCGGCAAGGGATTTGCCATTCTAGGGATCTTTCTATTTGTTGTGTGCTACTGTGAGCACCATCTTAACATTTCTTTTTTATTTTGTCCGCGTGTGGGGAAATGCTAACATTCTTCATATAGATAGCCTCATCAATAGCACTACTTGGTTGTACGGGTCAGAGGTCCTTCCCATGACTATTCGAAGCCGAGTCATGGGCGTCGCTGCTACGGCTCATTATGTAGTCAATGTTGGCAGTAAGTCCAGTCCTCATATTCGCTTTCACGTTTGCTCGCTTCGTTCAATCCATCCATCGTTGCGTACTAACGCCGGGTCTTCTTAGTCACCGAGGCTGGCCCCAGTGCCTTTGCCACGATTCATCAGAACTATTACTATGTCTTTGTCGGGTGTTGCACTGTTTACTGGTTCATCATATATTTTTACTACCCGTGAGATTCTTTCCCTCATGAGAATGGTTATGAGGATGATGCTGATTATCGCACAGGGAGACGAACCAGAAGACTCTCGAGGAAATTGCCGCCGCATTTGGTGACCGTGTTGTGGAAGTCGATGAGCAGGAGGTGGTTGCTGAAGGAGTAGCATTCGAGGGCAAAGCCATCGCAGGGCACATCGAAGATCCGGTCGATGCCTAGCTCGGAAGGCTTTTTAATGAGGGCATTGAATGAGGTTGCGATAACGACGCTACCGCCTGCTCAGAGATGGATAAATAATGTCTTTATATGGATAACTATAGTAAATATGAATTGTGTTTGATTAAAAGCTTTGCTTGTGCCATGGGCTTTGAATCATGAACTCCCATAGTCAGCTTCCATCTTATTAATCCACTGCTTGATTTACCTGTGGTGTAGCCATAACATATACTTCAGTATTACAAAATGACCAAAAGGCTCTTTGCTGCACAATTGTATCTACTCCGGTGCATAATGATGATGCCCCGAACCGTGACGCAGGTTGGTTGATCAGGCATTTCCCGCTTCCTCCGCACCGGCACTTCAATCCTCCGGATATCCCATTGGAGCTCTATTCGTGCCTACAACTTCGGAGATGCACTATGACATTGCTATAAGTGGGGAGCTACAGTCGTAGCAAATAATGGAGCTTCAAAGGCAGCTTCTAGCAACCGATATTGCTCCTCCAGTCGTCGACTCTCTTCTCCCTTTCCCTCAACCTCTCACTTCTTTCTGGACTAATCTTTCCCCTTATCAAAGAAATCATGACTGCAATTTCGAAGAACGAAACAAATGGAGCCAATGGCAAGGCAGACAACTTGAAAACGAACCGTGCCAAGCTCATTGTGGATGCTGCGTACGAGGGAGGATACGCAATCCCGGCCGTCTGTTGCTACAACCTCGAGGCTGTAGTGGCTACAGTTCGAGCAGCCGAGGCCAAGCGTTCGCCAGCACTCATACAGCTCTTCCCATGGTCAATTGAATACGCAGATGGGCTACTTTTGCACGCAGCGGCTGAGGCCGCGGATAAGGCGACGGTGCCAATCGGAGTGCACATGGACCACGCGCAGGACCCTGAAATCATCCGGCGGGCGGCAGATCTAGGCGGATTTGACGGTATAATGGTAGATATGAGTCATTACGAGCGTGAGGAGAATATGCGCTTGAGCAAAGAGCTCGTTGAATACTGCAATGCTCGTGGTATCATTACCGAGTGTGAGCCGGGTCGCATCAACGGCACCGAAGATGGCATCCAGGACACAGAGGACTTGGAGGAGATCTTGACAACGCCAGAGCAAGCCGAAGAGTTTGTCGCTCTGGGGATTGATTGGCTCGCGCCAGCTTTCGGTAACGTTCATGGCGCATATGGACCCAAAGGACCTCAACTCGACTTCCCACGATTGGAGCGCATTGCCGCTCGCGTAGGCTCACGAGTGCGGCTGGTTCTACACGGAGCACACGAGAAATACTTTCAGGCCGAACTACTCGCCAAATGCATTTCTTACGGCATGGCTAAAGTGAACATTAACGGGCCAGTAGCTGCGGCTTATATGGAAGTCGGTGCTAGGTTGACAGGCAAGGAGGGGCTGACAACGGTCATGGAGGAGCAGACAAAAGCGATGCAGCAGGTGATTGAAGACCATATGGACTGGCTCAAGTCAGCCGGCAAGGCGTGAATTGTGTCGCTGTATTTTACTACCAAAGACTAGAAACCATTCGAAACCTATGTAGATGTTGCAGTCTTACAAATGAAGATATTCGCCCTCTTGATTCCCATATCCTCAGTGAGAATGATTGTTTCTGAAGATTAGATGTACTCTCCAAATAACCATCCAAACTTGACTTCGTTTTATAACCAAGCCTCTTTTAAATGCTAACAAGTTATACACAATTACTCTATCAGGTACCCTATTAGCTTTCACTTCCACACGCTCCTACTATTTGGCCTCCTCTAACGTTTCGATGTAGTCTTTCACCGAGTTGACAAAAGATGTGTCCTGCTTCATCCCAAGTGACAGAGCCAAAGAGTTGTCGAAGTCATCTGCCCAAGAGTATAATGTGGATTTTAAAGAAGGAACATCCTCTTCTCGCACAAAGGCTAACTTGTCCTTTCCTCCAACCTCCTCCAAAGCATCCAACATATCTTGGATGGTGACTGCAAACCCTGGCATATTGAGGACCCTTCTGTGTGTTGGAAGGGCATCACGAGGGAAGTTGAGTGCCACAAGAATGTTATGCACCAATGTCTTAGGAGAAGACATCCAGTGCCGCCATGCGCGATCCTTTAGGGGCACAACGCATTCCTCTCCATTCATGGGTTCTCGAATAATGCCTGACAAGAAAGCGGAAATAGCCTTGCTAGGTGCGCCAGGTCGAACCGAGATGGTCGGGAAACGGAGAGAGAACCCATTGATCATTCCCCGACGGGTATAGTCGTTGATAAGTGTTTCGCAGATGACTTTCTGGCAGCCGTAGGACATCTCTGGGGTTGTAATATCCCTCTCGGTAACATTGTGCTTTGGTACAGGGGTGCCGTAGACAGCTTCGCTGGAGGCGTAGAGGACTCGAACTCCAGGGCATGTCTTTGCCAAATTATTCAACAGAGTCCATGTTGCAGTTACATTGACGCGATAGCCCAGGTCGAAATCCGCTTCAGCGGCCGAAGACATGACTCCATGGAGTAAAACGGCGGCGTCAAGGTCTTTAGTAACGACACTCGTAGGCGAGTCAATGAGGTCTGCTTGGATGGTTTTGGCCTTCTGAGGATATTTGACGCCTCGAGGAATGGGAGGCTCAATCACATCCGTCAGAATAAGATCGTGCGAACCATCATCCAGAAGAGCTTTGGACACAATCTGTCCTATGAACCCTGCAGCGCCAGTGATGAGGATCTTCATATTGTCTTTGTTTGGAGCAATATAGGTAACAATTATCTTTACTGGAGTAATAGAGGTAACAAACAAGCCAATTGAGTTTTCTTTGTAACAGCTCTGTCTTCCGTGTTCGTGCCTCTCTCACTTGGGTTGTATTTACCCTGATATTCTGGATGATTGAACTCCCCCTCTTGCAACACTAGTCTCCAATACTAACATTCGGCTGGTTTCCGGGGGTGGCTATTCTAGTTCCACTTTAGCGAGGCTCCGGTTGTGTTGATGCGGCGCAATCATCCACCGTAAACAAACCGGCGTGATCTCGAGCCGGCACAATGTTCCACCAGATATTGAAGAGCTTAGCTCGACAAAGTCGGGGCTCCGAAAATGAGGAAGTTGAGCTATCAATCTATTTTCCGGGTGGCGAACTGGCATCGCGATTTATATACGGAAGAGTGAGTAATTGGAACGAGAGAGTCGAACATCAAAACTACCTAAGCTTGGTAACAAAATAAACACAAGCTTTCTCTGCCCACCATGAGCGCCACCCAAACAATCACCGCCTCTCCGGCATCCGTCCGGGTGTTCAGCCCATTTAAGTGAGTCCTTTCATTCCTCAGAGTATCCCGGTGCTATTTTCTAATCGAAATACACTATAGATTAGAAGGCCAATATGGTGATTTTCGAGATGATCTAGTTGCCCAAGGATATGCAGTCGTCAAAGGCGCTGTGTCTCCCGACAGGGCTAGCTACTACCAGCAAAAGGCCTTCGAATGGCTCAAGTCTTTTGACGACTCATTGGACTTGGAAAACCCTTCGACCTGGAAAACGGCGCAACTCCCAGTTCAAACAGACAAGAACACTTATGAAAACTACGGAGTCGTTCACGAGCGTTTCATGTGGGAGGCGCGTATGGAGCCCGGGGTCATCGATGCCTTTGCAAAGGTGTGGGGAACTGAAGAGCTGCTTGTCTCGTTCGACTCACTTAATGTCACTCTTCCCAATCTGAAGACTGCTCGTGCTCCTTGGCCACATGTCGATCAGGCTCCTCGGAAGCGTGGTATGCACTGCGTCCAAGGGATCATTAATCTGAGCCATGCCGGGCCCGAAGATGGTTCATTGGTTGTTATTCCCGGTTCACACGCTTTGGTTGAGGAATTCTTCGACACTCAGACTGATTCCGGGACTTGGGAATGGCGAGACAATCGCTATTTCAACGACAAGGACATGGAGTGGTTCCGTAAGCATGGCCTCAAGCCGCAGCGGGTTGCTGCTGAGCCAGGAGATTTGATCCTCTGGGATTCGCGTACCATCCACTGGGGTGGCGAGCCTACAGAAAAGAGCCAAACCATTCGCACAGTCATTTATGCTGCCTATGCACCGGCAAAGCTGGCCTCCAAAGAAGCGCTTCTGGAAAAACAAAAGGTCTTTGCGGCCAATGGGGCTACCACTCACTGGCCACACGACAACATCAAGCTCCGAGAGCTGAAGGCCGTACTACCCAATGGAACAGCAGACCCTCGTGATAGATCTGCCCCGCGCGAGAAGCCTGAACACACCGAGAAACTGTTAAGGTTGGCAGGAGTTAAAGCTTACTAAAGAGCTTGATGAGGAGTGCCATCGTATAGCAAAGCAAGGTTCAGCCACCGGGGTCTTCTTTCATACATGTAATCTACAGCTCAAATTATGTTACCATTAGTTAAACACAAATTTACATGCACCCGTTCTAGTAGGAAACATTAAGTCCTTCAGCCTTATGTTTACAACGAGTCCAGCTCTTGCTTTTGGACGTAGTAACCCACACCTAACCTTCTCGGCTCAGGAGAACGCGTCAACAATCCTTGGTAACATTCCGCGACATCATTGCGCCGGACTGTCCGTAGGCTAGTCTTTAGTAGCCGTTATGTGTGGCTCTCGCGCTCGAGGAGCGAGTCAGGCCAAGCACAGCTGATGACTGCTGGACCGATCCCAAGTGCTTACCCCGCGCTATTCCCCAGAGACCATTTTGAACTACAGAATTCCTGTGGGGCTAGGAAGGCAAGAAGGGTGAGGGGAAAGTTGGGGATTCTGCAAGTCGGGGGTCGTATGAGCCGCCATTTGGTTGACGGTGATTTGTTCAGGTATACCAACCTTTTCTCGTAAAAGTTTTGGCCTCTTTTTGAGATACTCATATTTTACTGAAGCGTCAAGATGATGGGAAGTGGGAGACAAAGCCCTGACATGTCGGGTGATCGGGATTTTGAGTCGGGCGAGCCGCCAAGTAAGCGGCCGAGGGTGCTTTCGAAGGCGTGAGTGTAACCCTATTCTGTTGGAGTATGCATTTGTCGGCCTGTTCCTATTGACCAATCGATAACAGCTGCGAAATCTGCAAGATGAAAAAATCACGATGTGATAGCGGTCGTCCACAATGCGACACATGTCGCCGGAAAGGTAAAAATTTCGCGTTGCCTCGGTTTTCTTGTGAGAGATGCTCATTCATGGCATAGGTCTAAACTGCGTGTACCGTGAAAAGGGGCAGCCAGGATTGCGTCCCGGGTACGGCAAGGCGATTGAACAGCGGCTCACACTGTTAGAAAATAACATGGACAAGATCAATCAGTCTATCCAGGACGTGTTGAATTATGTGCGAACCGAGTCTGTTACTAAAGCTTCTGCACCAATGGCCGATGATAATCTTGGAGGTTCTTCTCTTGATCTTGAGACCATCGACAAGGCCAGTCATTCCGCTGGGGACGTCCCAAGTCCCATCCACAGGGATATGGTAGCGACCACTCCCCTCCCGCCAGTGAATAACATCATCTCGGCCGATACGACTGTTGAGGGGCCCCAGATATGGTCTGTTTCTCAGCAACTGCCAGAAGTGAGGTCGCTCACATCAACTCCGGCAGATACTATGACCAATCAATTGCGTCCTTCTCAAACTCTAGCTTCTGTTGGCAGCGGACTACCTTCTCAGGAGATCATGGACGAGCTTGTGGAGTTATTCTTTGACCTCGTTTACCCGTGGGCTCCATTATTCTTCAAACCCAGTTTTACAGCCAATATGTACGCATCGGAGCGACAAATTCTCTTACACGGCATTGTCATAGTTGTTTTTCGCTTCTGGAGAAAGCCGGATCCGCCATTGGAGGCCCGAGAGGCATATGTCAAGGCGTCCCGTGATTTCATTCTATTGAAGACTATTGATACATGCACCCTAATCTCAACTCAAGCTTTAACCCTTCTTGCCATTGATACAATGGGTCAGGGACAGGGACCACGTACTTGGAACGTAATGTCCATGCTCGTCACTGCCGCCAAACATCTGGGCTTGTCAAAGAACCCTTCTTCCTCAACCGTCGAAACAAATACCCCGCTAGTCCGAAACGAAGATCCGGATGATGGGCTAGACTCATCAATTATTGAGATGGAGGAGAGACGACGTCTATTCTGGGTCATATACAGCATCGATCGCCTCTCCAGCGTATCCCACGGCCAGCCTGGTGGCACAGACACGAGAAATATCCGGTTACCTTATCCGGTAAATGACGAGGACTGGGGCCAGTCGGTACCACCTGAATGGTTTCAGGCAACAGGAGCGATTAAGCAATCACAGGGTTATAATGCCTTCAATCTTTGGCGCCACTACATCGATCTGTTAGCCTTGTTAGACCGGTCTAACCAACTCTTGATTCAACCCGTCAACTACTCTCTGCCAGCTCATTGTCAGGAGTGGCAGAGTAGTTTTCGGCGGTTGGATATCAATCTAGCCACCTGGTTCGAGAATCTCCCAACAGAAGTCCGAGAGCCGCCTCCTGACTTCAATCCCATGTGGACACTGGTTCACGCTACGTTTCATCTGTATAGCCCCCCTTGCTTGATTCCTTTTTCCTTTTCGATACTCACGTAGGTACTAATGACTGTGAGAAATGCAGTATAAATATTCGCATGTATACGGTTGCGGCGTTTCCATCGACATCCTCTCCCTATTTGAGGCCATCGCCATCGGCCCGCGCTCGCTGCCGCCAGGCTGTCAGAGATATCGCATCACTAGCATCTTCTGTTCCGCCTCAGAAATTGGAACAACTAGGTCCTTTGTTTGCTTTCGTAGTTTGGGTCGCTGCTAGGAGCCTAATTATACTATGGACAACGGGACACGAGAACACATACGGTTCTATGCCCACCGATTTAGAACCATTGCTCAGTAGCTTGCGACAATTGTCGATTCCCTGGCCGTGTTCTCAACGGTATATCAATCTTATTCAGCTGATTTTGGATACCAAGAACAATCCGGGTGGGCCTACGGGCTTGGAAATCTTCAACGATACCAGGCGGACAGCTTACGGGCTCCAGAACCGTCTCAGTACTTTAGCCGACCCCCAAGTTCCGGAATTTGACTTCCTAGATATGCCTATCTTAGACATGAGTGAAATGTCTGCACCTTGGAGTAGTACATTTGTTGCAGATGTCGATGGAGAATGGCTGTGATGATTGAAGTCTTGACTGAGATCTCGCTTTTCTCATGCCTCGTCCCCTAAACAGATATAAACGGGCTGAGAGGTATAATAACCCCCTTATAATCACATAATTATTTATTCAGTGCTACTATGTTTAGTTCTGGATCCTACACCTCGGTGAAATATACAGCATTTGCAACTCTACTTGCGATATATGACCCCGTGGACAATCCTTATTCTTATTTCCATATTTTGTGCCAATTGCTTTCTCCGTCTCTATGTCTTGGTATGATAGAAGGGATTGGATTCTTACACCCGATGGGCATAACCGTTTAATCCTGTTCAACTTCACGCACTTGCTCCATCACTAAACTAAGCAACTTACCTTTTTCCAAAGCCGACCGTACATTGCCAATGGTCCACTCTTCCATCTTGGTTTTAGTCTTCACTCATCCCACTTGGATTAGTATTCCCATCTTGTTGAAGAATAAACGAGCTACAGTACTGACCTCGACTGTCGACGTCCCCATATGGGGTAGTAGACATACATGTGGATTAGACACCAGGCCAGGATGTATGTTCGGCTCCTGCTGGTAAACATCTAATCCAACGGACAAAACCTTGCCAGTATTTAGGGCGTCGACAAGAGCAACTTCATCCATGACACCTCCTCTGGCAGTGTTGACAATGACAACACCTTTCTTCATTTTATCGAACTCTGGAGTAGAAATAATATTCCGAGTTCCCGACTAAGTTGAACCACCAGATCAGTTTCGTCCAACACACAGTTTGCAAAATGGATATCAATATGTGGACTCACGTTAAGCGGCAGGTTCAGACTCAGCACATCGCTTCTTGCCAGCAGATCCTCAAAGCTCACGTATTCTGCACCGTCGGCCTGCTCCGGGTCCAGCTGCTTCCTATTGTGGTATATAACGCTCATGCCGAAAACTTCAGCTTTTTTCTTCAGATTGCGACCGATACCTCCCATTCCTAAGATACCAAGGACTTTACCTTGTGGATCATGACCGAGAGGAGGTGGCGGTACGGCTCCCTTCCACGTTCCATTTCGTATCGCCATAATGCCGTTATTGAACCCTCGGAGCGCGGCAAGGATCAGAAAGATGGCGGTGTCGGCCGTAGCGTCATCGACCACGTTGGGGCAATTTGAAACAAGAATTGAGCGTGCTGTACATGCGGAAACATGTATATTGTCATAACCAGCGCCTGTATCCACCATGATAGATAATTAGACAAAAACTTTCCAAGTCGGCCATTCGAGCCCAATACATGTTTCTGTAAACTTTCTAAGAACATAACTCACCATTGTGACATATGAACTTTAAGCTCTGGGGCAACGCTTGGATGAGTTCTTCGTCATATTTTCCTGTGACGGCAAGGCTAGATGGTGCCCGGTCACAAATTACGACGACGCCGTCGAGTCTGCCAGATGTGCATTCCTCAATAAACTCAGCTCGATTCTTGGCTTGAGCAGTGACCAGTTCTGCAACATCGGAAAGGGCGTTCCAGGAAGCCGTGGCGCTGCAGCGGCTCAAATGTTAGCCGTGTCATCAACTTTGAATTGTCAGACACAATGCAGAAGCTACTATTATAGGCTGCACTCACTGGTCAATCTTACCAAGTAACAAAGCCTTAGGTTTGCCCATTGTTCAATGTCTAATTTGCCGAGATGCTTCTTTCTAAGGTATGTGAATTCTGAATAAAACAGCTCTCATGTTTAGACTTTGCTCAAAGACTCAATCTAATAACCCTTGGCGCGAACCGCCTGTTCATAATGCTGCAGCCTTACAGCTCGGCACATCAATACGCCGATTCGATATCCCCGCCGGGGACAGGACCGTGCCGGACCCGAAAGTGGGCTCGAGCTGCCGCTCAGGCATGCCTAGCACCGGGGTCGGCATATGTACTGTAAGTACATGCATGTTGTCTTCATGCCGATACATCAATCAGTTTACACATCTGATGAAACCGGAGGCATTCACCATCGGCGCATGTCTAAATAGGCGGATACATGATTTGATTGCAGTTGGGCCAACTAAGCTTATGTGAGACAGGCTCACAACATTATCTAAAGCCGTGAAGAAGCTCGACAAGAAGACCATCAACACGATCTTGAGGACGGGCTACCAATGTAGAGCTTGTGATAAAAATACACTCAAAGCCAATAGTGAATTAATTTGAACAATATTTATCAACATTGCCCAAATGCTAATCTAGGAGCTGGTATATGCCTATCACTGGCAAAAGAAATATATTTGCCTTGAAGGTAATGGGTGTACAGGTATTCCGGTAAGAAATCAGATTTGGCTGCGACGGTGTCTTGCGTCTTTTCCGGCAGATTACGGAGTAGGCGGTTTCATGGTTTTAGCCAATTTGCGGCTGTTCTTCTCTTGTTGCGCTCTTTGCGCATGAGGTAATAAACTCGATGGATTGTGTGCGATTGAGCTAAATACCAGTACCCTGGTAGAAATCTAGTGGCGGAACAGTGAGCTTTGAGCAGCGGAAGAGGCCAATATGTGGAGACTGCTCCGTGGTTACTTTGCTTCACTGTTTGATGCTACCCAACTTATCATGCCACTTGCCTCCCTTGAATTATCTCCCCTCCTACATTCTAGAAGCAGCTGGGATTCCTGCGGTGTCGGCTGAAATGGATCCCTCATGGATCCCAATACCCGAGGCTATGGAGCGCAAGTGGATTGCTGTCAAGGGCACGCCGATGAAAGTGGCCTGATTTCTCTTCCGCCACGTGTGTCAAATCGGAGACTACCATCCAATTTGGGAATCAGGGGCCAGGTCCCCCTATCAAAACCTTTAATAAGAACGTACCTAAAACTATTTTGCCCGGAGACGCTGGGCTTTCTCGATCCAGTAAGACATCACGCAGCGAAAAGTTAAACTTTTGGGCGCGAAGATATGGACTGTATTACGAAAAAATTGCAGCGTCTTCTTGCATGTCCCTGCATGGGAGAATAAACCTTCATCCCTTTGAGCGCGCCTCATTAAGTGGAGAATCGGGCAGAGGCCGGAGAAGAGATGGAAGTGGGCTGTAACACGGAGTAGCAGAATGTTATATCAGTTAGGCTGTCACAGTCACATGCGACAAAAAAATGATGACGGGACTTCTCACGGTTATTTCCGTTTTTCTTCCCTCCCTCCCTCTTCTCTAACTTTTTTCTCATTCTTCTTCTTATTTCTCAGGCGCTTGTTATTTGTTTTAGTCTCCATTCCTCTTCTCTTTACCCAAAATACCCAACGTTCCTGTTCATATTGTGCTGAAGGGTGATTTCATTTACCATTCACGACTCTCTTATTATCGACCATCTTAACAAGAAACAACGAATCCAAACAAACAAATAAACACACAAAAAAACACCGCAAGGAAGCGACCAACCTTCTCCCCTCTATCCATCCGTGAATACGACTCCGACAAAGCCGCCCTCGATCCCACGTCTCTTATTGTCGATACCAACATGAAGCTCACACGCGCTATTTCTTTGACCAACTTCATGGTCGCCACTTCAGCGCTCGGCTTTCAGGTCTTCGTCCTTTACCCTTGGCACAAAGAGCTGGACAACGGGTTTGAAGACCTCAAGAAGGAGCACATGAAGGTCCTCGACGCAGTTGGAAAGACCGTAAGCGAGCAGCAGCGAATGGCCTTCACGAACAGGCTCAGCGAGCTCAAGACAGAAAGCTCTCGACGATGGTGGTGGATGTAAAGGAGCAACAAACACGAAGGGAAAACATCCAGAGGCCAAGTTGCCCCTTCAAAAACACAGCGGTATAAACGGATTATCAACGTCAACGTTCTTTACTACACGACGTATAGTTTTCACGAACGATGACAAAATCTACATTATATGGCGAACACATAGATACTTTTCTCTTGGGAGAAGGTTTTTCGGCGAAAATTGTTATTCTGGTTTGAATTGTTCAATGCCTCATTCTTTATCAGGTGTATATTAACTAGATTTCCTGCTAAATACTCGCTAGCGACTTAATATATCATTTTGTTCACTATCATATAATATCTGCATATGTTTGTATCATCTCCCATTGCCACAAGTAAAGAGCCATTTGGAAGTGTTGTTAACATCTATTTGCCTTGTATTGAGTGTACAAACCTCTGAGTATAGGACGTATATCACCCTGTGCGCTTTGTGCGGACGGCCAGTCTATACGTAGTATGCCCTACATTCGTTCGCATAACTAGCAACAAGTCGGGGTATAACAAAGTCCAGATGGTCGGTCCATCCAACTAATACGAGTTGAAAAGGGTGTCACTTCGGAGTACACATGGCGTGTCTTGGTTGACACGAGTTAAAGCCGAGTTTTGCGGCCAGCGACTGTGGCTCCGGGTGAAAGGTATGTGGCCCTCCTTGTGAAGATGGTGACTGCTCTATCGCGACTATTTAATTGGACATGATCGAAGCCAAATAGATCAGATCGATCCATATTCTCAATCCGGTGTTTATGAGATGAGCAACAAGCCCTATGTAGGCAGAAGATTTCGTGGTTTTGCTACTTCAACTGGATACCAGAATGCCTTTTGAGAGGCGCACATATCATAAGATTGGAATTATAGCAGGCCTATCGATAGATATACTGGACAATTTTGAGTACCTATCTTTTCTAAGTCAATAGATATGATACCAGGGTACATCTAAATTGCCACGATCGAATGATGCCGCTACCCCGTCTCTCACTAGACTTGAGCTAGGATGCATCAACAGCCGTCAAGATAGATAACCCTTCTCCATAATTAAACTGCAAATTTGAACTCCCTAAATAGTAACTCAACGTCTCATATAACGGCTGGCTAGCCGACCCTCAGATGGAATAGAAGCTGCCACAAACTTCCGAAGCAAGAACAAGAGATCACTCGCCGCAAAGTCCTACATTAGAAGAGGGTGGGCTCCTGCGTAACGCTAACTTGACGAATTTAGCTGCCGCATCTGATCCGTGCTTCCCCAGAGCACCCCATACGTGCGCAACACTAGCCACGTTTGATGA